GGTAAAACAAATTAAAATAAAATAAACAATTAAAACACGACGTTTCGGAGGCAACGCAAACTTCCGTCTTCAGGTGGGACCAGTCACAGCCAAAATCGCTGCACAAAGTGGCGAGGCTCTGGGAACCTAGCGCTTAAATACAGGTTAAGGTAGGGGTAGGGGTGGGGGGCCATGTAGGGGACTTTAGTGGGGTGCGGAGCTGAGTTAATCCGTCTTTTGTTGTGTAGAGGGTGCGGGGGATGGGTCACTGTGTGTGTGTAATATAAACGGAAAGAGGCTCTGCCAGGCTGTGCTGTAAGGGGAGGCAGTAGAAAAAAAGGAAAATCGAAAAGTTCGGAAATAATATGTTTGGTATACCACTGCTTGAAATTGCTGTTAGAAATTAGCATTTGGTATGATTTAAAACGTCTCTTCAGTGGTTGCTTAATTTGAAACCATCTTCTCGGTTGAAGTAATGCCTGTGTTTGTATTTGTTGTGTAGAGGGTGCGGGGGATGGGTGACTGTGTGTGTGCAGGACTGAGTTAATCCGTCTTTTGTTGTGTAGAGGGAGCGGAGGATGGGTCGCTGTGTGTGTGCGGGGATGAGTTAATCCGTCTTTTGTTGTGTGGAGGGTGCGGGAGATGGGTCATTGTGTGTGTGCAATATAAACGGAAAGAGTATCGGCCAGGATGTGCTGTAAGGGAGCAGTAGAAAAAAGGAAAATAGAAAAGTTCGGAAAGAATATGTTTGGTATACCACTGCTTGAAATTGCTGTTAGAAATTAGTTAGGGTTTGGTATGATTCAAAACGTCTATCCAGTGGTTGCTTAATTTGAAACCATCCTCTCGGTTGAAATTATACCTATGTTTGTATATCTGAATGGCTTCGTGGACAAATCTTTGGTGATAACCTGTAGGTTTACAAAGAACCTTGGTATCGGAAAAGACAATCTCATGATCACCCACAGCGTTGTAACAGTGATCAGCCACAGCAGATGAATTCGTTCTGCCGTGTTTCAAATCTAATTTATGCTCGCGAATTCGGTCAGAGATATGTCGTTTCGTCTCCCCGATATAACAATCACCACAGGTACAGCTCAATTTGTAAACTCCGGGGTACTGTAAGTCAGGAATGACATCCTTTACGGATGGGATCAGATCACGTATTTTGTGTACTGTATTGAAACAGACTTGGATCTTGTGTTTGTTTAGAATTTTGGAATTCTTTTTAGTAACGCCTGCTATGTAAGGTAGTGTGATGGTTTTGATCGGAGTATCAGGTGGTTGTTTCTGTATGGTAGGAGAAACAGCTTGGTGGATGGTACGGTCAGATTATCCGTTCCTCCTAAGGGCCAGCCGTACCAATTTTTATTCACTGGTCAAGTGGTGTTGGTCTGAAATGCAATGAGCCATATGGTGTAACATTTTGATGAGAGAGTTCTTTTGAGCCGGGTGGTGGTGGGAATCCGGTTTCAAGTAGGAATCTGTGTGGGTGGGCTTTCTGTAAACAGAATGTCCCAACGAGCCATCAGACCTCCTCTCAAACAGAACATCCAAGAATGGAAGCTTGCCATCTTTATCTATTTCCATGGTGAATCTGATGGAAGGGTGTCTGGAATTGATGTGGTCCAGGAAAAGGCTCAAAGCTGGGAGGCCATGTGGCCAAATGCCGAAAGTGTCATCCACATATCCCTTCCACAGGGAAGGACTGAGGGTGGATGTCTGGATGGCGTCCGATTCAAATTTCTCCATGAAAACATTGGCTATCACTGGTGACAAGGGAGAACCCATGGGAGTACCCTCATTTTGCTTGTAAAAGGTACCATTCCAAGTAAAGTAGGTGTTGGTGAGGCAGTGCCTAACCAGCGCAGGTACTTCGGGGTTTAGTCCATGTTGGACCAGATCATCAATTATTTTAATGGTGTCAGGTACTGGGACCTTGGTGAACAGAGACACCAGATCAAAGCTGACGAGGATATCGTCAGGGGCCAGTACAATGTCTTTGACCATAGAGACCAATTGGGATGAGTTAAGTACTGCTGAGGTGGTCTTGCCAGTAAAAGGTAGCAGAGTATCTGACATAAAACGGGCTAGTTTGTAGGTAGGGGAGTTGATCGTGGACACGATGGGTCGTAGTGGGGTACCTTCTTTGTGGAGCTTGGGAAGACCATAAAATCTAGGAGGTCTTGCAGCGGAGGGTTTTAGAAAGGGAAGTTTAGTTGGTTCGATTAGGGAGGTCGAATTTGTGATGATTTTGTTGGTTTTAATCGTTAGGCTGTTAGTAGGGGCATTTTTTTATTTTTGAGTAACTCCCATCACTGAGTAGGTCCTGAATTTTATTGTTGTATGAGTTTTTATCCATAATTACAGTGGCATTGCCCTTGTCAGCTGAGAGGATGACTATGTCATCCCTTTCTTTTAATTTCACGAGTTCAGAGCGTTCACCTTTGCTGATGTTGCTAACGGGTTTCTTAGCACTCTTAAGAATAGTGGCTATTTCAGCTCTCGCTACGTCTGCTTGGATGTGTCCTATACCTTTAAGGGCTACATCGACCTGAGAAATGATATCATTTACTGGTATATGTTTTGTGGTGACAGCGAAATTTAGTCCTTTAGCCAATACTGTTTTCAGATTGTCCGAAATCGGGGTGCTACTCTGATAATTTTGTTAACGTCTAGTTTTGTGATCTGTGGAACTGGGTTTTTCTTTGATAGGCGGTTGAATTGAGCAATTAGGTTAGCCTTGCATTTGACTGACAGTGAATCAGCAGAGGAAGCAGTCATGTTATCAACGTGGTTCCAATCATAAGGTGTCATTTTTTGTGATAACATTAAATGAGATTGTAGGAGAGTCCTGTCTAAACAGTCGAGTTCAAATCGGAGTAACCTAATCCTCTCTGAGATTAATGATAGACTAGCCTTAAACAGAATATGTTTAGAGTTCGGTGAAGATACAGCAGCAGATGTGAGAGTGAAAGCGATGGGTATTACCTTCTGGTCGCGGCATCTTTTGAGGAAGGTCAGCGTCTCGATAAGCTTTGACTTCTTGTCTCGTCTGTTAAAAGCTCTAACAGATAGGTGAAAATCTTCCCCGTAGAAGTTGTTAATTCTAGATTTGAAGCTTTCGTGACTGCAAGGATTCATACTCTTTGGTTTTAATCGGTAAAGTCACGTAGGTAAAACAAATTAAAATAAAATAAACAATTAAAACACGACGTTTCGGAGGCAACGCAAGCTTCCGTCTTGAGGTGGGACCAGTCACAGCCAAAATCGCTGTACCAAGTGGCGAGGCTCTGGGAACCTAGCGCTTAAATACAGGTTCAGGTGGGGGGGGGGGGGGTGTGGGGGGGGGCCATGTAGGGGACTTTAGTGGGGTGCGGAGCTGAGTTAATCCGTCTTTTGTTGTGTAGAGGGTGCGGGGGATGGATCACTGTGTGTGTGCAATATAAACGGAAAGAGGCTCTGCCAGGCTGTGCTGTAAGGGGAGACAGTAGAAAAAAGGAAAATAGAAAAGTTCGGAAATAATGTTTGGTATACCACTGCTTGAAATTGCATATACGACAGCATCGGTACGGTCAGAGACATAATCTCCGTTGCAGAAGCACACAACATGGACTTAGGCCTCCTCTTCTTAGATCAGGAGAAGGCCTTTGACAGGGTGAGCCACGAGTACTTGGATAAACTCCTAACGTCGCTCGGCTTCGGCCAGGCCTTCATCTCGCACGTTAGGCTCCTGTACACTGGCACATCCAGCCTCTTGAAGATAAACCAGCGGCTCGGCGCCCCTTTCCCTGTGACGAGGGGGGTCAGACAGGGATGCCCCCTCTCGGGGCTGCTGTACACCCTGTCCATTGAGCCACTGCTACGCCACCTGAGACGAAATCTGACTGGCCTCAAAGTCCCGGGACCTGAGAACGCGGTCATCAAGCTCTCGGCTTACGCAGACGACATATGCGTCATCCTCAATGACGCGCATGACGCCTCCGTGCTCTGCCAGGCGGTTGCAGTGTACGAGAGGGCCTCCTCCGCCAGGGTCAACTGGCCCAAGTGCGAGGCCCTGTGTTTGGGGTCGCGAGGCGGTGTTCGCTCTGTGCTCCTCCCAGGAGGAGTCGTTTGGCGGGATGATGGAGTTAAGTACCTGGGGGTTTACCTGGGGAAACCACACGTCGTTCTGAACAACTGGACCGAGCTGGCCGGCACAATCGAGGCTAAATTACTGACATGGGCACGCCTCGCTCCGCAGATGTCATTCAGAGGCCGAGTGCTCGTCGCTAACACCCTGGCAGCTTCCGTGCTGTGGCAGAAGACCAAGGCCCTCCAGCCTCCTGCTTGGCTACTAGTCAACCGCTCACTCGCGCACTCGTCTGGCATGGAAAGCACTGGCTCAGTCAACCCATGGCATCTGCTGGGTCTGTCCCGTTGACCTGCCAGCAACGAGCCTTCGACACTTCATGTGGCCTCAAAGTGCACCTGGCCTGGCACGGACGCCATGGTGATGTCACCCCCACATCGCGGCGAATGGTGGCGAATGTTGTTGATATAGATGCTATCATTTCCTTAGCAGTTGTGTTAGGATCTCTAGTTGTAGTGCTGATGCTGTTGTTGTGGCTGTAACACTCGACGCGTAGTATGTGTTGTTAGTTGATGTAGTTGTAGCGTTCGTGTAGTAGCACTTGAGCTGTGGGTGACACTCGGGGAGGAGGGGCTGTGGGGGGAGAGGCTGTGGGGGGAGGGGATGGACTGTGGGGGGAGGGCTTGTGGGGGGGAGGAGCTGTAGGAAGGATGGGAGAGGCTGTTGGGGGGAAGGGCTGGGAGGGGCTGTGGTGGGAGGGAGGAACTGTGGGGGGAGGTTGGGGCTGTGGGCGGAGAGAGGGGTGGTGGGGGGAGGGGAAGTGGTGGGAGGGAGGGACTGTGGGGGGAAGGACTGTGGGGGGGAAGGACTGTGGGGGGGAAGGACTGTGGGGGGGAGGGAGGGGAGAGGCTGTTGGGGGAAGAGAGGGGCTGTGGCGGGAGGGGCTGTGGGGGCGGGTAGGGGAGGGCCCAGCGTCTGAGGGCCGCTCAGTCTCCATGGTGAGGCGCCGCGTCCTTCCTCCCGTTCCTTGTACTCTTCCCCATCCTGCTGCTGCTGCCGCTGCTGCTCGCTGGACACTGGCACAGGCGGGACACGGCCCGGGGCAGCGAGGGCCCAAAGGTAGCAACCCCTGCCCGTGTTTCCCTTCTCCCTGCTGCTCAAGTTGCTGCTGCTCTGACAGTGTTTGCTGCTGCTGCCTGCTGTCCCTTGTAGGTCCTGCTGCTCCAGCTTTGACTTCCCACTCTTGCTGCTGCTCCTGTCGCTGCTGTGCGCAGTGTACATGGTGCGGGACGCTCATTTACCAATTGCCATGGTCATCTCCACCCAACGTTGTTTGCACACCATTCGTTTCTCAATATCCATTCGTTATTCATAACAATACATCATTCATAAATAAAAACTCCAAACATGTCCACCCGTCTTATATATTCGTCATCCATTGTTCATATCCATCCATTCATATCCATAATCCACTCATTCACATAATCTCCATACTTCATCCTTTGCTGTTAATCCTCCCATGCGTACAGGTGAGTGCTACGAGGCGGCGCGAGTGAGTTCCTGTGGCAGGGTGAGCCCTGAGTGAGTTCCTGTGGCAGGGAAAGCCCTGGGGGAGTTCCTGTGGCAGGGAGAGCCCTGGGGGAGTTCCTGTGGAAGGTAGAGCTCTGGGGGAGTTCCTGTGGCAGGGAGAGCCCTGGGGGAGTTCTTGTGGAAGGGAGCGCCTTGGGGGAGTTCCTGTGGCAGAGAGAGCCCTGAGTGAGTTCCTGTGGCAGGGAGAGCCCTGAGTGCGTTCCTGTGGAAAGGAGAGCCCTGGAGGAGTCCGCCGTGCTGCGAGACCTCTCCCTCAACAGGTGTCGTGCTGCCACAATAACTACACACGTGTCATTGTGTCACCTTCACAGTGAACAACCTGGTGAAGTAGAGTCAAAAACCCCGCTTAGACACAGCGTTGGGAGACCTTCATACAGTACCAGCACTGGGTTGGCAAAGGGCCGTAAATTATTTGTTATGATAATAGCCCTTGTAACAATAATGAATGGGTACTAGTCTATTATTGGGCACCTGGCGTTTGAACAAAGCCATCGAGCCACTACACTCGCACGTTTAATATTGTGAGCCATTCCACGGCAATCCAGGGTGGTAGGCAAGTGGAGTCCGCTTGTTCCACCAGAGTTCGCGCGTTGTCTTGGGCAGTCATCGGTGATATACGCCTCTGGTTTTCCCCCCTCACCGCATTCTCCGTTTGGCAAGTCCTTGTTATCCCATACACCTTCTTCCATGGATTGTTGGGACACGGTTGAGAGTGATCCCCGCTGCAGAGGCAGCAGAGAGAAATGAGGGTTGTCATTTCGTGGGGGGTTCAGTCAGGTTGTTGTTTGGGACTCCACTGTTTGATGCAGGGCTCTTTGCTGTCTCCCAGGGAACGAGATCGTTTTGACACAACGTGCTCCATTCCGGACACTCAGCTACCGTTGTTGCATGTCAGGCGGTGTTTACTAGGAGCCTTGGAAGAGGAGTCGCATTGTAGATGGCTCCCTCGTGTGGATTCATGTTGTTTTGGACCTGTGGCTCCCAACCTGTGCCCTGCAAGGCCGTGGAAAGTGGTCGCAGAACTGTTGTGGATTCGCCATATGTAACACGCAGGATTTCCTGATCAATATTACTATTCACAATATATTTTTGGGGTCAGATCGCATAAGTAAAATGTGTGTTGTCCACCCTCCATCCATTTGACAAAAATCAATTATGAATTGTACACCATATTTAATTCTGCCCACATAGCACAATATGATTTACAGCCCACTACGCAACTATTTAGATTTCATTTGAGCCAATAAAAAGCATGTTCATCGTTTTCATGGCTCTTAAACAACATTTAACAGCGCTTCTCTGGTGGTTTTATTGTTGAAATGCATTATATTGGTGCATGGTGGTCCGCAAAAAAAAATTGAGGGTTGACAGTGGTACGCAGGCCCACGGAGATTGGGAACCACAGCAATGTTGTATGCCCCTATGTCCAAGCTTTATCACAATGCTGTTTCCAATCTGCTGATAAGTCCTCCACCTGCCCCCCACCTGCAGACCGCGATGCAGGGAGACAGGGTGCTGGACGAGAGGCTGCGGGCAGTGTTGGCAACGGTGCCTGGGCTGCCCCGGATCAGCGAGGGAGCCCAGCGCCTGGAGCAGGGTCTGGCGGGCGAGCTGAGCGAGCTGCGAGCCCAGCTCCAGGAGTCGGGCCTCCTGTCCGGCGCTGCCTCTCGCTCCGTCAGGTGCGGCACTCCGTGGAACGAAGCTCAAGCTTGCGCAGAGTCCAGTACTTGTACAGGCAGGGCAGGGGGACCGCCTCGCAGCCGCCCTCCTGATCGATCAGCCTCAAATTGACGGAAAAAACATTTGGGTTTGAGAGAAACCAAGATAAGAGCTGCCATGGTGTAATGGTGAGCCATCAAGAGAGGAGAGCAGTTCTTCGTATTGCTGATGTTGCTGTAGAGCAACAGCTGTAATGTTACATTTAGATGCTTGAGCCAGATGATTGCGTCAGGAGTAACAGAGTGCTGAATCATCGCTGTGTTAATGCTCCTTGCTTCATGGTCGGTGACACGGTGGAGATATGTTAACTACCTCGCCTGGTATACAGGAGGTTGTGGGTTTGATCCTGACCCTGACGCCTGTATGTTTGGAGTTTGCATGTTATCCCATGGTCGCGTAGATTGGTCTCCAGGTCCTATGGGTTTTCCCTCCACATTTAGAAACATGTGTTTAGAGTATTTGGCTGCTATACATTTCCACATGATAAGCCACTTCGTTGAGCTATCATTTGTGGCCAGGTCATTTCCGAAAATGTGCTATAAGCTCAGTGGGCCTTACCTGGTTAAATAAAAACTAGTTTATTTTAGTTTCGTATTCGTGAATTGGGCATTGAGCCATATTTTACATGGTCCGTTCTGGATGGTGACCACAGCCAGATACAGGTGAGTTTTGACATTTTCTATTTGTGCATAAAGTATCCGCATTTGCTATGGAGGGCACTGCTCCATGATAATTTAAGCATGGAAATAGTGACTTTTGTAAAAATATGTAACAATATTCATATAAACTAGGTAATGCAGCAAATCTAAATCCAGATGTGGTTTCAATACAGTTTTTGGTCTTTCATAAGATTCACATTAACATAAATGGAGGAATTATGAACCATGTTACATTTGCTTATGGCACAGCCACTCGAACAACCAACAACAACAAAATTACAGGAGGTAATTGAACACTTCAGCAATGAAGGCTGGAAAGCTGGCCAAAACATAAAAACGAAAGTCACGTGAAACAAGTTCGTACGAGGGAACCAAGTCCACTCTTGCAGATGCACATTTGTAAATTGCTAACATTCTCACAAACATCTTGATGGATAATTGTTGAGTAAGGTAGGGATAGGCAATGTAGTATGTATAATCAGTGGAGACACTTCCATATGAACCTCATTGAGAAGACCTGTTCCATTTTAGAAACTGATGCCAATAATGCTTAGCGGTACTTCCCCCCCCCCCCCCCCAAAAAACAACGAGATCATGGAAGTTAAATGCAAATCCACTGAGAATATGTAAACAACAAATAAAAATTTTGAGATGGCTTCCAGATGTTATTGTTTATAGTGTGTATGAGTCTTTAGTCTACAAATTATTTCACTGTACTGTATCAACGTTGTCAAGACACGGCATGGTGGTGAAACGTGCCTTGTGCCGTTGTGCAGCTCTGTGAGCGTGCCCAAAGACGCGTCGTACTTCCGTCGTGAACGTGAGCTGCGGCTAGCACAGGCCTTGCAAGTGAGTGCGTCTGGGTCCATTCACAATGTTTATCCTCAGCAACACGTGCACTCACTGCCAGCCATTCATTCACTCTCGTAATGTGCCTCCCTTACACGGTGTTGGCCACCCACCCTCTCGTGTGCCATGTTTGCGCACAGCACTTTTCCCAACAGAACAATCTGTTAAGGTGATACGGGGGACCTTTATCTTCGTCTTTTTTTTTTGCTTATACACATTCAGAAATGTGCGCTTATTGGTGGTCAGACGTTTGTTTACACCTGTACGACTATATGAGTTGATACCTGTGTGCGCGTGTTCACACCTGTGCCACTATGAGTTCACACCTGTGTTCACACCTCTGTGGCCACACCTCTGTGGCTATGCGAGTTCACACCTGTGTGCGTGTTTTCAAACTTGTGCGGCTATGTGAGTTCACACCTGTGTGCGTGTGTTCACACCTCTTTGGCTATGTGAGTTCACACCTGTGTGCACGTGTTCACACCTGTGTGCGTGTGTTCACACCTGTGTGCGCGTGTTCACACCTCTGGCTATGCGAGTTCACACTTGTGTGCGCGTGTTCACACCTCTGCGGCTATGTAAGTTCACACTTGTGTGCGTGTTCACACCTGTGCAGCTATGCGAGTTCACACCTGTGTGCACGCGCTCACACGTGCGTGCGCGTGTAGGTGAGTGGCGCGCTCCCCGTGCAGGTGCATGCCGACGCGATCCTCGCTGAGTTGAACACGTGCCTGGCGCGCGAGCACATGCCCGGCAGCCTGCCGCTACTGCTGCACCAGGTGCGTGGGAGGGGGTCAGAGCCACCCGGGCATCTGTGTAGGGCAGCCCTCGGTGCTTGGTATGAATTATGGCTCCGAGCACTTACGGTAGCAATGGTTGTATTCTGTAATCCAGCGCTGTGGAAGCAGCGAGGGTTGGTGGACTGATAAGCCGGCGCCACCAATGATCTTGTGGCAGCATATGACTCTTCCCCATTCTGGTGACGCTTCTCAACGCTAAAATTAACTTTGAAAAAATACAGTGCACTGTCTTTTAGGAATGAAAATCTCGATGTTTTTAATTCCTATAATCATACATCAACTAGGTCGTGTTTATACACGTCTTGGGTAGCAGTCTGCTGAAACAGCAAGGACACGATTAAATAATCACATACGAGTACTTCTGTTAATTGCTCTGTAACAGAACACTGGCATACGTAAGTTGGTTTATGAATTGTTATTACTTATGGGACGTGCATCAATCGCCTGCACACATAAGCATATGGACACGCACGCATTCATGTACTCGGGATCGCGCATACACGAAGACGGTTTCCGATGTTTGAGTAATCTTGAACGCATCGACGGAAGAAAAAAATGAGAATGGAAGTCGTCAGAAGGAGATGGAAGAAGCGGGTTGGATCCATTCTACGCTGGGCACGGTTTGAGGATTAAGGACGTTACAGAAGGAAGGATGGAAGGGGATAAGAACGAGGGGAAGGACAAGGATCGGGATGCTGGAGGAGCTAAAGGAAGAAGTTCGTTTGTGGAATGAAGAGGGCAGAGAACAGAGAATAATGGAGAAACTGTCAACATTTTCTTATTTTGCCTAGGTAAGGCACTGAGCTATATTGATTTTTTTCAGAAGTGACCTGGCCACAAATAATAGCTCAACAAAGTGGCTTATTACGTGGAAATTTATATCAGCCAAATACTCTAAACGCATGTTTCTAAATGTGGAGGGAAAAGAACGGAGGATCCAGAGAACAATCCACGCTACAAATGCAAAGCACCAGAGACGATTACTGTTAGATTCTTTCTTTCGCGCCGGTGAAGTGTAACTTCTGCATCGTTGTGCCGTGCGATCCACTGCAGTTCTTCGTGGACCGGATGCGTGAGTTGGCCCGGCTGAAGCACGTGCTTATACTGCGCTGGGAGCGCTTCTGTTGTCACGTGCCGCAGATGCAGCACCACTATGCCGCGTACCAGGTGAGCACCACGATTGGCTCCGGCCCCCCTTCCCGCGACAAGGGAGGCGCGTCCCAGTGGCTGTGCGTGCCTCAGTGTGCATGTGCAGCTGTTCTCTCTCTCCATCCCTCGACAACGCTTGAACTCCTCTTGAACTCCTCTCGACCATCATGGATTTGCAGATGAGAGGAGTTTTTATCTGAATATTTCCTCGACAAGCACTGATAACAGAATGGAATGACGACACAGGAAGCAGGTAAATTGATCCGGTTATCCAGTTGTCTGTTGTCGTCTATGCCGCAGGTAAAACGCAAAATGTACAGCAGTGCTCATCATGGATGCAAGTTTCACGTTGACCATATTCATTACCATCCATCATCATCGTCAGAGAAATATGGAATTGCCACCATTGCCCCGGGATTACCGAATGAGATCATTATTGATGAATATTTAGTTTTATTTCTGAGTATTCACACACTCTGTCTTTGTCTCCTGTGATATCTGTCGTGTGTAAAATGGCCGCGATATTATTCATGATTCATTTTGAATGTTATTGCCGTCAGCGTTCGTACCATGCGGCGTCTTGCATTCGTTATGCAGACGCTGTATGAATCCATCACATTCGGCGACAACACTGCCTGAAAAGAAAACATATATAACTGGCAACGTTCCGGGCAATTGCCCTTCTTCCTGTACTATGAAGAAGGGCCATTGCCCAAAATGTTGCCAATGGTAATTTTTTTTGTTTAAAACCACACGCACGCCGTGTTATTGATGAGTGTGCTGAATTGCTTTGTTAACTCTGCTTGTTGTGCACCACTGCGCACGCAGCAGCAGCAACAGCAAAAGCAGCATCGCCAAACCATTTGTCTAAACCGGGGACCGCTTCGTGCGTCACGCCCATGTGCGTCCCATCTCGCAGCAACACGTGGCACTGGCGCTGCGTGAGTACAGCGACGCTCGCGAGCGGGCGCGACGCCTGGCCGCCGCGCGCGACACCCTCCTCGCCGGGGTGGGAGCCGGAGCCGACGGCACCGCAGGCCGCGTCGCCCCGGATGACTGCGCGATCTACGCTCGCTGGCTCGTGGGGCACCTGCGCTCTGTGCGGCTCGTCCACTCCTTCGTGCGCGTGCGTCTCCCATCTCCCGCACACTAGACGCTCGGCTAGCAGTGGACGCGCTGAGCCGACGGTTTATGGTTCCCAGGATGCATGCGACCAACTCTCCCGGAGTGCGCCCGACCCTCGTCATGTCAGAAGCTAAGCAGGTTTGAGCCTGGATAGCGCTGGGATGAGCGACCAGGTGTTAGCCGGGCGGTGTTGGATATGCACGTGGCTGCCTGTAATCCATCACTGTGGAGGCAGCGAGGGTTGGCGGATTGTACAGATGTTGCGAAATTCCCTTACTCTGGGTGTCAAGGAGGTGCCAGACCCTGGCTCGCCAGAAGGTGGAACAAATGTAGACCCCACCTGTTCCATTTGTATGGAAGAGCATTTCCCTTCACACGTATGGGTTTTTGCCGGATGCTCCTGTTTCCTCCCGCATGTAAACACTTGTTCATTGGTCAATAACACCTTAATATATAGAGGACCACAGAGCTTGGGCAATTGTTGGTGCCAGCTCATTGATTGGCCTCCTTCCATCTTGCCTATGGTTGCTTCTTACGCCTCTGAGTCGTTCTCTGTCTACGACAGTGATTAAATACTGTGCGGTGGTGGCGCATTATAAGTTTAAATTATTTTAGCTGCTGCAGAGTTACTTTGTCCTCAGAGGGTAGTGCAACAAATGTAATTGTTGCCCTGTACTATGCAGCAATGGCTATGTCCCCTGCCTTTAGGGACCGTCCATAAATGACGTCACGCGATTTTGGACGATTTTTGACCCCCCCCCCCCCCATCGTCACACGGCGTCACAAAAAGTCAGACCCCCCCCCCAAATATGACGTCACAAAGCTCTGCCCCCCTCCCCCCAAAATAAAACATGCTTCAAATCGCTTTAAACTATTGTCATTGTAGTGTGTATTTAATGTGCCGCTGCACTCCGATGTTGTAGGAGAAAACATTTATTAAAAAGTCTAATTAATTAAGTAGAACGTGTTGTCTATATTTATTTAAAGTTGCGCATTTTTTTGTGACGTCACATTTCTCAAACCCACCCCCCCCCCTCGTCACACATCGTCACAGATGTCTGACCCCCCCCCCCCCGAGGTGCGTGACGTTATTTATTGAAGTATAGTCAGTCCCCTCGATCCGCATGGCGTTGGGAGGGGCTATTATCTAGTAGCGGTTTAGAAAAAGAACCTGCACGTATACATTAAAAATTACTGTTCATATACATAAAACAACAAAAAATTTCGCTTCAAAATGACACTTGATTAGCTCTGGAAACAATATAATTAATTTAATAAGGGTTAGTTTAAAATAAAAACAAACTGACCAATGTTCAAAAGTATGAGGATGGTAGAACTGCACTTTCGAATGAAAATGTGGGGGAAAAGTGGTTTGTAATTGATAGCTACGATCGGCCCACAGACCGTTGTGTTGTGTGCAAGGCATGGCCATCGCTGTCTACGCGGGTGCAGCGTGCAGCATTCTTTTCCCCCGCGTCACAGCTGGTGCGTTGTGCCATGCGCTCTCCACATGTGCAGTTCCTGCAGTGGCTCCCCGTGTCCCACGGGGCCCTCGCGGAGCCCAGGGGCTCGAAGCAAGAGGAGGAGCCTGATGGAGGGAACCAAGCAGAGGAGTCTCCTCCTCGGCCTGGCAGCACCATCCAGCACAGCAGCGCACTATGTGCGCGCGCAGGTTTACAAACACACGTCATGACTTTGTATGCTTTTTGATGTTTGAGTTCATTCTTTTTTAAATGTGGAGTACAGTAGTGGCTTGTCCTTCACTGGCTGCGCATGCACTGCCCACATGTACGTATGTGGTTTTTTCACGGTTCACTCTTGAGTGGGTTAGGTTATGCGAGGAACGTGCATCGTCTCGATGAAGCTAAGCTCCCCGAGCCGCGGACTGGTGAGTCGGCGAGATGCCGAGACGTCGGCCTCTTAAGAGCGGCCAGTACGTGCGCTCTGTACCGCTCCTGCAGGCGTCACGACCGAGAATGCCGAGGAGCCCTTATGGGACGGGGGCCACGGGCAACACGCAGAGGCCTTCATGCCTCAGCTGCTGTCGCTGCTGTCTCACTTTGGCGTGGACTGGAGCCCACCCACCCCACCTGGTGTGCCGGCCAATGGAGAGCTCCTCGCCATGGTCAGTGCTGGGGGGCGACATTGGCGACCACGCGACGTCGATACCGGCGTCCAGGGGGCACGTGTAGAACAACCGTGAATGACGCCGGTCACTCTGTGTGTGCGTGTGTTTGTGCGCGCATTTGTATGGTCACAGTGCAGTACAACAGCATAGAGATGTCCGCCCCCACCCCCAGCCCTCTCAACTCCCTTGATTGCGAACGCGCAGGAGGGCCGTTACAAGTTACAAATGTTCGCCACTGTTTTTGGTCGTGAGCAGGTATTGAACTCCGGTCTCCGGTACCATAAGGTACATGGTATACACTGCACTCTGATCCCAGAGACCGGAGTTCAATACCTGCTCACGACCAAAACAGTGGCGAACATTTGTAACGGTCCTGGGCTTCCCCTATGTCAAAGCAGTCTGTTAAAAGCATATAAAGGGGATACAGTATTTGTCTTTGTGTGTCCCACGTACTGTACCTTCAGTCAGGTCGGTGGTAGTCCACTCAGCAGGCAAACTTTGATGAAGCCTCAGGTCCGCTTTGATACTAGGCCTCACCTTGCCGATAGCCTGCAAAACACTCATGTGCGATGAAGGGCGGTCCTCAAATCGGCCAAGTTGAGTGGTCACTGTTGCTCAGCTATAGTCGTAGTACCACGTGGCAAACACACACGTTCACTTTTTTGCTTTACACATGGCCATGCGGAGCATCTGCACATTGAATACATCAAACTGGAGGCTTCCTTGATTGACAGCTAATAATCACTCAGAGCAGGGCTTCTCACACTTTTTAATTCCAAAGTCTCAATTTCGAGCTTGCTTGATCTTCACTGCACACTGAACCAAAACCTCACTGTGGGCCATGGTGGGTGGTGTTGATTTTGGGTGGGTGGGTGGGCGGATGGGTAGGTGGAAATGCGTTACAGCTGAGAGAGAATTAACAATCCTTTGCTCACTGTACACGGCACTTGTAACGGCTCTCCTGCGCGTTCACAATCAAGGGAGTTGAGAGGGCTGGGGGTGGGGGCGGACATCTCTATGCTGTTGTACTGCGCTGTGACCAGTGGAGAGGAAGGGGCGAAGAGTTGGGGGATGGGGGCTCGATCGGCCACTGAACGGCACAGAGGAGAATTTGTCCATCCCAGATTGTGAACAGTGAGATTCTTTCCTTTCGTATGATTCTGAAACTACTGCGGCGAACCTGGGACTTTAACTGTGGCGGCGGCACAGCGGTTGCAGAGCACTGCATTCGAATGCAGATGACAAGAGAGTGACGTTCACGGCACTGACATCATCGCAAACCTACCTGAATTTGTGGTGCAGGTTCCGTGTTTGCTCCGACAAGCTGCATTTCTCCAATGTGAGAATTTGCACCCGCCCACCTTGAGATGATTCACATCCTCATAATCCTTTCCGGGTTGTTCCCCAGGTGTCTCAGAAGTTTGGCAGCATCTTCAAGCGGCAGGAAGAGATGAAGTGCTTCCCCGTGTACAGCCAGGTGCAGCCAGGTGGGGTGGGAGCCCTTGGCACAGTTGGTGTGGCCAGAAGAAAGGAGGCAACCTGGCTCCCCTACATCAAGGTACACACATTTCCAGTACAATGTCGCATATCCAAACGTCGCATATCCGCCCGGACCAATGAACAACTGCCCACACCTAGTGCTAGTGTTTGAGCAGTGGTAACTGTCGTTTTCTATTGATGTTCACGGATCCTGAATTTTGACACATCCGCCTATTGCTTGGTCCTCAGCTCGTCGGATATGCGAAATACTGCCAATGCGTGCGTGTTATGGGCATGCCCGTCCCTCTGATTGTAATGCGCGGTGGCATTATCAAATGCCTGTTTTTCACCAGGCATGGTGGTGCACGACTGTGATGCCAGGCTCACCGAATCACCATAGCCGGCGGCTGTGGTGCCACAAAGGCAGACTTGGCCAAACTACACTGATGTTATGACATATGGGACACTTGCGAGCTCCTGGGATGGTTTTATGCTATTTTTGTGAATGATGGCAGTAGCAGCGATCTGTTCAGGAGCGAGACGCCAATGTCGAGGTCTGCCAGCCACGACGAGAGGGCTTCAGGAGAGAGTTCGTGCAGTTTTGTGATGTACTGTGTGATTCATAGTTTGGCTACCATGACCAGACACCAAGTGGGAGGGGTCTGTCGCAGATCATTGCGGGTGCACATACATCGAGTGTCAGGGATGTGTCGCAGGTGATCGAGGTTGCACATAGATCGAGTGGGACGTGTGTGCCGCAGGTGAGGCCGTGCCAGGACCCGTGGCAGGAGACCGCCATGCAAGAGCTGAGGGAGTGCAGGCGACGGGATGAGCTGCTCCACGTGCTTTCACAGTTCCTGCAGGTAGCTTAGCGTCGCGAGCGGCGCCCCCACACGCTCAATGCCGCTTCTAGGGAGTGGTCAGCACGAGAGCGAAAGAGGGAGGGGGGGGGGTATCTGTACGTAATCATCTGAGGCAAGGTGCAATACTTAGACATCTGCTTTGAAGCAGTGTTAATAAACATTTTAAGAAAATAACAACTTTAGGTCTTTGTGCACCCAGCCTACAATGGGTCTGTATGGGATAGAGTGTTTCCTCCTCGCACGCACGGGTTTTTTCTGGGTGCTCCAGTTTTCACCCACATTTTACACTCAGTAATTGGCTGATGAAACCTAAATAACTAATCACAGACCTTCAGCAGTTGTTGGTGCCAGCTAATTGCGTGGCTGCATTCCCACTTGTCTGTGGTTCCTGGCGCCTCTGACTCATTCTCTATCTTTGAGAGTGAGCGAATACTGTGCACATTACAAGTTGAAGTAATAATAATTATTAAGTGTGGTATGCATGTGTTGACTGTGGAGTGCAAGTTGCTGATAAGCTATATTGTTAGCCTGGAGTCTGGCTTAGAGCACATGCAAGGTGTGCGTGTGGCTTTATTTTTCAGATTTCAAATGCGGAGAGGGTGATGCTGGTGCTAAAGAAGCATGCAGCCACCATGCACAGACTGGAGGTGACGGGGCATTTACAAACGACCGACAGCTCCCACGTCTGGAGCGAGATTTATGGCAGCCCGGCTCTCTATCAGGTGAATCCAGACACAGCCCTTATGATGTTCCTGCAAGAGACATCTCCAGGAACTAAATCCCAATGTTGAAATCGGCTAGCCACAACCATACCTCCGATTAGCATGGTTGGCTACGTACTGTGCAAAAGAAGTTCAACATGAGTACATACACAAGAGGGTTGCAGGAGAGAGTTTGTGTAATTTTGCTACTACTTCGTTAAAGGAGTGCAGACTCAGTGGTTTACTATATGTTCCATAGTTTGGGTACCATGTACGTATGTATGGTGAACCTCTTTCACACCGTGCGTAGCCAACCATGCTAATCGGAGGTGCGGGGGAAGGTAACAAACTAAGTGCAAAAAATGGCTACAATCGCCATGGCTAAAATCACAGAAATGTGGCTTGTCTTTAAGTTTCCATTTATGAAGAAGAAACAGAAATTGAGTCCAGGAATCATCATCATTATCAATAATTTGGAATTCCCAATGGTGATAATACCTGCAGACCAAAGCTTTTCATGCTGTGATGCAAATATGCTTCACGATCATGAATACTTGACTTTCTGAGAAGGTTCATTCACAAAGAATAAACAAATTTACACTCATTGGGTGGCAACATGGTGTAGCAGTAAGCACGTTTTCTGCTTGTTACAGAGGGTCACGGTTCGAATCCAGCGGTCACCCTAATTAATACTGCGGGTGTAGTAACCGTAATAACACTACACGCCGTCTTCTTCACAGTGGACGTTAACAGATCCTGCGACATCATTCACAAGAAAAGGCCGTTGTTTGCCAGCGTCGGGGTGCAAATTTGCCAAAACACTGTGTAACAAATTAGTTTTTTGTTCCTGGGTAGTAAGTGTTATTTCCTAATTGCTTATGCCTCAAAAGAACAGAAAATGGATATTATTCCCCGCAAACTTTGCTTTTGTGACCAGGACAGTGACATTTTTTTATTTACATATTTTCCAGAACATTCCACATAGATTCAGTGCTGATTAAACTTGAAGTAACTTCTAGAACATTGTAGAACTTTCCAGTAATATAAATAGTAGTCTCAATACAGGGGCCTTAAGCCCACCAGTTCAGTTTATTTCCAGCTGCCTAAGTGGATACATATCTGGATTTTTCTGAGATGGCATCAAGAGGCTGCAATCATCCGGCAGACACATTTTGCTATATCTGCGGCCAATTTATCAAGACAAGAGCGAAAAAGTACTCTGTGGAAGCATCTGCTAAGATGTGTGAAGCCTACAAGGCACATTTTGGTATGCCTGTCGGGGATCAAGACAAACCCTGGGCATCTCATTTCACCTGTGAGAAATGCAAAAAAAACCTCTGGAAGGTAAGATGGACAATTGTTGCTCGGAATTTTATGTTATCAAATTTGTAATAAAAAATTTTAATTGTACATTTTTTTAAATGTTTTAAAATTTTCAATGTTATTTGAAAAATATACCATATATTAAAAATGGTGCGAGAATCTCTTACAAATTAGTCATGGGTGAAATCAATGTATTTTTGTAGGATGGTACAGAGGGGAAAAGAGAGCCACGAAGTTCGCTATCACTGACCACTCAAGCAACTGCTACTTCTGCATTGTGGACCCTTCGAAACGTTGGACTGGCAATAATGCACCTGCTATCACGTATCCGGACCTTCCTTCATCCATCGCCCTGGTGCCAAACTGCCTTGAGCTCCCCATATCATCTCCTCCGGTGAGAGAGCAGCCATCTTTAGAAGAGAGCAGCAAGTCAGAGAGCGACGAAGACGTAGATCCAGATGACAATTTCAGAGGTGGAGCTGAGGAGAGAAACCCATACTACCCCAACCAAAAAGACCTCAACGACTTGATCAGAGATCTTGGTCTCACCAAGTCCAATGCCGAACTTTTGACATCTAGACTCAAGCAGTGGAACTCGTTGGATGAAAGTGTGCAAGTCGCAGATCAGAGAAAGTGTCACCAACCTTTTTGCAGCTTCTTCACCCATCAAGATGGGCTCTGCTTCTGCCACAATGTGACCAGTCTGTTCGAGGCAATCGGAATCGCCTGTAACCAGAATGAGTGGCGCCTCTTCATTGACAGCTCATCCAGGAGCCTAAAAGTCGTGCTTCTCCATAATGGTAACAAGTACCTGTCTCTTCCCCTGGCTCACTCGGTGCACCTCAAAGAGGATTACAACAGCATCAAGACCTTGCAGGATGCCTTGAAGTATGATGAGTACGGCTAGGAGGTCATCTGAGACTTCAAAATGGTGGCATTCCTGATGGGTCTCCAAGACGGTTTTACCAAGTTTCTCTGCTATCTTTGCCTTTGGGACAGCAGGGACACCATGGCGCACTACCACAGGCGGGACTGTCCACAGCGGACCGAGTTCTATGTAGGGGGGAAGAACGTCAACTGGTGGACTCCCGGAAGGTGTTGATGTCACGACTGCACGTCAAATTGGGCCTTATTAAACAATTTGTCAGAGCTGTAGATAAGGATTCGGCCGCCTTCAAGAACCTTCAAGACTTCTTCCCTAAGCTGTCTGAGGCAAAGGTCAAAGCCGGTGTCTTTGTCGGACCACAGATAAAGAAGATCCTGGAGTATAGTAATAGGTTTTTACCCTTTTATCTGGCACAAAAGCTGACACCTTTATGCAAGGGATCATGTTTGCAATAACTACAACACAAGTAGTCAAAATGCAAACAAAAAAGACAACTCTGATAATATGCACTGTCCTTGAATTTGATTGGTCCACACCCGAGACGGCTTTTCTTAGAGCCCAGTCTCTACTGGTGTTGGACCAGAAGACGCCAAAAGGCGTACAACTCAAAAACCGCGCACCATCAGAGTATTGAGAGCTCGGGGTAAGCACTTACATTATGAGACCTCCTTTGCCAGTAACAAGATATAGTAATAGGTTTTTACCCTTTTATCTGGCACAAAAACTGACACTCTCATAATGTAAGATCCTGGAGTGCAATTAATTCTCCAAGAAGCTCACTAGTAAGGAGAAAGCGGCTTGGAACAGCTTTGTCGCAGTGGTTTGTGGCTTCCTGGGAAATCACAAGGTCGAAAACTATGTGGAGCTGGTTGAGACTGGTGAAGAATGACAATGGGCTGTAGGGTGTCCCTCAAAGTCCATATCCTTGATGCTCATCTTGAGAAATTCAAGGAAAACATGGGAGCGTACTAGTAGGAGAAAGGCGAGCACTTCCACCTGTATCTACTGGACTTTGAACGCCGCTACCAAGGACAGTATAACGAGAAAGTAATTTACAGTATAATTGTACATCTCGAAAAACTACTCACTTCTAAATCTTTTGTAGTAATTTTTGTATTACTTTAGTATAAATACATGTTAATTTTGAGTCATATGTTGTTTTTTCTGACTTTATGTGAACGAAACAACACAAATTCACCCGTTTTCTCATTGAAAATAGGTACATTTCAAAATATCACTGTCCTGATCACAAAAGAAAAGTTTGTGGAGAATAATAGCCATTTTCTATACTTTTTACATCGTGAAATTCGCAACTTGCCCTCTAACGACTCAATTGGGATTATTCATAGCAGCAAACATCACCCTGTACTGGCAGACTAATACCCCAGGTCACTCATGGAAATGAGACGTTTTCACCTGGTTCATCGAAATGAACTTGAATCTTATTGTTGGACATTCTATTTCATACTCTGTTTAAGTCCTTAGAAACATGTGTAGTGTCTTGAAAAATCACTCAGACAGACACGTTGTAACAAGTCACCTGCTTACACTTTATTAACCTATTCTTGCACCAGTTGCAGGCACTCCTAGAACTATCTACATGGTTACTTAGATCTAACTTCTTCCAGTTATCTCTATGTTTCACCTCACCTATGCTGCCTTCAGCAGCTCTGCTCCCAGCATCTCTACACACAGCTTAGTCGCACTCAGCGTTTTCACACACAGAGGCTTCGCACCCAGTGCCTCAGCACACAGCAGCGTCTCACACAGAGGTTTGCACCCAACGCCTCAGCACTCAGCAGCTTCTCACACTCCACCACTGCCCTCGCCTACACTCCCTCAGACCCACTCACTTGTCTGTCCCGGGCAGGGGGATCAACCATCACCCGCCCGGCGACTCGTGAGGGTTGAGGTCCATTGACGGCTTGAGCGGCAGCGGCGAGATGTCTTCACTCTTGTCCCCAGCAACAACTAACCCCGCTCTGCTCACGTCCTTATTACCTCCTGCCAATTATCCGAGAGCTCTCGTGTTTCTCTTTAAGGCTAGCCAGGCTGGTGCCTGTCAGCCTATTAATCAACCCTTATCTCCTGTCTCCCTGGCAACACCTCCGGTATCAGCGTGTACAACCGGTCAACCCGGTATGCACCCGCTTAGCCCCTTAATTAGGTGGCAGTTTGTTCGTGCAACCCTATGTTGCACATGCGCATCTGTTTGCCCTCGGTTGCCCTCGGTTAACAGTGTGCACCGCGTATTTTACTCCTCTATACTTGTGTCAGCCAAGCAAATGTGAGCATTCATTACATGTTACCGAATTTGAATGGTGTTGTTCTGCTCTATGACACCCATGTGCTGCTGCTGCCGCACACAGAATAGTGGCGACGGGAGTCCGTCCCATCCCGGCGAGGAGCCGAGGCCCACTCACGTTCCACGGACCAGCCACACCACAGCAAGTGCCAGCAGCGGGTACGGCGCCTAGGTCTCACCAGGCGCCTAGGTCCCACCAGACTCCTATGCCTCACCAAGCTCCTAGGCCTCACCAAGCTCCTAGGCCTCACCAGGCTCCTATACCTCACCAGGCTCCTATACCTCACCAAGCTCCTAGGCCTCACCAGGCTCCAATGCCTCACCAAGCTCCTAGGCCTCACCAAGCTCCTAGGCTTAACTAAGCTACAAACCTCACCAGGCTCTTAGGCCTCACTCTCATGCGCAAATGAGAACACAGCCACAAAAGGCCTGCCACCTGTTCTAATTGTAAATCCTCCTTTTGAGGCAGCTGCCCTGGAAAATCTGTAAATCTTTGCAATTTGTGTCAGTTGCATAATAATAATACAGTGGTACCTTGGTTTATGTCGTTAATTCGTTCCAGAAGGTAGGATTTATACCGAAAATGACGAATACCAAACAAATTTTTCCTGTAAGAAATAAAGGAAAGGAAATTATATTTATATGGCATATTATACATTAATGGGTTGTATAACATAATTTAGACACTACTTATTACTAAAATGCATACATACATTAAAATAAATGCATAATAAATTAAAATAAATTGAAATAAAAATAAAATTTAACATCACTTTACCTTGCTGAGAGGAGTTGATAGCCTACAGACTGAGGAGCGGTGCTTTGTTTCAGTCGTGAACGAGGTATACGAGGGTATGAGGTGACTCATCCAGACCTATACAAGTTCTATCAAGCGCGTCGTATCCCAAGCAAGACGTCGTATCCCAAGACATTTTTTCTCGTCAAAACATGACGTATACCAAATTCGACGTATTCGAAAAGCGGTCATATACCGAGGTATGACTGTATTGTACACCACTCATTTACATTCAGTTCTCCCCTCTTACAGTTTTGAGAGATATTTGAATTTTTACTATGATATGTCACAGTTTGTTTTTGTATCTCAGAGGTAGTCATCATAATTAAAGTAGATTTGAAGCTTTCGTGACTGCAAGGATTCATACTCTTTGGTTTTATTTGGTAAAGTCACGTAGGTAAAATAAAATCAAAGAAAACAATTAAATCACGACGTTTCGGAGGCAACACAAGCTTCCGTTTTCAGGTGGAATAGTCACAGCAGAAAATCTGTGTTAAGTACACAGCTCTGAGACGATCGGGTTTATATATAGGTTAAGGGGGGAGGAGGAGTTAGAAAGGGGCGTGGGTGGGTGGGAGGGGTGAGTCAAGCCGCCTTTTGTTAAGCTGCAGGGGGGTCAGGAAGAGGCTGTGGTGCCAACAAATGCGGGTAAAACCCCTTTTTGTTGTGGGGGGTTGGGGGGGAAGCGATGGCGGGCGAGTAAGCCCCATTTTTTAAAACGAAAAGATCTAAAGTTTGGCATATCACCACTGGTAATTGCAGTACAATTAAAAGGCAGCTACCATGGTACTCTGCAAACCTACCGTTTATTATCAGAGATTTGTCCACGAGGCAATCCAGATATACAAACACAGACACAACTTCAACCGAGAGGATGGTTTCAAATTAAGCAACCATTGGAAAGATGTTATAAATCAAGTCAAACGTTAGCTGCCTTTTAATTGTAGAGCAATTTCCAGTGGTGGTATGCCAAACTTTAGATCTTTTCGTTTTCAAAAATGGGGCTTACTCGCCCGCCATCGCCTCCCCCCCAACCCCCCACAACAAAAAGGGGTTTTACCCGCATTTGTTGGCACCACAGCCTCTTCCTGACCCCCCTGCAGCTTAACAAAAGGCGGCTTGACTCAGCCCTCCCACCCACCCACGCCCCTTTCTGACTCCTCCCCCCCTCTTAACCTATATATAAACCCGATCGTCTCAGAGCTGTGTACTTAACACAGATTTTCTGTTGTGACTATTCCACCTGAAGACGGAAGCTTGTTTTGCCTCCGAAACGTCGTGATTTAATTGTTTTCTTTGATTTTATTTTATTTTACCTACGTGACTTTACTGAATAAAACCAAAGAGTATAATTAAAGTATTTTTTTTAACATATATGGTGAGAGAGGCAGTTTTATAATTTCACAACACGTTCCCTGTTGAAAAAGCAACAAATCTGTGAAAACAATTTCTGATGTCCTACACTCGATTCTGCCTGTCCGCCCTGGATGATTCTGCGTTTTCACAGCAGAGGTGTTCAAACAGTGTGTATAACAGTGTTCTGTGGGGAGCTTCCGTTCAGTGCAGGGGTCATGGGAACATCGGTGCTCGCTCACTCGCTTATCCTGTAACACAGGTATAGCCTACGCAGCGCCCTGCAGCAGCTGGGCGTGGACGAGGAGCGGGACGATGAGGACCGGGAGGCCGGGGTAGGAGGCCACGTCCGGAGAGATTACCTTGCCTTCATGTTCCTCCGCCACTTGCGCATACGCGAGTTGCAGGTGAGAACAAACATTCACCTAAACCGTCTTTTTGTTCTCTCCCACAACACACAATCAAGAAATTAATCTCACATCATAATAAAGGTTTTTGTTTATTGTTAGATCGCGTAAATGTGTCACTAAACCCGCCACCATCTGACACTAAAGCAATTAATCACAGGTGTGCTGAATAATTGGCATGTTCTGTTTACTTGGCAAACCTTACTAATTGTCTGTGGTGACAGGTTTAATGACTGGTTTAATGACACATTTATATTTAGGTGATCTAACCCAATAAACATTTATTATGGATAATATTGATTGCGTAATCTCACACGTAGGCTTTAATGACCAATATTACAATTCGTAATAGATTTTTGGGTCCGATAGCGTTATGTAAAACGTGTGGCGTACACAAACGTGCATCATCATGATGTTGCTGGTTGTGAACTACCAACGAAACGTCGTACCCAATTGTTAAATGGGTGTGGATCGCTGTCTGATACACCGGTGGTGCTGAAGCAGTAATAAAGTGTCACGCTTATTCACGGGACCGTTATATTAATTGGCGATGTCGGTTGGAGGAGGGTTTAAAACACAATTTACTTATCCTTTCTGACACAAAAATCACTTATAAATCAATAAAGCATTAATTTTCTTAAGATGTTTATCCCTTCTTGATGATTGAATCTGCCGATGTAACGCTTTGTCTTGGGGCTCGTCCGACAGTTGAAAGATTTTGATTTAAAGCTTTCGTGACTGCAGTAATTCATATTCTTAGTTTTTTCGGTAAAGTCACGTTGAAGGGAAACAACAAAATAATAAAATATATATATAAAACAATAAAAAAATTCTCACGACGTTTCGACCATAACTCAAACGGTCATCTTCAGGTGTGTTGGTTTGCATAAATGTATTTTTAAACGGCGCATTTATTTATTTATAAAAAACGTTAGCGCCACGCACAACGATTTGGCAGTTTATTTAGGACTAGTCCATCTATATTCTGAAAAGAGGAGGGGGGAGACGAAATTTTTTATAATGTATGCTGTCTGAAAGCCACTGTAAGCGTGAACAATCAATTAAGACCTGAAATGGTTTATCAAATCTTTCCAATGATTGCTAAGATAGAATCCATCTTCTCGGTTGAAATTGTCTCTGTGCTTGTATATGTGGATAGCCTCATGAACGAATCTCTCATGGAAGCCAGATGGCTTACAAAGAACCTCTGCCATTAGGGCTAATGGTTACTCCGACTATACAATCCGCAAAGCTATCACTCAAACCATGAAGAAGAACCCTCTTGAGGAGCCTTTCAAAACCATCACTTTACCCTACATTGCGGGGATCACAAAAAAGATCTCCAAAATCTTGAATAAACACAAGATCCATGTCCGTTTCAACACATTACATAAAATCCGTGATCTGGTTCCGTCTGTAAAAGATGTGATTCCGGACATACAATACCCTGGTGTCTACAAACTAAGCTGCCTCTGTGGTAGTAGTTACATTGGAGAAACCAAACGCCATGTCTCGGACCGCATTCGTGAACACAAAGCAGACCTTAAACACGGTAGGACCAACACCTCGGCCGTGGCAGATCATTGTTCTAATTCAGTAGGCTCACATGCCATTGACTTTTCCAAGACAGAGGTTCTTTGTAAGCCATCTGGCTTCCATGAGAGATTCGTTCATGAGGCTATCCACATATACAAGCACAGAGACAATTTCAACCGAGAAGATGGATTCTATCTTAGCAATCATTGGAAAGATTTGATAAACCATTTCAGGTCTTAATTGATTGTTCACGCTTACAGTGGCTTTCAGACAGCATACATTATAAAACATTTCGTCTCCCCCCCTCCTCTTTTCAGAATATAGATGGACTAGTCCTAAATAAACTGCCAAATCGTTGCGCGTGGCGCTAACGTTTTTATAAATAAATAAATGCGCCGTTTAAAAATAAATGTATGCAAACCAACACACCTGAAGACGACCGTTTGAGTTATGGTCGAAACGTCATGAGAATGTTTTATTGTTTTATATATATTTTATTATTTTGTTGTTTCCCTTCAACGTGACTTTACCGAAAAAACTAAGATATAGTTGAAAGATTGTTGAGATGAAATCTGAGTCAAGCGTTAATTGAGCCCATATGCCTCTTGGGAATGATAAACTGGGTACAGCAAGTCCACAGTGCTTGTCCGATAGATAGAAGTCTCCTAAAAAATGGAGTGATATAGAGTTTCCACTGCTAACTCAGTTTATTATGAAGGATAATTTCTGTATTTGAGCGTGATAAAACATGTTCACTGCACTGGTTTGGTGGAATCGTTTTTTTTACATTTATATCACAGCGAGTAGTTTTATTATCATAGTTCTCCTTGTTCGTCTGCTCTTATTTTATCTTTTTTCTTATCTCCATAATACAGGCAATGGGACTGACCATTATATGACAGAAAAATCCACTGAATTATGATTAAGCATTGCTTGAATGATTTAATTATTATAACACCCCTTCCATGTTTTTGTATTCGCGTCATCACCTCAAACTGAATTTTATCGACTTTTTCAGAGCTGGAATAACCCCCAATTCATTTACAAAGCAAATTCACGACGGCGGGTTTTTTTCCGTTCAGTCGTTGGTGAACTGGGCCGAAGCCGTCGGTGTGTCTCAGTGCCCCCTGTCCGTAGCAACAACTCCCTGGGCCACCCGGCTGTCCCCACTGAGTGTCGCGTTGTCACTTGCTCTGGCGTGGTGCAGCGCGAGTGTCTGGGCCTGCTCAACTACTTCCGCTCGGTGGAGCGCTCCATCACCATCGACCAGGCCGGGTTGAGCTGGCAGCGTGGCTCCATGGGGAGCACCTCGGGGGGCTGGGTGGGAGCGGCACGGGGGGGGGGCGTGCCCCTCCCAGGGAGGGTCGGCTCCCAGGAGCACCTCTACAACTCTCCGGCCGACTACATGGTATGGGTTGCCACGGTGGCGAGATGTTAACTTCCTCGCCTGGTACGCAGGAGGTCGTAGGTTCGATCCCAACTGTGATGCCTGCTGTATATTTGGAGTTTACTTGTCTCTCTCCCCGTGGTCGTGTGTATTTTTCTCTGGGCCGTACGGTTTTTCCTTCCACATTTATAATCAACATCATGCGTTTAGGGTATTTGTCAGCTATACATTTCCACATGACAAGCCACTTCAGTGAGCTATTAATTGTGATAGCCAGGTCGCTTCTAAAAAAGAGCTACATAGCTCTCTGGGGTCTTACCTGGATAAATAAATTTAGCATAGCACCTGCTGCTGCCTCCTCCTCCTGCTGCTGCTGCCTACAATGCATGGCCTGCTCAGTTTCACACAGCCAGAGTGCTCGCTGCAGAGCAAAATCACGACGGATGAGTGCCCTATGCGGCAGTGTCTCTCTCTCTTGGCTCGTCTTTTCCTGCCAAAGCAAAGTCTGATTCGAGTGCCACAAATCTGTGACGTCGAATAGCTAAAAAAAGCTTGCCGCAGTTGTTATGAATATAACAAGTCGGTTGTTATTGTGAGTCACAATAAAGACATAATTGCTGCATAGTTTACATGCAGGCTGGTAATTTACATTGCACTCATAATGCATGTGTGGTGAGCAGAAAATGGCAGTGCAGAAAAGTGGTGTAGTGTACTTTCACTCTCCTAAGTCTATGTTCCCTACCTTCACCAACCCACATTGTACGGCATAGTGAAGTTTGGTCACATAACCCCTGTGAGCTGCACGGCGTGGGGAGGCCCTAATCCAGTAGTGGATTGACGGAAGGGCTGTAAACGCGCAGACGTGAGATGAATTGTGGCATCGCGGGACAATGAGGGATGGCGACAACGTGGGAAGATCTCCATTCAGCAGTGTATAGAATATGCCTGTTAATGATGATGACGATGACGTGCTCTGGCTACGTTGAAGGCTTTTACAAGTCTGGGTAGATTATGAGACCTCCTTTGCCAGTAACAAGATATAGTAATAGGTTTTTACTCTTTTATCTGGCACAAAAACTGACACCTTTATACAAGGGATCACGTTTGCAATAACCACAACACAAGTAGTCAAAATGCAAACAAAAAAGACAACTCTGATAATATGCACTGTCCTTGAATTTGATTGGTCCACACCCAAGACGGATTTTCTTAGAGCCCAGTCTCCACTGGTGTTGGACCAGAAGACGCCAAAGGGCGTACAACTCAAAAACAGCGCACCATCAGAGTATTGAGAGCTCGGGGTAAGCACTTACATTATGAGACCTCCTTTGCCAGTAACAAGATACAGTAATAGGTTTTTACCCTTTTATCTGGCACAAAAACTGACACCTTTATACAAGGGATCATGTTTGCAATAACTACAACACAAGTAGTCAAAATGCAAGCAAAAAAGACAACTCTGATAATATGCACTGTCCTTGAATTTGATTGGTCCACACCCAAGACGGCTTTTCTTAGAGCCCAGTCTCCACTGGTGTTGGACCAGAAGACGCCAAAAGGCGTACAACTCAAAAACAGCGCACCATCAGAGTATTGAAAGCTCAGGGTAAGCACTTACATTATGAGACCTCCTTTGCCAGTAACAAGATATAGTAATAGGTTTTTACCCTTTTATCTGGCGCAAAAACTGACACCTTTATACAAGGGATCATGTTTGCAATAACCACAACACAAGTAGTCAAAATGCAAACAAAAAAGACAACTCTGATAATATGCACTGTCCTTGAATTTGATTGGTCCACACCCGAGACGGCTTTTCTTAGAGCCCAGTCTCCACTGGTGTTTGACCAGAAGACGCCAAAAGGCGTACAACTCAAAAACAGCGCACCATCAGAGTATTGAGAGATATAGTAATAGGTTTCAGATAAAAGGGTAAAAACCTATAACTTACATTATGAGACCTCCTTTGCCAGTAACAAGATATAGTAATAGGTTTCAGATAAAAGGGTAAAAACCTATTACTATATCTTGTTACTGGCACAGGAGGTCTCATAATGTAAGTGCTTACCCCGAGCTCTCAATACTCTGATGGTGCACTGTTTTTGAGTTGTACGCCTTTTGGCGTCTTCTGGTCCAACACCAGTGGAGACTGGGCTCTAAGAAAAGCCGTCTCTGGTGTGGATCAATCAAATTCAAGGACAGTGCATATTATCAGAGTTGTCTTTTTTTTTGATTTTGAATACTTGTGTTGTGGTTATTGCAAACATGATTCCTTGTATAAAGGTGTCAGTTTTTGTGCCAGATAAAAGGGTAAAAACCTATTACTATATCTAGTTACTGGCAAAGGAGGTCTCATAATGTAAGTGCTTACCCCGCGCTCTCAATACTCTGATGGTGCGCTGTTTTTGAGTTGTACGCCTTTTGGCGTCTTCTGGTCCAACACCAGTGGAGACTGGGCTCTAAGAAAAGCCGTGTCAGGTGTGGACCAATCAAATTCAAGGACAGTGCATATTATCATAGTTGTCTTTTTTTGTTTGCATTTTGACTAATTGTGTTGTGGTTATTGCAAACATGATCCCTTGTATAAAGGTGTCAGTTTTTGTGCCAGATAAAAGGGTAAAAACCTATTACTATATCTAGTTACTGGCAAAGGAGGTCTCATAATGTAAGTGCTTACCCCGCGCTCTCAATACTCTGATGGTGCGCTGTTTTTGAGTTGTACGCCTTTTGGCGTCTTCTGGTCCAACACCAGTGGAGACTGGGCTCTAAGAAAAGCCGTCTCGGGTGTGGACCAATCAAATTCAAGGACAGTGCATATTATCATAGTTGTCTTTTTTGTTTGCATTTTGACTAATTGTGTTGTGGTTATTGCAAACATGATCCCTTGTATAAAGGTGTCAGTTTTTGTGCCAGATAAAAGGGTAAAAAGTCTGGGTAGCTTTTACCAAAAGCCATGTAACGGTTCCGTGCTGGTGCCGCGGCAACGGCTTTGGGCTGAAACTGCGGCAACGGCTCCGTGTGGTGCCGCGGCAACGACTCTGTGCTGCCGCCACAGTTACAGCTCCGCAATGGTACCGTGGTAACCGCTCCGTGCGGCGATGCAGGTGCGTGAGGTGGAGTTCATGGAACTCACGGAGCTGGAGAATCATCAAGACTTCTGCAGCGAGGAGGGCGCGGGGCTGGTGCAGGTTCGCGACCCGCAGGGCGTGCTGGTCATGTACGATGTGGCGCTGAGTGACCTGCGCCAGCTGGAGGCCGAGCTGCTGCTCGTGGCTCAGAGCTGCAGTGCCCTCGCCAGCACGGGCACCGGCACCACGGGTACCGCAGCTCAGCTCGACACCGGCCGCCGGTGCCCATCTCACCCGTTCTGCCAACATGCGTCTCATCCACTCAGCTGCAGCCGCCTAATGTGATCACCCATCATCAGTGGAACATTGTCATCATCGACCATGGTCTTTCCGCTTTTGGATTAAGGACACCCTATGCTGTACCCATCGCTCCATCGTACCACGATGCCACAGTGGATCTCACTTCTACACGTAATCTTATTTCATTGCTCTGTCTCCGTAATAGATTTTTGGGTAAGATTGCGGAGCTGAAATATGTGTTGTAAACCCTCCTCTACCCAACACAGTCGTTTAATAAAGTTGTCATGTCAACAAACGTGCAAATTTGTTACTACTTCAACACCACTGGGTTGTTGGAGAGCCAATTTTGGAAACTGCCTGATGATGCTTGTATCTTTCGAGTTGATAATTGATAAGTTGATAATTGCGTAGATTGCTCTGCGACAATGTGGATGTTATCCAGTAGAGATTTCAGTTACATCCCCACTGTCGCGCGAGCGGCGTCCTGCCACAAGACAACATATCCACGCGCATGGCACACACCCGTCAAGTCTTTTGTTCCATTTCAATTCTCAATGTTCTGTTTCTGAACCTGCGAAAGAGTCTCAAGGCTCCACCTGGGTAAATAGAGGACATCGTTATTGTCTGGGCAAGACAGTGGCTGATCTAAGGAACGGGGCGGGGGGGAGAGATCCGGTCTATTGGTAAAATACTATGAATGTGTCTTTTAAATGATTATTTTTGAGGTTTTTTTTGTTTTAAACTTCAGGACCGCCACCTCCTTGAGTAGTTTTGAGTTCTGCTTCTGGGGTGAGGGCAGGCGTGTGAGGCTGCACTGCATGCTGTGTTCATATGGGAGAGCGTACGTCAATGTGTGTGCGCGTGCGTGCGCGCGAGTGACTTTCAGGGAAGCGGGCAACACACGAAGAGGGGGCCGACAGATTCTCTCTGCTCATGGAGCTGTGGGGCTGTGAGGCCGCCTTCCTGCAGGACAAGCGACAGGTAGCAGCCATGTTCGTCGTCGGGCGCGAGCCCGCCCCCCCTGTCGCACTGTGTGACCAGGGATCATTCAAGGGCCCTCGCTTGCGCGTAGCGCTGGGGGCAGAGCGTTGATTCGTTCATTATAATAATTATAATATATGTTCAACGTGTAACGTGTCGCCATCACACAGCGTATGCTCGCTCTTGTAGAGAGAGAACAGCTCGAGAGGCTTGGAGAGGAACCGCAAATAAGCGGGAAGGCAGTCACGTGATGAGCCAGTGCCAACAAATGCCCAAGCTCTGCGGTTATCTGTTATATTAAGTTGTTATTGGCCAATTAATGAGTGTTTATACATGGGAGGAAACCGGAGAACCGGGCGAAGACCCATGCCTGCGAGGAGGAAACACTCTATTCCAGACAGACGGAACAGGTTGAGCCCACAGTTTTGCTGTACTGCCTTTTCCTGGCAAGCCAGAGCATGACTCCTTCTTGACGCCGGCAGGAAGGGAGTTTACACGACTTCTGTATGATCCACCAACCCTCGCTGCCTCCACAGTCCAGCATTACAGGCCACGTACATAGCCACCACCGCTCAGCTGATAATATCAGTTATTAAGCTCAACATAAGCAATGTATCAAATTTGCTGTATAACAATGTTTTTCTATGGTTATATCCTTTTTAACACATAGATGTTCACGACCAATATCATCCATAATCGAGGTTTTTTGGATTAGATCGCGATCTAACCAAAAAAAACCTCTATTATGGTTATATCCTGTCTGAAATGAGTTCAATTCACCGCGGCTGTAGTCACTAGAGGCACTACCATTCAGCACAATGAAAAGAAAATCAACAATTGAATTGAGTGGTGACACTGAGTTGAATCGTGAAAATTGAATTACATTTGTAATTTCATTGAAATCTTCCAACAGTGACTTATTGAAATTGTAACAGGTTCCTAGGTTTGTATTCGGCTGTGAATGTTTGTGGTCCACTGCTGATGGTTATGGCAGGGTCTGCGTGAACTGGCCTAGTTGGGGATTTCTGATCTGTGCTGTTTTAGCACTGGTATGTGAGAGCTGATCAAGTTTTAGTGTCCGGTCAAAGGGTTTTCTAATATTCAAGTTTCATTTATTAGGTATAGCCCTGTGAGCCATGCGACTCTTGAGTCGAGTGCAACCGCAACAAACAAAATATGAACAGAGAACATCTTAAAGCGACAACGCGCAACAGAAACATCCTGGATAAACCAGAAAATCTGCCAGAAAAAAAAACCCACCGTATTACAACGCTGTGTGCAAAAATCCCAGTGTGATGCAAGTTAAACAATAACAACCATAAGACATCTTCTTGGTTCTTTCGGTAAAGTCACGTAGAATGGGGATAAAATAATAATAATAAAAATTAAATAAAAATTCTCACGACGTTTCGGAGGCAACACAAGCTTCCGTCTTCAGGTGGGACAGTCACAGCAAGATCGCTGATCAAGTGGGGAGGCTCTGAGAGCCTTGAGCTTAAATACAGGTTAAAGGGGGGGAAGGAGGGCGGGGCCAAGTGGGGGACATTGATGGGGTGTGGGGCTAAGTTAATCATTCTTTTGTTCTGTTGATGGTGCGGTACGTCCAGTGGGCCACTGTTCTGTTGATGGTGCGGTACGTCCGGTGGGCCACTGCACGGGGGCAGTGGGAAAATTAAGTTAATCATTCTTTTGTTCTGTTGATGGTGTGGTACGTCCTGTGGACCACTGCACGGGGGCAGTGGGAATTTTTTTTAGTTATACAATGCGTTACTGTGTACTACCCTATACTTTAGACTATAAAAAATATTAGACTTGTAATATTACACTGTCTTATTCTGTCAACCTTAATGTATAACACACTGCTGTATATTCATTATGCAATTACGATACTATATATATTGCCTTATGAATTATGTTAAACATTACGATGCTGTACTATTTATTATTATACTACATGTTATAAACCATACCATTGGCTGTGGTGTGAAAGATATCAAGAGGCAGTGCTAGCGAATGGACTGCGGTCTGAAAGTCACCACAAAATACAATAAATTAAGAACTGAAATGGTTTATAACATCTTTCCAATGGTTACTAAGCCAGAATCCATCTTCTTGGTTGAAATTGTCTCTGTGTTTGTATATGTGGATGGCCTCATGAACGAATCTCTCATGGTAGCCGGATGGCTTGCAAATAGCCTCCGTCTTGGAGAAGTCAATGTCATGTGAGCCCACTGAATTATAACAGTGATCTGCCACGGCCGAGGAGTTAGTCCTACCGTGTTTCAAGTCTGCTTTATGTTCGCGGATGCGGTCTGAGATATGTCATTTGGTTTCTCCAATGTAGCTGCTACCACAGAGGCAACTTAGTTTGTAAACACCCGGGTACTGTATATCTGGAACAGCATCTTTTACAGACGGAACCAGATCACGGATCTAATGTACTTTGTTGAATCGGACCTGGATCTTGTGTTTATTCACGATTTTGGAAAAAAAATGTGACCCCAGCAATGTAGGGTAAGGTGATGGTTTTGAAAGAATGATTAACTTAATTTCCCACTGCCCCCCATGCAGTGGCCCACCGGACTTACCGCACCATCAACAGAACAAAATAATGATTAACTTAGCCCCACACCCCATCAATGTCCCCCACTTGGCCCCGCCCTCCTTCCCCCCCCCCCCCCACCTTTAACCTGTATTTAAGCTCGAGGCTCTCAGAGCCTCCCCACTTGATCAGTGATCTTGCTGTGACTGTCCCACCTGAAGACGGAAGCTTGTGTTGCCTCCGAAACATCGTGATAATTTTTATTTTTATTATATTTTTTATATTATTTTATCCCCATTCTACGTGACTTTACCGAAAGAACCAAGAAGATGAATCCCTGCAGTCATGAAAGCTTTAAATCGAAACCATAAGACAATTTAGATTAAAGTTATCAGGCCAACTCCGCACTTCCGCAAGAAACATGGCTTAACCATATGTTTTCGAAATCACCAAAATAAAGCTATAAAAACAATGTAACAGTAATCATAGGAACTGTGATTCAAATTTTATAATAAACGATATACATAACATGTACGACCAAAATTGCAGCCATAGTATTGTGTGCGGTCATCTCAAGTGGTCTGCACACCTGTGTGCGCTTGGATGTAAAGATACTCTCGGTGTTGTGTGTCTGTGTCAGCTGGTGGACTGCTACTTCCAAGCGTACGAGCACTCCCTGGACGGAGAGGAGAGGGTGGCGCTGGCTCAGATCATCGCCGACACGGTCCACCAGCGGCCACGCTTCGAACAGAGAAGTATCGACTTTGCTGAGACGTACCGCATGGAGAGGGCCTGCCTGCAGACCCTGCACCAGCTGCTCGTGGGAGTCATGGACAGACAGGTTTGACATCCCACAAGTTTCACGATTGGCTGCATTGACAAGGGGCGCTAAGGGAAAAGCTGCTGCCAATTTTATTTGTCAAAAAATTGTGGCAATTGCCTGATAACACTTGTTGTAACTGCCGGCGAGATGTCGAGCCTAATGGCTGCGGATTGCTCTCGGTGCTGCTGAAGCAGTAATACATCTCAATTCACAAAACCCGGCCATCCAGTTCACCATGGAAATGGAGGTGAATAACATACTCCCTTTCCTAGATATTTTGCTCGGACGCGGCCTAAATGGTAAAATAACACAGCGTTTACCGAAAGGGAACGCACACAGATGCCTATCTGAATGCAGATTTGCATCATCACCCCGCAGAGAAATTCTCTCTCATCCAGACGCTCATACATCGGGCTAAAACAGTGTCAGATGGGGGAAGTCTGAGGAGACAGATTAAACATGTTAAATAAACACTACGATTGAATGGCTACAATAATGTTCAAATTCACAGAGCATTGAATGCCAATCCAAGATCGAACAGCAATACAGCTGAAAGCGATCAGGTTATTAAAATAATAAATATACTCCTCTTTGGGTACTATTTGGTTATTTCGGTAAAGGCACGTAGGTAAATAATTAATTAAAGTTGATCAAATTACGACGTTTTGGAAGCAACACAAGCCTCCGTCATCAGGTGGGATAGGTCACAAGAAGTAATTTGCTGTAGTGGCCAAGAGCTGCTCGTAACAAGGATATTATATAAGGCAAATGTTTGTACATGAAGCCATCCAGATATATAAACACAGACATATCTTCAACCGAGAGGACGGATTCAAATTGAGCAATCATTGGAAGGATGTTATTCACCAGGTAAAATCTTAGTTGCTGTATATTTTCTTTCATACCCGTATCTCCAGTCTCTTCAACACTCTACTCCACCCCCCAAACCCGCTCGGTGCACCACTCCGACATTGTGTCTTCGACATTGTGTCTTCACCCAAAGAGCAATCGTCTTCAGGTGAAGACGATTGCTTGTGTTGCGATCGAAATGTCGTGATCTATTATTTTTCTATCTACGTGACTTTACCGAAAGACCCAAAGAGTATGAATTCCTGCAGTCACGAAAGCTTTAAATCAAGAATAAAAATACTATATATCGCGGGAGTAACTGACAAACTAGCTCGAGTTTTAGAAAAGCAAAAATTCGAAGTAAGATTTGGCATGGTACACAAAATTATAAAACTAGTATATTGTGCTAAAGATGGATTGCATAACTTAACAACAGAAGGTGTGTATTGTATTAATTGCTTATGTGGCAGGCATATGCTATATTGGACAGACAGGATGTAACATTAGCATAAGATTAAAAGAACACCAAATAAATATTAAATACTCTCAAACACAACTGTTGGCAGTTGTAGAACATGCTTGCCAACAAGGACACTCAATTGATTTGATAACGTCGAAGTGTTGTGTAAAACTAATTATTACTGGCCAATACTAATTCGAGAATCCATTGAAATTTAAAGAAATACAAATAATTTTAACTGCTGTTACAGCTACAGGCTTAGTGCGGCCTCGAAGCATATTAATAAGTAATACATCTTACAATTACAATTCCTTATAGAGGAAACACATACTAATTAACTGATTACTAATCTATATGTAAAAGGGAAATTTGTGAATATGTGTGTCTGTTCAAAATGTTTAGCATACTTCCCAACATGCAACAAACTTGAAATTTGCCATGTGGATACTTTCTAGACTGTACACCATGCAAAAATTATAAAAATGCATATATTTTGCACGGCAAGTGAGCTGTGACGTCACATCTGTCATGTGACCCATATGCGGAAGCGTAACGGAGTGTGCCTGCTGATGTCACCCCCCCCCCCCAACCCTCTGCGGGTAAAGTGAAATATAAATGTGTTGCAGGTCTAAGGCGTTCTTCACGCAGCATTGGTTTATTATTTGAGTCGTTTACTGCCGTACGCACCCTGAAAGTTGTGTGTCTGCAGCAAGTGCGTGTATGTGTACCTATGGACGCGCGCGCGCGTGTGTGTGTGGGGGGAGCGGTAGTGTCGTGGTTAGCGCGCTGTGCTACGAACCTGGCGACCCGAGTTCGATTCCTGCTCACGGCCACCACCGGTGATGATTATTTGAACTGGTCCTGGGCCTCCCCTAGGTCGACTCAGTCTCAAACGAGTAACTCGTGTGGTGTGTGAACATCGCCACTTGGGACACAAAGGCGGTCGGGCGTGGTGAATCTAAGTCCTGGGCGAAGCCGGGTAGTAAAGCTAGTCTATCATAATTACAATACCCCCCCTCCTCCGCCTCTGATCTCTGCACCTGATTGGGTTCAGTGATGACGTTGTCCTGCTCTATTTAAGATTGGAAGCAGGTGGATTGCTTCACTATTCTGGAAAATCGCCCGATGATTCTGGATGTAATTACCAGCGAAACGTCGTACTCAAATTGTAAATGTGGATTTACTCTCCAATACACCGGTGGGCTGGAGTAGTAACTAATTGGCGTTTTGTTGACGTGACAAATTCCTTATTAATTTGCTGTGTCGGGTGGTGGAGGGTTATGACACATTTATACTTACGCGATCTAACTCAAAAACCTGCGTGTGGTGACGTGCGTTGTGCGTGCACATGATTGTCTGGGACCGTGCCCTGGCCGCGCGGGCTGCGTGCAGGTGGCCGCCATGCGCGACTATGCTCGGAGCGTGTGGCGCGACGGGGAGAGGGGCAACACGCTTGACTACGGCCTACCTCCTCGCATCGTGCCCACCGAGCCCATAGCGCTTGCCAGCACCAGCAGGTACCCACACTCACACCCACCAGTGGGCACCCACACTCACACCCACCAGCGGGCACCCACACTGGATTCTCAGGTCAAGGTTGCTTGCCTATGAAAACCCCCGGCAGTCACATTCTTGTAGCAGCAGTCTGGTATTTTAAAAGCGATACTTCGGCTGGGTAATGCCTTTTAAAATCAACGACAGAGTTATATGTCATGAGAACCGAAGTCCACGGTTTAGAAGTGTGTGAGAAGTCATTTATAAGCATGGGCTTCTGCGAGGAGCCACGCAGCGCGGATATCAACACTGAGTGGGTCGGATGTTCGCTGCTCGTCGTCGGATCGTGGGCGAGGTGGGGGGAGCGGGCGTTGATGACACCGGTGGGGAGTAGAGACGCTCTCTCGGCGCTCTTTCGGCACTCGCCGTGCCAAGACCGACGTTCCTCTCCCACGTGCAGCGCTGCGACAAGGCCGCTCTCGCTGCTCGAGGTGCACCCTTCGCTGGGGCTCGTGTGGCGCGTCACCCATGCGCTGCGCCTCGCCTGTTCCGAGCTCTCTCCGCCGCCATCGCCGCAGCGGCTCCCCTCCGGCACCGAGCGCCTCCGCGTGGAGCAGCGCGTGTTGCGTGCGGCACTCGCCACCTGGGCGGCCGCCGAGACACCCGAGCTGGACTACGGTGCCGCCGTCCACAGAGAGGTCGGTGGCCGCTTGGCATTACGCACCTCGGCCACGTCCGGGGGAATCGCGTGGGGCGGCGGTTGCATGCCAGGACTTGTTTTCACCGTGCGTTTTATTCACCCGCGGTTGTCCGTGTGGCGCGTTTAAGTGATTCCGTGTGTTTTATAGAGACTCCGCCGTGACATTTTACTCGGTCTAAAAGTGTACAGAGCCTAAACTGGTTCACAAAAAAACACCATTCGGCATTGAACTGCAACATTCAGACCTGAAAGCTCGCGTGTCAACTGGGAGCAGCGGTCCCAACGTTTCTGGACCCACGCACCGCTCGCTGTCCACCTTCACTCATTTGCAGGCCATCGTTACAAATTTACAACTCTGAAAACGGTGTAAAATATTTAACAAAAAAGGCATAAAATTATTAATTTGCCTGTTATTTACTCGCATTCATCATATGGCTGAAGCTGCAGAGTGGTTTGTAGAAATAATCCTCGCATCTGCAACAGTTTCTGCGGCACCGTTTCCCATGGCCTTTGTGGACTGCGAGTGGCCCACGGACCGCAGCTTGGTAACCGATGCATCCGAGCGTCCCCAGCTACCGCCCCTGGACATCCTCACTGACTTTTGACTTACAGCACAAGAGATACCGTGCGAAACAGCAACGGGCTCATGCCCGCGCTCGGCGGTTTTACTCGGGGAACAATGCCGGTGTCTCTCCGCGTGCACCACAGTTGTTCGGGGAGGGGCTCCTGGGCGACCCGTGGTGTGTCTGTGAGCTGGGCTCGGCGCTGGTGGGCGCCGGGGAGACCCGGCACGGTGGGGAGGAGACGCCGGGCCAGCGGGCCGAGCGGGCCCTCTCCTCCTGGGCGCTCCTACTGGACGTCCTCTCGCTGCGACACCGGATTGCCGAGTCGGCGCACGAGACAGCTCTGCTCGCCCGGTGAGCTCAGTGGTGCATGGACCACTATGCCAGAGTTTCTGTGTCTGCTGCCCAGCCTGGACAGCACTGCGTGTGTGTGTGGTGTCGTAGTGTGGGGAGCGGTAGTGCAGCGGTTAGGGCGCTGCACTACGAACTCAGCGACCCGAGTTTGATTCCCGCTCATGGCCAACACCACTGACGATTATCTGAACCGGTCCTGGGCCTCCCCTAGGTCGACTCAGCCTCAAATGAGTACCTGGTGCGGTGTGTAAATATCGCCACTAGGGAGATAAATGCGGCCGGGCGTGGTGTTGGCCACCCACCCCCTCATGTGCCGTGCCAGCCTTCATTGGTTCTTCCTAACAGTACTTGCCCAAGGAGTCTGTTAAAGGCTACACAGGGGATATTTGTCTCGTGGAGTACAGCAGTGTCCCAGTTAGCATGCATGACATCAATTCCCGCTTATAGTCAACACCAATGACGATTATCTGCAACGGTCACGGACCTTATCTAGGTCGACTCGGCCTCAAATGAGGACGTGGATGTCACAGGTAAATTCCTTTGCATTTTGCATGCCTTCGGAGATATTTGGTGGCAGAATTTTCGCCAAAGCAGGGAGCCAGTGGATTGGAGTCAGTTTCAGAGTTCCAGTTATCATACGCATTACGTTGTTTAATTGCGCACCTCATATTCTTTGTGTACGAGATCCTGAACGAGGCTGCAACACAATACTCTGCCACTGAGGAAATCAGTGACAAGGCGGCAGTTAGCAGAACATCAGCTGAGGGCAACGCAGGTTGTGCCTGCAAGTTTCTGTCGCAGGGCGATGCTTGATGTGGTGCTGTGTGGCGCTGCGCAGGTTGTACAAGGGCCTGGTGGGGCGCATGGGCTTCGAGGAGTGTCACCTGTACCTGAGGCCTGTTCCCTTCGAGTTTGCTTCTCATGGAGATGGAGCCGGGGAAGGCCCAGTCTTCCTCACGGCCACACTGGATGCTGACGCCAGTCTGGACCGGTAAGCTGTTCTCCGGGTGGTGGTGGTAGTGGCTTTGCACGTGGCTTCTAATCCAGCACTGTAGAGACAGTAAGGGTTAAACTATAACCCTTACTGCTCACTGAGCTATATAGCTCTTTTTCACAAACGACCTGACCACAAATGGTAGCTCAGCGAAGCAGCCAAATACTCTAACCGCATGTTTCTAAATGGGAGGTAAAAACTGGAGGACCCAGAGAGCACGCAAATTCCAAATATATAGCAGGCGTCATGGTCGAGATCGAACCCATGACCTCCTGTATACCAGGCCACTGTGGCACCCAGGTGTATCAGGAGAACACTGCATAGCAAATGAGGACCTCACTTGTTCAATCTCTATGGGATAGTTTTTCTCCCTCGCACATGTGGGTTTTCTCCTGGTGCTCCAATTTTCTGACAAATGTAAATATTCAATAATTGGCCAATAACACCTTCATGTATAGAGGTCCACAGAGCTTTGAAGAGAATTTGGTGACTCTTCACTGCCTGGCTGCCTTTTACTCTTGTCTGTGGTTACTCCTCGCGCCTCTGAGTCATTATCTCTATTAAGAGCGAGCAAACAATGTGTAGCGGCAGTGCGTTACAAGTTGACATTAGTATTATCTGGCTGATGCAGCAATTGTGTTTACACACACAGTTTAGTCAACTTATAATGTGGTGGTGATTCCGTTTAAAGTGCATTGGAATTTTGTATTTTTTTAAATGCTGCATTTAATTCCTGTTATCTTACACGTGTATGTAAATCATTTTAGAAATAGGAACAGCCGGTTGATGATGTACAGTGAGGGAAAAAAGTATTTGATCCCCTGCTGATTTTGTACGTTTACCCACTGACAAAGAAATTATCAGTCTATAATTTTAATGGTAGGTTTATTTGAAAAGTGAGAGACCGAATAACAACAATAAAATCCAGAAAAACGCATGTCAAAAATGTTATAAATTGATTTGCATTTTAATGAGGGAAATAAGTATTTGACCCCTCTGCAAAACATGACTTAGTACTTGGTGGCAAAATCCTTGTTGGCAATCACAGAGGTCAGACGTTTCTTGTAGTTGGTCACCAGGTTTGCACACATCTCAGGAGGGATTTTGTCCCACTCCTCTTTGCAGATCTGCTCAAAGTCATTAAGGTTTTGAGGCTGACGTTTGGCAACTCGAACCTTCAGCTCCCTCCACAGATTTTCTATGGGATTAAGGTCTGGAGACTGGCTAGGTCACTCGAGGACCTTAATGTGCTTTTTCTTGAGCCACTCCTTTGTTGCCTTGGCCGTGTGTTTTGGGTCATTGTCATGCTGGCATACCCATCCACGACCCATTTTCAATGCCCTGGCTGTGGGAAGGAGGTTCTCACCCAAGATTTGAAGGTACATGGCCCCGTCCATCGTCCCTTTGATGCGGTGAAGTTGTCCTGTCCCTTTAGCAGAAAAACACCCCCAAAGCATAATGTTTCCACCTCCATGTTTGACGGTGGGGATGGTGTTCTTGGGGTCATAGGCAGTATTCCTCCTCCTCCAAACACGGCGAGTTGAGTTGATGCCAAAGAGCTCCATTTTGGTCTCATCTAACCACAACGCTTTCACCCAGTTGTCCTCTGAATCATTCAGATGTTCATTGGCAAACTTCAGACGGGCATGTATATGTGCTTTCTTGAGCAGGGGGACCTTGCGGGCGCTGCAGGATTTCAGTCCTTCACGGTGTAGTGTGTTACCAATTGTTTTCTTGGTGACTATGGTCCCATCTGCCTTGAGATCATTGACAAGATCCTCCCCTGTAGTTCTGGGCTGATTCCTCACCGTTCTCATGATCATTGCAACTCCACGAGGTGAGATCTTGCATGGAGCCCCAGGCCGAGGGAGATTGACAGGTCTTTTGTGTTTCTTCCATGTGCGAATAATCGCGCCAACTGTTGTCACCTTCTCACCAAGCTGCTTGGCAATGGTCTTGTAGCCCATTCCAGCCTTGTGTAGGTCTACAATCTTGTCCCTGACATCCTTGGAGAGCTCTTTGGTCTTGGCCATGGTGGAGAGTTTGTAATCTGATTGATTGATTGCTTCTATGGACAGGTGTCTTTTATACAGGTAACAAGCTGAGATTAGGAGCACTCCCTTTAAGAGTGTGCTCCTAATCTCAGCTCGTTACTTGTATAAAAGACTCCTGGGAGCCAGAAATCTTTCTGATTGAGAGGGGGTCAAATACTTATTTCCCTCATTAAAATGCCAATCAATTTATAAAATTTTTGACATGCGTTTTTCTGGATTTTGTTGTTGTTATTCTGTCTCTCACTGTTCAAATAAACCTACCATTAAAATTATATACTGATAATTTCTTTGTCAGTGGGCAAACGTACAAAATCAGCAGGGGATCAAATACTTTTTTCCCTCACTGTATGTATGTTGAACTTATTTCGCACCATACGTAGCCAACTGCACTAATCAGAGGTGCGGGGGAAGGACAACAAACTAAACATGAAAAGCAGTTAAATCTTGACTTAAAGCTTTCGTGACTGCAGGAATTCATATTCTTAGGGTCTTTCAGTCTTTCGGTAAAGGCATGTAGATGGTTCAAAGAAGATAACAAACTACGACGTTTCGATCACAACACAAGCGTTTCGATCAAAACACAAGAGATCGTCATCAGAATATGAAAAGCAGTTCTAAAGAAATGAGTTCTCAATCTATATGATTTAAAAGTGCATAGCTCCAGTGGCTTCCTAATGTCGGAAGTAAGAGCGTTGTAGACGGCCGCAGAAGTGCATCTGAAAGCGCACAATGCAGTGACCACCATCTTTGGAATGTGCCCTGCTGTCTATGAACAGACCTGTGCCGGTTACAGGGTCCGCTTGTTCCAGCAGTGCCGTAGTGTTAGGCATATTCTTGAGACTGCATCACTCATCAGTTACCCGTCTCGTAGATGACATGGCGAGTTCAGCAAATGGAGTTAATGTCAGTGGAAGGGCTCGCGAATTTTTTTTTTGCGTTACCCTGAATCTTCACGATTTTGGGGGTGGCACAGGGGATTCGTGAACAGCGCTGCGCCCCTCTCCCCCTGAGTCTCCCAGAGGGAGACGTGTCCCCTAGATCAGGGGTCGGCAACCTGTGGCTCGGGAGACGCATGCAGCTCTTTAAAGAACCGCTTCCTTACACTGTTTATTCAGGATCACCATCTCTTCACATGTTCAGGTGCATTGTGCGACTCTTGAAACATTGAGGTTTTTTTTACCGAATTTGAACCAAAAAAATGGCTCTTCTTGTTATTTTGGTTGCCGACCTCTGCCGTAGAGGGTCCCTTGTGATGAGAGACAGGGACCCACCTCCCACTGCTTTTAACTCTCCCCACAGGATAGCACACAGCAACAAGTATGGCCTCCTGTTCACTTTGTCAGACCACAGCGTGGGCCTGACAAAGAGATCATGGAGAGATCAGGGTGCAGGGTGCTGGGCCTGGTGTGGCAGGCGTGGGGAGTGCGGTCAGTTCGGGGTCGTGTAGAGTGCAGCGCAGTGACGTATTGTGTGGGTAGTGTGGGGTTCCAGGCCAGAGATAAAACATAAAGACATTCGCTCTGAGTTGCTTCGCCCTTAAAACCCGGACGCGTCGCCGACTCCTGGACTGCCCGAGTCAAACCGGAACCGGTGCCGACTTGCACAGCAACAATTGGAGGTGCGGTACTGCAACCCGCGCTAAGTTACAGGACTGCATTGTTACACCGCATCACGATATCTATAAAGCCATCCTCACGTGAGGACAACTCGTCCTGCTGCTGCTGCTTGACTAGGCTGGAAATTTAAATATTGGAAGTGTTTATGGATTAAATGACGAATGCACAGTTCTTTAACAAGTCAATCAGATGAGCACCGCCTCAATGCTCATTTGAACAGGAAATCACTTTGAATTAAATACATTCACAGTGCCGATATAATTACTGTTTGGTTCTTTCGGCAAAGTCACCATCCCCCCCACCCTTGTAGCCCCGCCCACTTCCCCCTGTCCAGCAGACCCACGCTTTTTTGTACCATCCTCCCCACCCTTATAGCCCCGCCCACTTCCCCCCCCCGTCCAGCAGCATCCACGCAAAGCTACCCTCCCCCTACTCCCTCCCCCTACTCCTTCCTCCTTTGCCCCTTCCCCCCTCTCTTATATAACCTCTTACCACGATATCTCTCCCACTTCAGCTAAAAAAATATATTGCTGTAGTTCTTACACCTGATGATGATTGCTTGTGTTGCAATCGAAACGTCGTGATTCAATTTATATTTTATACCTACGTGACTTTACCGAATTAACCAAAGAGTATGGATCCTTGCAGTCACGAAAGCTTCAAATCTAGAATGAGCCGATATAATTGACTGTAAAAATTAGAGCTCTGTGGCTTTTCACATAGCTGCACGGCACTACAGCCGTGAGCGCACACCTGCATGTGCATCATTGCATCAGTGCGTGGGTGCACGCAGGATTTCTGTGAGGTAATGCAGACCCCCCCCCCCTTGTCAGATTCATCCCTTCGCAGCTCCCGTTGGCCATCAGTGAGCTCGACGAGGCACCAGTGAAGAGGCTCAGCTTCCACTCGCTCGATTCTCTCATGCAGGTATTGAGCACACAGCGACGTGGGGAGATGCGGTGGTACAGTCTGAGCAGGGCCACAGACACTGGGCAGCACAGCACACATCACGTGAACAGTAGGATGCACCACTGCTGAGACATACCGCACAGGCTGTGACTTGGCACAGTGGGCACTGTGCATGTGTAGTGAGTCCAACTGAGTTGCAGAAGTTGTTCTTTCGAGGCAACACATTTATTTGTAACATCAACACATAACACAAAGGTTGTAACTGCCCCTTCACCAGATACGGCCTAGGGTGGTGGCCATCCAGCTAACAAGTGTTGATGCCTGTGAGCTTCCAGCTTGTAGAATTTAGCGACCCCAGTCCCTCTCAGGGACCCAACTTATATCCCCCTGGGTCGGGGCTGCTCCGCCCTTGGCCCCACCCGCCTTCTCTCGCTAGTTCTAGCTCTCTCTCGATCCCTCTCGAGAGCTCTCCCCGGACATGTGATCGCCCCCTAGCCCCCCACCTGGGGGCCTCTCTGTGGACACTCCAGATCACGTGTCTACGGGGTCAACCAGAGTGCCCATGGCCTGGAGCAACCTTGCCCCTGGGCTGACACTCTCCCACTCCCCCTTGTGGGAGCCCTCATTACACGCTGTGTGTGGTGCCCGCGCTATCCCAGCGCTTACCAAGTGCCGCAAGGGCTGGTACTACACCCGCCTACGGGGTGTACGCGATGACAGTGCATTGCGCTCCACGGCCCTCCCGGGCCGGCACCATACAGTGACATCCTCGATGTCACTACACATGTGTAGTGTAATAGCACCAGCTAGTGACCAGCAGCGGCAACTGCGGTGTCTAAACTGTACTCATGCCAGTGAGCATATACACGGGTGTGTCGGTAGGGCGGAAGAACTGGTGCAAAGGTCATGGAGGGGCCCATCTGGAAGTCCCTGGAACCTGCTAGTGGGTTCGAGAAGGGAGGCGCGGCCAGGGCGAAGCCAGGCAACGCTGCTAGGATAAAAGGGGCCGAGACCAGGAGCTCGAGGCTGCCGTTATGGGAATTGGATCGTCATTGCTGTCGTCCCGTCGCCATCGTGGCTGCTGTCTTCACTCGGCATTGCGCTGCTAGACAACCTGTCAACTGTCTTAGTCATCGCCGCCAATGCTAGACGGCTAGTGTTATGTCAAAGGCTAGCGAGTACGGAGTGTGTGTAGGCGAGATCGTGTGTGTAAATAAAAGAAGGTGCGTCTACAAATATCGTCTCTTAAGTCAGTGCACTTCACATGTGTTCTGAGCAGCGTGCATAGGGGAGGTTTTAACGAAAGACACAAGGCCCGATTCATAGAAGAGTTTTTGCCTATTATTCCACCCCTTTTTGGAGGAACAATGCTCGTTTTCTTTTTTTTTTTAGAAGATTGGCCCCTTTCTACAAATTGAAATTGGCCAAGGAGGCCCAAATCGGTTCCACAAAAGAAACAGATGAAGCCTGATTGGTTGGTCCAGTCTGGCGGCAGGGCGAAGATGCTGATTTCAGCACGCAGGGCCCCAATTCCCCTCCACGCTTCCTCAGCTGCTGATTGGCCGCGCGTGGAACAGAGCCCCACCGATTCTACATGGCAACTCGCCACCACGAGTATATCAAACTACACAAAAAAATATTTTACCAGTATGATTAACCTCTTTCATACTTACCCAATCGTTCTAATCGGAGGTGCGTTGAAGGACAACAAATTAAACACAAAAGCAGTTCTTATTAAATGAATTTGTCAATCTAGATGATGATATAAAAGTACATAGCTCCAGTGGCTTCCTAATATCGGAATGAAGAGCATTCCAGATGGTCGCAGAAGCACATCTGAAAGCGCGCGATGCATGACTAGCCAAAAGCCACTGCGAGGATGACCAGAGTTCGCGTGATGGTTTATACTTCAGGTAAGGCCCACTGATATATATAGCTCTTTTTCAAAAGCAACCTGGCTATCTAGGATTGAAGCTTTCATGACTGCAGGAATTACTATACTCCTTGGTTCTTTCGGTAAAGTCACGTATGTAGAAATAAAATAGAAATTAAATTAAAATAAATCACAACATTTCGAACGCAACACAAGCGCTCGTCCTCAGGTGAAAATTGCGTAAACCACACAGCGAGGGAACACACAGAGGGACATCATACACAGAGCACACAGAGAACGGCAAACTGCACGGAGGCAAATACAGCAAGAAGATGGGAGACGCGAACTCAGAAAACCTTGAGAGTGTGGCGCGATGCAGCCTAGTCGGCCAGCAACACAGTTGGACACTGGGCCTGGTTGACCAGGTGTTTCGGGGGACTGCTGAATCTTGTGTTCATCTTCTGAGTTGGGCACACAAGCGTAGACGGAGGATGGGGACTCGTGGGCGGACGCGGGGTGCAGGGTGGCGGAGATGCATGCATGGGGAGGACACGCGGGGAGGGGTGTTTTGGGCAGTGCGGAGGGATGCGGCGGGCGGCACCGCACTGGGAGGCATGCACACATGGAGAGGTACGCACGGGGGGACACCCGGAGGGATAACGTTCAGGGACTTGTGTGGAGGTGGGGGAGGGGAGGGGTGACCGTGCATGGACCTGCAGGTCCCAATGCAGGCAACAGATCGGGGGAAGCACGTGAGAAGACGAAAACGGAGAAAGCACATGGGTGTGGTGTTGCTCGTTGTGTCCCTCTGTATTGCCCAAAACACCTTTCCCTCTGTGTCTTCTCTGTGTATGTATCTCTGCTACCTTGTACCTCATGTCTGTTCACGAGTCCTTATCCCCTGTTTACGTTGGTGTGTTCAACCTAGTTTTAGCAGTATTTTGAAATACGTGGTCAACCAGGTTTATTGTCTAACTGTGTTGTTGGCCGACTGGATTGCATTGCATGATGTTTCTAAAGTTTGCTGAGTTCGCGTCTTGCATCTTCTTGTTGTATTTGCCTCCATGCAGTTTGCCATTCTCAGTGTGCTCTGTGTGTGATGTCCCTCTGTGTGTTCCCTCACTGTGTGGTTATGCCATTTTCACCTGAGGACGAGCGCTTGTGTTGTGTTCGAAACGTCGTGATTTATTTTAAAAAAAATATTTCTACATATGTGACTTTACCGAAAGAACCAATGAGTATAGTACACAAATAATAGATCAGTGAAGTGGCAAATCACGCAAAATACTAAACACTTGTTGATGCTAAATGTGGAGGGAAAAACCGGAGGACCCAGAGAAAAATCCACGCGACCACGGGGGGAGGGAGACACGCAAACTCCAAATATACAGCAGGCATCAGGGTTGGAATCATCCCATGACTGCCTGAATCCCAGGTGAGGTAGTTAATATTTATTGCAATTGATCTTGCGCAATGTCCCCCCCCCCCGTCACCGGAATCCCTAAGAAGTGTAGTGACATAGAATCGGTCACGTAGCTGGCAGGGAAGGGAATTTGCAGCATACAGCAGCCCTGACTGACAGCAGGCCACGTTATAGACCAAAGAGCAATCTAGGGGAAAGGCTATGGAAGGGGCACATCGAGATCCCGCGAGTAGGTTCCAGAAAGGGGCATGGCCGGGAGCGGAACCAGGCCATGCTGACAGTATAAGAAGGGCCCCTGGAGGGGACCTCGTGGCTGTCGTTTGGATTGGGATCCCGTCGTGCTGCTGGAGTCTTCACCGTCGACTCCGTCGTCTCCGTCCTCACCATCTCGGCATTGCCAGTCAGGCAGTCTACCAGCTGTCCTGACTGGGAACCGTAGTTACTAAGTGTCAACTGTTAGGCCATGTTAATAAACAGAGTGCCTCCTACTCTTAGTGTCTTTGAGTCAGTCACTACATTTGGCGTCAGAAGTGTTAAAGAAATGTAGTCATGTCCAAGTCGGCCAAGAGGAAGATTCCGCCTATTTTTTCCTCGGATGATGAGGACGACAGGGACGTGATCCCCCCCAATAGTCCCGGAATTGAGGACTCCAGAGATAAGTTCTGAAGCGGCGATCCCCGAGGAGCAGCAACGCAGGGACGTCGTCACCTCACTGCCTGCAGCCAGAGAGGGGTGGCGCATACTCACCGCATGTCTGGCGGGCTTGCTTTCTCTAGCAGCGTAGCTGGTTGTCCAGCTCGGGTCTGCAATGCCTACCGAGGATTTCTGTGGCACGGGGGCAGCGGGTGGGCAGCTCGACCATCGCCACTGTGGAAACACAGGAGAAGGCAGAGCTCCAGCCCACGCAGGCGGCCGCCCTTTTACCCACCATGAGCGGGGTGCCAAAATCGTCCACCATTTTGTCGATCGGGTGGGAACCGCTTCCTGCAAAATTCGAGTTGCCATCGGCACCTCTTCAAAAGCGGCTGCCTTTTGTCAAATAATTTGTGGTTGTGGGGGGCGACTGGATGGCTTTCCAGCGCCGTTTCGCCGCTTCTTGCACCCTCCCCGGATGGTCTGACGAGGAGGCGCTGCAGACCTTGCCCACCATATTGGATGACAACTGCTTGGCAGCATTCGAGGCCATCCCTTCAAGCTTGCGCCCAGATGGCCGCTATTTTCGATTTGCCGTCCAATGCGCCTCGAAAATTCCTCTGCCCTGCCGACCTCCGCTTCCCCGGGCCTGCAGCCAAGTCACGATGCATCAGGCACGCGGCCACCACAGTCACTTCAGGCATCTCCCTCTTCGAGCGCGTCAGGTTCGCACACCGCCATCCCTCATCATGTCACGGCGCGCAAACGCCGGACTTCAGCATGTAATGGGTGGCCGCAGGGCGTGGGGCAATGCACCGCGTTAGCGCAACGTGTCATGGCGGCGGTGGAATCGTCCGCAGTTGTCAGGTTCATGTAGGGTGTCCAGTGTCGGCTAGGATAATTTCAGAACTTATTTATTACTCTTTGCCGCCGAGATCATGCTGTCTTAATCTAGTGAATAGTGCGTGTGTTGCCGCTAATGGCGGGAGTTTGGATATTATAGGCCAGGTATCGGCGAAAGTACGCATTGGAGGCAATTAATTGACGGGGCCAGTGTTAGTTTCTAAGACATTGGCTCTATCCTGTCTGTTGGGCACTGATTTCCTCAGAAGGATGCCCCTTAAGATCCTTGTGGATCAAGGGTGTATTGAACTGCCGTTGGGGCGGCAGTTGGCATTTTTGAAATCCCTGACTCGATTGAAGAGGCCCGACACCACGGTTCAGGCCCTAGTGAAGGAGACTGTCACAGTTCCTCCAGATGCTCAGATGTTGGTGCCCTTGGGGTTGCGGAAGCAGCTTGATCACGCAGACACCGTTGGAGGGGTCCTTTTAACCAATTAGAACAGAGCGATTTGGGGTCTCGCATTGATGGGGGCCCCAACGATAGTAAGGGGGGACCAGGATCCCTTTCTGCAAGTGTTGAACGTCGGTGCGGGCGCCGCGGTGGTCCTGGCGGGTACGGTCTGGGCCCACGCGACGGCTGCGTGTTGTGAGGAGGCCAGCGATATGGCAACAGAGGTCATTGCTGCGGTGGAGCGGGGAGGCAAGTCAGATGAGACTTGGATGGATGTGCTGTGTAATGAAAATTCTAAGTTGTCAGTGAGCAGCGGGGCGACTTTCGTGCATTGCTCCGGGAATTTGCTGATATTTTGAGTCAGGGGAAATATGATATTGGCCGCACGTCACTATTGCAGCACTGAAACGATACAGGTAACGCTGCTCCTATATGTCAAAATTCGTATAGGCTCAGTCTCAAGGAAAAGGACAATGTTCGCCAGGCGGTTGACAAAATGTTGGACGCCGAAATTATCTCCCCTTCCACCAGTCCGTGGCGAGCTCCCATTGTCCTGGTTAAAAAGCGGGATGAGAGTTTGCGTTTTTGTGGATTTTTGTAAGTTAAATAAAGTCTCCGTGGCGGAGGCATACACGCACCCACGGATGGACGACTCCTTGGGCACCCTATCGGGTGCGCGGTTTTTCTCGACCCTCGACTTTTTGTCAGGGTTTCGGCAGTTGCCTTTGGATGAAGGTTCCAAATCTAATACCGCGTTCTGAACACCCCAGGGGTTGTTCAATTTAACTGTCTTTCGATGGGTCTTCACACCGCTCCGGTCACATTTCAGCGACTTATGGAGCTGGTCTTAGCAGGTCTTCAATGGGACTCGTGCCTCATTTATTTGGATGACGTTCCAGGAGCACCTGCAGCGGTTGCGGTCGGTGTTTGTCAGGGTGTGGGCGGGCAATCTTAAATTCAAACCGCAAAAGTGTCATCTTTTGCAGGCACTGTTTCGCTATTTTGGCCACATTGCCAGCGAATCCGGGATAGCTCCGGATCCCGACAAAACTGCGTGCGTGCACACATGGCCGACCCCTACATCGGTAGGTGAGGTGTTGGGTTCGCGTCATACTACCGCCAGTTCATACCCAAGTTTGCCACGATCGCTAAACCGCTCCACGCTCTCACCGCAAAGGATCAGAGATTTCGATGGGGGGAGGAGGAGGAGGCCGCGTTTGTTGTGCTGCGAAACGGCCTCACCAACGTGCTTCCCCTTGGGTACCCCGATTTCTCTCTACCCTTTGTGTTGGACACAGACACTAGCGACACTGGAATCGACGCTGTACTGTCCCAGGTAGTGAACGGTGTGGAGAGGGTTGTGGCTTACGGGAGTCATGTGCTGTCCCCCACAGAGCAGCGTTATTGTGTGACGCACCGTGAATTGTTGGCCACTGTGAATTTTGTACAGCAGTACAGGCCATATCTTTATGGAAGGCAATTTGTTGTGTGCACAGACCACGTGGCCCTTCAATATGCTTTGCGGGTTGACCAGCCGTTCGTCCAACTTTCCCGCTGGTTATAAATTTTGCAGGACTACTCCCTCACGGTCACCTACAGGAAGGGTGCACACCACTGCAACACAGACACATTGTTGCGGTTACCGTCGAGGGACCGCTGTGCGTGTTTGAAGGGTGCCGGCCGATGTAAACCTGTGGCTGCAGGATTTCCGTGCACTGTTGTAACATTGGTTGATGTTCCACCACCCACGGCAACCACTCCCTGTGACAACACGATTGGTCTCACGCACGCCGAATGGGGCCGCCTCCAAGTAGCGGATACCTACTTGTTAAAATTACGGCGTCGCGTTGGAACGAGAGGTAGTTAAAAGGTACCAGCAGGAATGTCTCTCATAGCCCTTCGTGATGGGCTGTTGATGAGGTGGGATAAGGAATTGCAGCATTACTGCATCGTCGTGCCAACTGCTCTGTGGGGTAGAGTTACACGGGCTGTCCACGTAAAGTGAATGCACCTCGGGGTGCAGAAAACTTTGTTGACCTTGAAGCGTGACTTCTTTTGGCCCGGAATGTCGGAGGAAGTGTACCACATGGTCAAATGTTGCGTTGAGTGCGCTCGCCAAAAGCCCCCGCCCAGGCAGGCCCGGCCACCGTTAGCATTCCATCGTGGTGTCTCATATTAACGAGCTTGTTGCCCTCGAAATCCTCAGCCTGTTTCCCGCCACTCAGAGGGGAAACAAATTCCTTCTTGTCAGGGTGGAATACCTGTCCTGGTGGCCGGTGGCATGGCCTCTGCCGGATCAGTCGGCCGCGTCCATCATGGACGCATTCCTACATGGGTACGTTTTGGACAAAGGGGCCCCGGAACACCTCCCTATAGACCAGGGTCGAAATTTTTCGTCAAAATTGTTAAAGACTCCCTGGGCACTAAAAAGATCCGAATGTTGCCCTACCACCCCCAGACTGACGGGGTGGTAGAGCGCTTGCACAACAGGTTAACGAGACACAGTCTGACTGGGATTTGCACGTTCCGGGTGTTCTCGCCGTGTATAGAATGGCCCCTCACGCCTCAGCAGGGTTCTCCCCCTTTTTCCTCATGTATGGGAGGGAATGTGACCCCCCCCATAGAGGCTCAGTTAGGCATGGACCTGGGCAGAAACAGGTCGCTGTGCCCATGCCCATGCAGCTTACGATCAGGTGGCTGACGGACGCGCGGGAGGTGTCCCGGGGAAATTCGGCCAAATGGCAGGCCGCCAATGAGAAGCTTGTAGGATTCCGTGAATCCGGAAACCCATGGCCCCTGGGAATAACGCATGGTTACATTGCCCCCAGGAAGGGGGGGTGATGTTGTGACATAGAATCGGTCACATAACAGCATAGCGCTGGCTGCTGGCAGGGAAGGGGATCTGCAGCTTACAGCAGCCCTGACTGACAGCAGGCCACGTGATAGACCAGAGAGGGATCTAGGGGAAAGATTATGGAAGGGGCACATCGAGAACCCGCTAGTAGGTTCTAGAAGGGGGCGTGACCAGGGGTGGAGACAGACCATGCTGGAGTGGGATCCCGTCGTGCTGCTGGAGTCTTCACCGTCGTCTCTATCTTCACCATCTCGTCATTGCCAGTCAGGCAGTCTACCAGCTATCCTGACTGGGAACCGTAGTTACTAAGTGTAACTGTTAGCCGTGTTAATAAACAGAGTGCCTCCTACTCTTAGTGTCTCTGAGTCAGTCACTACAGAAGCATGAAACCGAATTTTACATGAATTGAGTTGGACACTTGAGAGCTACGTGCCAGGTGTTGAAGATAAAGGGGTCGATGCGGGCAAGGTGAATGGATTTACATGGCACGCGGCATGTGGTGGTCGTTAGCCATTGGCTAGTTCCTGGGACTGTGTCATTCGCGTGTGCCTTTTGCATTGTAGATTCGTATGATTCTGTCTTGCAGCTCATGAGCCGAGCAGGAGTGGAGTGCCTCCAACTGATACTGCTTTGCCAGGTGACTCACAAGAACGGACTGGTTGCAGCCCTGCAGCAGGCCAGCTTTTGCCAGCTGTCACCCTTGCCTCACAAGTCAAAGGTGAAAAATGGAGCACACTTGAATGTTTCATGTCCCAAAGACAAAGAAATCCCCCGCATAACTTTTAACAGAATTCGGGACCAAGTGCTGTTAGCGAGCACCTATGAAGGCTGGTACGGCACACGACGTGGTGGGTGGTCAGCACCACGCCTGGCTGCCTTTGTCTCCCCAGCCCTGATGTTTACACACTGCACCAGGTATTCATTTAAGGTTGAGTCAACCTAGGGGAGGCCCAGGACCAGTTAAAATATTCACGACACGCTAATCCTGCTCCAAGTACCCAAACTCTGCTGTCCTCTGTATATTTCAATGTTATTTGCCAATTATTGCATTTTTAGACTTAACATTTGTGACTGCACGGATTCATACCATGGCTCTTCCGGTAAAGTCACGTAGATAGAAAACTAAAATGTAAATTAAAAGCAAAAAACCCAAGAATACCAATTATGGAATGTTTACATGTGGGAGGAAACCGGAGCACCCAGAGAAAACCCACACGTGCGAGGTGGAAACACTGTATCCCATAAAGATGGAACAGGTGGAGTCCACATTTTTGCTTTACTGCATTCTCCTGGCAAGCCAGGGTATGGCTCCTCCTCAATGCCCACTCTTGTGCGATCCACCAACCCTCGCTGCTGCCTTCACAGTGCTGTATTACAGGCAGCTACGTGCGTAGCCATCTCTGTCCGGCTGTACAAGCACATCGGGCCTCATTACCACTGCACTGTTATGATTCTGTGTGCTCCACAGTGTACCAAAATACAATACTTGATAGGTGATGCAGCACTCACTGATACACTCCAGTCACTTGCTCACCGGTGGTCAGTCACTACTACAATTGTTACCATTCCCGTGAAATTCACTCATTGATTGCTCCACCCAGACTGACTGCCAGTTTACCAGACGGATTGTTTCATCTCATCCACACTGTGCTCAACCACCGCACTGCCGCTCACTCACACACCCACTCATTCACTCACTGATTCACCTACGCACTTATTCACTGACTCACTCACCACACTGCCGGTCAAAACACTTCTCTTTCTGCTTTTCCCTTGCACTGCTGCACCTTAGCAATCCCTCCCATTCTCATCTCGTTTCTCAATCTCTTACGATAGTAACCTTACAACAATTCAATAAACGTGTCAACTCTTGGTTTATGACAACGTTGGTAAGCGTAAACACATTTTCGAATTTGATCTCTTACATCTAAAGTAAACTACAAACTAAACTTTTATTTTACCAGGTAAAGCCCACTCATCTATGTAGTTATTTTTCAGAAGCAACCTAGCCACAAATGATCGCTCAAAGAAGTGGTTTATCACGTGGAAATTTACAGCAGCCAAATACTCTGAATGCACGTTGATTATAAATGTGGAAGGAAAAAGCAGAAGACCTGGAGAAAAATCCATGCAACTCCAAATATACAGCAGGCGTCTTGGGTCAGAATCGAAAACACGACCTCTTGTATACCAGGAGAGGAAGTTAGCATCTCGTCACCGTGGCGCTCCAACAACATTGGCGGTGCTGTTTGTTGCTGACGGTCGTGTGCCGTGTCGGCTGCAATCGTGCTCGCTAACCGCGCCCGCCCACCGCGTATGTGCCTGCGCCCATGTTGGCAGTCGGCCGAGGACTCGGAGGGCTCGAGCCGCCTGAGCTCGGCGTCCGTGGGCACGCCGAGCGCGTCGGGACGCTCCGAGTCCGAGTGGGGGGGCCCCGCCGGTGCCCCCGGCCTCTCCGCCAAGCACCCGTTCCTTGGCAAGAAAAGGTCTCCCCCCGCACATCTTCCTCGCTCACTCTCTCACGCCGAGCCACGATCTCAGCACAATTGTAACCCTCTCTGAATGTATACGGTGCCCTCTCCTGCGCATCTCGATCAGGGTCTTGGGGTGTTTGGGCGTTTACTGTGGTAATTGTGGATCTCCCTACTGGTACCCTCCCTCTCCCCATGGTTGTGGGACTCCCTACTGGTGACCCCCCCCCCCCAGGTGCGGGACTCCCAACTGGTGTTCCCCTTTCCCAGGTGCGGGACTCCCTACTGGTGACCCCCCCCCCCCCCAGGTGCGGGATCAATTGTGGGACTCCCTCCCATTGGAGATGAGGTTCTTCTAGGACAGTTTTGAAATTTCTTAAGTGCTGGCTTTCTTACATATTATGTTGTCATTTTCATGCACGGCGCTTGAGACTTTATTGTTAAAGGAACCTGATGAGTGCAATTGATTATTATTACATGTGTGCGTTAATATGTTTCTGGTAATTTGTGCAGTCTCTTTGTCACAGAGAAGGTATGGGGGGGGGGGGGGGGGGGTGAGGGAGGAATGAGAGAAAATCGAATTTGTGATGCTCTGATTTACAGCAGTGACATACGGGTACGATAAGAATATGAGACAAGGGGAGAGTTTAAACAATGTTTAATGCATTATAATAAATTCATAATTAAGGTCAAGAGGTCATCATGGCCAATGGCCACTAGCTGCAAGAGGGGACAGCCTCTCCCTAAGCAGAGGTTAATGGGAAGTTTTGATGAAAGACCAATGGGGTTGAACTCATGAGTCGAGGAATATATGAGGTAAATAGGTCAGAGAGAGAGAGACATGGAAAATTTCATCCGAGATTTTCTTAAAAGTTGCCTTTAAATGTTTGTGGATCTCGTGGAGCCGACACCCTCAGTTGGTAGCGTTTCCAGTGTCCTCTGTGCCATGGTTCTCTAGGGCCCTGTGTGTGTGTGTGTGTGCATTATCGCTGCGCAGCAGAGTAGGGGGCACAGCTGGTGCATCTGCCAGTCATCTCAGTCAGTCAACCCATGGCACCTGGGTCTGTCTCGTGACCTCATGCCAGCTGGCGTTCGGGACTTTACGTGACCTCAAAGTGCACCTGGCCTGGCATAGGTGCAGTGGTGACGTCACAGTCAGTTGGTGGCGAATGTTGGGCACTGTTATTGCTGTGGATTTTTGGGGAGCGGCAGTGCAGAGGTTAGCACGCTGCACTACGAACCCGGCTACCTAAGTTCGATTACCGCTCACGACTAACACCAGTGACGATTATCTGTACCGATTATGGGCCTACCCTAGGTGCACTCAGCCTCAAATGAGTACCTGGTGTGGTGTGTAAAAACATTGCCACTGGGGAGACAGAGGCAGCCGAGCGTGGTGCTGGCCACCCCAACCCCCCCGCCCCCCGTGTGCCGTGCAGGCCTTCGTAGGTGCTAGCTAACAGCACTTGCCCCAAAAGTATGTCACAGGCTATACGGGAGACCTTTGTCTTTGTATTGCTGTGGGTGCCAATTCACTTCACGTTGTGTTTCCCCGATGGCTGTGTCTCCTGCAGTGTGACGTTCGCAGACACCCAGAGCTCCACATGGTGAGAATGCACTGGGGCTCACCACTCGCTCCTTCGACCGTGGCGTCTACCAGCTGATGCGCAATTATCCTCACCGTACACTTAAATTGTTTGCGTGAGATTGTTCTAGCGACCTTTCAAGTTATTTATTATTATTCTAATCATAATCGTCATTATTATTACTATGCTTATTTACGCAAGGAAGGGCTGACTACGTCTCACGCCTGAGAGCCACGGCTGTCAATCGGTAGCCCCCACAGAATTGGCCAGGTGGCCCCAATGTAAGAGCGAGTGGCTCGCAATCGCAAGGTCATGAGTTCAAATCCTGATTGTACATACATGTGTAGTGAATCACTCGGAGACACTAACAGTAGAAGGCACTATATTTATTATAGCCTTCACAGGTACAAGAGGTAAGGACAGCTAACAGGCTGCCTGACTAACAATGCCAACGAGGTGAAGACGGTGACGAGGACTCCAGCAGCACGACGGTTCCACTCCAAACAACAGCCCAGAACCCTCGCTCGGGTCTTTCCTTTATACACCCAGCGTGACCTCGCTCCGACTTTGGCCACGCCCCCCTTCTCGAACCCACCAGAAGGTTCCCGGGCTTTACCACACGTACCTCCTCTGTCCCCACTTGCTTTTCGTCCTTCTATCTGGCTCATCACATCCTGCTGGCAGACAGGGCTACTACACCTCCGATCCCCTTCTGTACCTATGCGCCACAGTGACCCATTCTATGTCACTACACATGTATGTATGTTGAACTTATTTCGCACCATACCTAGCCAACTGTGCTAATCGGAGGTGTGGGGAAAAGACAACAAACTAAACACAAAAAGCTGTTCTAAAGAAATTATTTTCGTTTTGATTGAGATTGGGGGGGTTGACTCAGCCCATCCTTCCGGGGTCGATAAAATAGGTACTGCTCTATGGGGAAGTCAATGGTGGTTATCCTATAGATAGACTAGCACTCGCCAGAGTCATGTGGAATTTTTAGCACTACCTCAGCAGCGCTGTGATTGGGGGGCGAGCACCGACGGAGCTCTCATGGTGTCCCCACGACGCAGGCTCGCGGCGCAGGCGTTCGTGTCGCTGCAGCTGGAGCGACGAGGGGCACGCGACGCCGCGCTGCGCGGATTCCTCCGCTGGAAGGGAGCGCATGGAGCGCTCGCCACGCACGTGGTGCGGACTCGCATGCTAACTCACTGACTTGGCCCCACCACGCACATCCGAAACACTACATACACAGCACACGACACCACCAGAGACACCGCACGCGACACCACCTTTGACACTACACGCGACACCACCTTTGACACTACACGCGACACTCCATACACTCACCGCATACCACACTCACCAAACACTCCAAATACGACACTCAATAAACACACAGCACACGACACTAAACACATTGCACTCTTCATCGCAATGTGTGTTTAGTGTCGTGTGCTACTATACAGCAGTAGCAGCCTCACACTGCTGTGCGCACAGCCCTTTTGTAATCCGCTGCTGGATGAGGCCCTCCGCAAACCGTGTGCCATATTTGACTATACTTCACCAAACTGATCAGTGCGGATTAGTGAACATGGGCAGCGCAGATGTGTCACCATAGTACAGTACAATGGACTTCCTGCACTGCCTTCTGTTGCCCACCGCGTAGCCCCGTGACCTTTTTTTATTTTACCAGGTAAGGCCCACTGAGCTATATAGCTCTTTTTCAGAAGCGACCTGGCCACAAATGGTAGCTCAACAAAGTGGCTCATCATGTCGAAATACTCTAAACGCACATTGATTTTAAATGATGAGGGAAAAACTGAGGACCCGGAGAAAAATCCACGTGACAACGGAGAGGGAGAGAGACATGTAAACTCCAAATATACAGTAGGCATCAGGGTCGGAATCAAACCCACCACCTCCTGCATACCCGGCGAGGAAGTTAACATCTCGATTTAAAGCTTTCGTGACTGCAAGGATTCATCTTCTTTGGTTCTTTCGGAAAGGTCACGTAGAATGAGAATAAAATAATAAAATAACACAATAAAATTCTCACGACGTTTCGGCCACAATGCAAGCGGCCGTCTTCAGGTGCAAGGATCGTTTGATGCTGCCCTGGCCCGGAATAGCTTGTGCCAGGATCTCTCCACCAGGCAGACTGCCAGGCGCACGCGGGCAGCACGACCTCCTCCCGTTCGCTGCACACTCGGAGAGACGTTAACGACACAAGCGCCACGAGCTGCTTATGCGGGAGGCGCGAGGCCCGGGCTAGACGAGTAACTTCAAGAAGTTATCGACATTCGGGAAAAGCAGCTGGCCTTGGAGAGGTCAGAACGTGGTCAGAAGCGATGGAGCTCGACGGTCGAGCCTGCGAGTGGAATGGCAGCCAAAGATGGCGCGGATGCTCGCCGTTCAGGTGGAGCGTTAAGATCGTCCGTAGGTGGAGCGAGGTGATTGTTGGCTCCGTAGAATGAGGATGAACTTGACAAATCGGTTAATGGCGTTTCACTTGTCCTGTGCATGCGAGCGAAGGATCTGTTTAGTTTTAAACTCCGTGTCTTGGTTTTCTCTTTTTTCAGGAGGAGGTGGATAAAATTAAAAGAATCCTCATTGTGGAATTTTGCCAAAGGTAACATTTTTTTTTTTAATTCTTCATCAGAAGTGATTTTATCGCAGTTATCCCCTCATTTCAAATTAATCCCAGTTCCCTCTCCAGTTCAGCTTGGTTTGGAGTCGACAAATTGTACGTAGCAATGGTTAACTCCAGAAGGTGCTCTGTTCATACCCAGTGGGGCAAGTGCTGTTAGCGAGCACCTATGAAGGCTCGCATGGGACAAGAGGGGATGGGAGGTCAACACCACAACTGATCGCCTTTGTCACCCCAGGACTGATGTTTACATCTTGAACCAAGTACTGATTCTAAGGCTGAGTCGACCTAGAGGAAGCCCAGGACCGGTTCAATTATTTCTCTGTCACCATGAGCAGGAATTGAACCTGGGTCACCGGGCCCGCAGCGCAGCGCGTCAACCACTGCACAACCGTTTTAAAGGACACCAACAGCGGCATATTTAATTCACACATCCATTATAATGCAGATTGACAGACTTATACAGCATTGATGGGTTGATTGCAATAAATAATGTTGGCAATTGCAACTGTTGGCCGGCATCATGAATGTGCCAGTGTTTCGTGTTCCAATCGCACGAGCTCGTGGATGTGGGGTATCCACGTGGGTGGGATCTATCGCGCTCACAGGGAGCGGCCCCGATGTCATTGCCTCCCTGCCTGTGATTGCTGCTGCACAGCCGGGCTCGACTCACACGCTCGGTGCGCGCGGTGTGGTTCGGTGTGGTTTGGTGCGGTGTGGGCCGTGCAGTGTGGCATTGAGGATGGCCCAGTTCTCGGCGCGTGGGCAGATCCTGGCAAGCTACGCGGGGCTGCGCACTGCGCTGGCCGCCATGCCTGCACTGCGCGACTCGCACTTCATGCTGGGGGACGGCAGGGAGAGGAAGGGGGAGCGCGACTCGGAGTCTGGACTCACGGCCGATCCCAGGTGTGGGCCACAGAAAGACAACGATCCCCCGTGTAGCCTTAACAGACTGTAGGGGCAAGTGCTGTTAGCGAGCACCTATGAAGGCTGGTATGGCGCACGAGTGGCAATGTTTACACACCCCATCGGAAAACTCATTTGAGACTGAGTCGACTTATGGGAGGCCCAGGACCGTTAAAATAATCGCCACTGGTGTTGACCTTGAGCGGGAATCGAACCTGGATTGCCGGGTTAGGAACGCAGCGCGCTAACTGCTACACTGCCGCTCCCCACCTATTCACCACACACACACATTTACAACAGACACTTATCCACTCAGGTTGGTCTCATGCACTCACCGCGCGTGCTCATCGTTATCTCACCGCGTGCCCACCATGCTCACCGCGTGCTCACCGTGCTCACCGTGTTTTCGCCATGTCCTCACCGCGCTCGCTCGCTGTACACTCACCATGCTCACCGTGCGCTCACCATGCACTCACTGTGCTCACCGTGTCCTTACTGCGTGCGCTGACCGTGCTCACGATCTTCTTCCCGTGTCCTCACCGTACTTGCTCGCCGCGCCTCGCGGTAGGCGGCTGCAGGCCCGGCCGCGCCGCGTCCTCTCCGCCGACGGCAGAGTCTTCCTCAATGCCTGGTTCATCCCGCACCCTCGCGAGGTGCTGCAGATGTTCAGCACCATGGAGGACGCGGTAACAACGCCCAACTGCACGTGCCACGCTCCGCATCGTTCGGAGTGCCGTGGAACCATCTCTGTGTTGCCCGCGAACGACAGTCACTTGTCTGTAACATGAAGAAGTGATTGCCGACCGTGATATGAAACATAGCACTGCAGCACGTCACCATCACCTCCATCATCAGCATCATCAGCATCGTCCGCACCACCATCATCACCAAAACAAAGAGCCCCCACATAACCTCAACAGACTGTTCGGGCAAGTGCCTTTAGCAAGCACCTATGAATGCCGACACGGGACACTATGGGGTGGGTAGTTAACACCACGCCCGGCCGCTTTTGTTTCCCTTGTGGCGATGTTATGCACATTGCACCAGGTACTCATTTGAGGCTGAGTAGACCTAGGGGAGGTCCAGGAACAGTTCAGATATGATCATTACCATCATGATCTATCTGTGTGGGATAGAGTGTTTCCCCTTCACACGCATTGATTTCCTCCGGGTGCTCCGGTTTCGTCCCACATGTAAAACACTCATCAATTGTCCAACAACACCACAATAACACCTTGGGAAATCACCATCACCACCACCGTCACCGTTATTACACGCGTAGCGTGCACATAACAGTGTGTGGCCCCGCTCCCTGTTCCCCAGCACTGCTACCGCGCCCTGCGCCTGGTGCTGCGCATCGCGTGCGCGCTGCACGACATTGTGCTCACACTGAGCGTGAGCGCGCTGAGCGTGTGCACACCGCTCGGCACCTCCCAGCTGCCCGGCGCGACGCAGCTCTCATCGTGCAGGGAGACCCACGCCATCGGTGAGTACGGACCCCCACAGCTGCCGTTGCTCCATATGTATGCATGTGTGTGTGCTCGTTGAGATTCTTCAGAAACATACGTAGCCAGCCCTGCTAATCGGAGGTGCGAAGGAGGCAAAGGAGGCCATCGCAGAAGAAGCTCGGGTTGCTCTGAAAGTGCCAGGGCCGCCTATAAATCCCGACGACAGTCGGGTGGCGGCAGTGGCTACGTTGGCACGTGGCCTGAAGTTATCCAGCACTGTGGAGGCAGTAGCGAGGGTTGGTGGATGACACAAATGTCGCGAGACTCCCTTCCTCGTTGGCGGGTGTCGAGGAGGAGCCATGCCCTGGCTCGCCAGGAGAAGGTGGTACAGCAAAATTGTGGACTCTACCTGTTCCATCTGTGTGGGATAGAGTTTCCTCCTCGCACGAGTGGATTTACTTCCGGTGCTCCGATCTCCTCCCATATGTAAACACTCATTAATTAGCTGATAACACCTTCATATGTGCAGGACCACAGAGCTTGGCTGCCTTCCTGCTTGTCTGGTCCCTCACGCCCCCGAGTCATCCTCTCTCTTTCTCTAAAAGAGACGGCGAATACGGAGTCGTGCGTTCGAAGTAATTTTTAAAATATATATTATTACTGCTGTACAAAAGCACAGATTTACAGCAACGTTAAATCGGTGCTGTTGTACGGCTCGGAGAGTTTGTGTGTCGTCAGGACTGACACAAAGAGGGTGGAGTCCTTCTGTAACAGCTGCCTCAGGAGAATCAGCTGCATCTTTTGGCCAAACAAAACCGACAACACTGAACGGTACAAGAAGACCCGGTTGTCCTAGTATCACACACGAGACGTCGAGAGACGGCGACTCAGATGGCTCGGACATGTACTCAGAATGGACCAGAGGACCGTACACCAAAAATTGCCCTAAGATGGACACCACCGGGCAAAAGGAAACCCAGGAGAGCCGAGACCACCTGGCGCAAGACCGTGTAAACGAGGAGCTGGCGGCAGCGATCGACCTCTCTTGGGGCGAGTTTCAACATGTAGCCAAGGACAGGAAGAAGTGGAGGGAACTCATTGCAGCCTCATGTCCCATAGAGGATGAAGAGGATTAACTTAACTAACTAACAAAGCACAGATTTGGCCGAAGCTGAAATCCTGCTCCTGTCATATCTGGGGTGGAGGATCCAGTTCCTACCTCGCTGCACATGAGAGGATGCCCACGGAAATGTGCGAGGTTTGTCCAGAGTGCCTATTGAAATGTGCCGTTGTGGAGGATCATGGCTAATAATAAATAACACATCAAATGCGATTGCACAGCTGCGATGTTGGCGTTTGCCACGATAGAGATATCTGTTTGTTTGAAAAAAAACAGATTTGGTGGATCTGGGTGGCTGTCAACCCCCATCGCAGTCGCTCAGCCAGCACAAAATATACTCTTTGTTTTTTTCGGTGAAGTCACGTAGGTAAAACATTAATAAAATAAATGAAACGAAATTAAATCACGACGTTTTGGGCGCAACACAAGCGTCCTTCTTCAGGTGGGGACAACGTAGTGAAAGCACAAACGCTTAAGTGTGTCTCAGAGATGGCTGTGACGAGGGATTATATAGTCGCGGGGCATGGAGGGAGGGGGGGCCATGGTGAGTGTGGGGGCAGGGTGTGGGCTGGGAGGAGAAGTTGCAAAACCGAGGGTGCACTGGGAGGCAACTGGTGGAGCCGAGACTTAGGCTTTGTGATGTATTTGTGATGTATTTCCCTTCTACGTGACTTTACCGAAAGAACCAAGAAGATGAATCCCTGCAGTCGCGAAAGCTTTAAATCGAAATTTAGATGGCGGAAGTAAATAAGCAAGCTAGGATTAAGCCGCCTTTTGTTATGCTGCCAGGTGGGTAAGTTAGCAATGCACAGGCTAACAACGTAAGGAGTTCAAACTGAAATGTGCAAGCTAAAAAACAACTTGTGGTACACACTACCATGGCGATGGTAGTGTGCACTTGGAGGCAACTCGTGGAGCACAAAATATACTCTTTGTTTTTTTTCTGTAAAGTCACGTAGGTAAAAAATAAATAAAATAAATGAAAACGAAATTAAATCACGACGTTTCGGGCACAACACAAGCGTCCTGCTTCAGGCGGGGACAATGTAGCGAAAGCACAAATGCTAAAGTGTGTCTCAGAGATGGCTGTGACGAGGTATTATATAGTCGCGATGGTAGTGTGTAAAATTGGGGGTAACAGACTGGGAATATGGGTATGTTTATGAAAATACATCTAAACTGGCTGTCTAGCAGTAAACTAGCAGTAAACTGCTAGACAGCCCGATACCAAGGTGCTCTGCAAGCCTCCTGGATACTACCAAAGATTTGTCCATGAAGCCATCCAGATATACATACATAGACATAACTTCAACCGAGATGATGGATTCAAATTGAGCAATCATTGGAAAGATGTAATTAACCAAGTCACACTTTAGCTACTGGACAGTTTACTGCTAGACAGCCAGTTTAGATGTATTTTCATAAACATAACCATATTCCCAGTCTGTTACCCCACAAGTTGTTTTTTAGCTTGCACATTTCAGTTTGAACTTCTTACGTTGTTAGCCTGCGCATTTCTAACTTACCCACCCGGCAGCATAACAAAAGGCGGCTTAATCCTAGCTTGCTTATTTACTTCCGCCATCTACATCACAAAGCCTCAGTCTCGGCTCCACCAGTTGCCTCCCAGTGCACCCTCGGTTTTTCAACTTCTCCTGCCAGCCCACACCCCGCCCCCACATTCACCATGCCCCCCCCTCCATGCCCCGCGACTATATAATCCCTCGTCACAACCATCTCTGTAACACACTTAAGCGTTTGTGCTTTCGCTACGTTGTCCCCACCTGAAGAAGGATGCTTGTGTTGCGCCCGAAACGTCGTGATTTAATTTAGTTTTCATTTATTTTATTTATTTTTTACCTACATGATTTTACCGAAAAAAACAAAGAGTATGAATCCTTGCAATCACGAAAGCTTAAAATCTAGCACAAAATATGCGGCACAGCCTTGCTCAACATTCAGGGCAACAGATGTCACTGTGCAGTAAGTTATATTTTGTGTGTGTTTAGTTTGTTGTCTCTCTCCCCCCCCCACACCTCCAATTAGCACGGTTGGCTAAGTACGGTGCGAAAAAAATTCAACACACACAGTGCATAAGGCGCCTTAAGACATTAGTGCAAGGCGCCTTAAAAATAAATGTAAATTATTATATGTCTCAGATTCACGTTAAGTTTGCGTGACAGCCAAAAATATGGCCGCTGTCTGGTTATGAGTAGTTATCCCCATATATTCCACTGTAGACCAAACCCCAGACATTTCTGTCAGGCGGCACTAGGTCTAGCATTAAACCTGTGCAGTTTACTATTATCAAGTTCACCGCAGTATCAGTGCCAGATCTCGGCACAATTCAATTCCTGCCATCCACACACAGGTTCAGATTCCCAGGATGTCCGGATCAAACCCAGACAGCCGGTAGCGACCCCTGAGTGTGACTCACATCCCTGTACACCTGTCTGTGACACCACAGGTTGCCATGGTGGCGAGATCTTAACTACCTCACCTGGTATACAGGAGGTCGTGGGTTCGATCCCGACCCTGACGCCTGAATATTTGGAGTTTCCATGTCTCTCTCCCCGTGATCACTTGCATTTTTCTCCAGGTCCTGTGGTTTTTGCCTCCACATTTAGAAACATGCGTTTAGAGTATTTGGCTGCTATAAATTTCTACATGATAAGCCACTTCGTTGAGCTATCATTTGTTGCCAGGTCGCTTCTGAAAAAGAGATTCATAACTCAGTGGGCCTTACCTGCTAAAATATAAAAAAGATTAGTTTCGTACCTGCAGTCAGGTGATGCTGTGGCTGAACACGAGACACTGTTAAAATCCCAAGTCGGTAAATCAGCCAATCATCCCTCGAGTATCGACAAAACCAGTACCGCATTGCGGGATGTCAGCAGCGGTTATCCTTTTGGGATAAACTGGTCCCTGCCATGGGAACGTGGATTTTCCACCACGGACTGTGGACCGCCACTGGAGATAAGTGCTGCCACAAGCTCGCTTGAGGGAGGATGCTGGCGGGAGCTGTGTTGTGAACCTCCAAGCCAGCGACTGAGAGAAGCAGCTGGTGCCCCAGTGCAGCCCTCACTGGGGGTGAAGCCACGCTGCTGCTGTGTGACCGTGTGGTACTTCTGTGTGCTGTGGCCATGCCGTGCTGCGACCATGCCGTGCTGCTGTGTGACGATGCCGTGCTGTTGCGTGACCATGCCATGCTGCTGTGTGACCGTGCCGTACTTCTGTGTGCTGTGACCATGCCGTGCTGCGACCATGCCGTGCTGCTGTGTGTCCAATACTGTACTGCTGTGTGACCATGCCGTGCTGCTGTGCGCTGTGACCATGCCGTACTGCTGTGTGACCATGCCTCCTGTAGAGAGCGAGCTGCATGAGATCCAGAGGCAGCTGGATGAGCTCAAGGACCCCAGGAGCCCCGAGCAGGCGGCCGAGCTCCTGTGCCGGTACCGCCAGGTGACGCTGCTCAAGTTTGAGGCGGCCAGCAGCGACAGCCTCAGGTGAGTTGCTGGGCTTTGGGCATCTTCGGGACGTCGGTGGCATTATAATCAACGTCACGCGTTTAAGAGTATTTGGTTGCTGCTATAAATGTCCACGTGATGATAAGGCCCTTCGTTGAGGTATCATTTGTGGCCAGGTCGCTTCTAAAAGAAGTGAGACTGTATAGCTCAGTGGGCCTTACCTGGTATAAATAAAATAAAAAGTATAGCTTAGTCGCGCAGGCTGCCGCTGTTGGCGCCGTAAGGGTGACCGTCGAAGCAAACCGAGTAGCCGAGCGAGCGCGCGCACACCGGGACGAACGGTGGCACAGTGGTTAGCACGTTGCGCTCATAACCCGGCGATCCGAGTTCGATTCCCGCTGACGACCAATGACAGTGGCGATTGTTTGAACTGCTCCTGGGCCTCCCCTAGGTGAATTATTCTCGAAATGAGTACCTGGCATGGTGCATGAACATCAGCACTGGAGGGACAAAAGGCAACCGGGCGTGGCGTTGGCCACCAAGCCCCTCATGTGCCGTTTGCTAATCGCAATTGCCTGTTATAAAGCTATACGGGGGATCTTATCTTTGTGTCCAGCTAGGAACAATTATATTTACATAGTAACCCCAGTCCTGTGAACAGGTTCGAATCCTGGCCAGGTATATCCCTGTCACTATCTAAGTTGACTCAGCCTGAAGCGAGTAGCCGATGTGTTACGTTGGGAAGAGAGCGCCTCCGGAGCGGACCTCACTGCTCACCTGCTGCGCCCACTGACTGTTGGCAGATCTGACAAACATAACCGCCTTAAGAAGTGCGTCTTAACGGGATGAGTCCTCATGCGAACATACGTGTGCGTGATTGTAGCGCTGTGTGGATTTGATGCGGCCTCAGCGAGGCTATTAGAGGAACAGAATGCCACCGAAGAGGTCACGTTTTTTTTATCGCAGTATGACAGAAAAGGATCCCTGTTTCCGCCTTTATAAGGGCTCATCGGCTGTACCTGGCCAGGGGCCGTTGTGAAACACCCAGAGTGATGCATGGTCGAGGAGACATAGGCCCCTTTTGAGTGTACATGTGCACACACATTTGTAATTGTGTACCTCCTAGTGGCTCTCCTATGGATAAACTCGTCCTTGCCGTAGGAATGCTTAGGACTGTAAACAAGAGAGCCGGACCACATCAAACTAATTTGAGCAGGAAATCATTTTGCAACGTTAATTGGCCACTAAAACCTGGATAAAACTTGAATATATAGAAGACCCCAACAATTGGGAAATTGTTGTGGTTCGGCCTCGCCCCTCTGAGTCGTTCTCTCCCTCTACGAGAGCGATCAAATCCTGGGCGTTGGAGGTACGTCACAAGTTGACATTTCTGTTATCTGCGTGTACGCGCATGGCCTACCCGTATCGGGACTTGTGAGGCCACGTAGGCTCAGTGTGCCGCCAGCCCGGCACCGACTTGCTGCGGCTTCGTGGTGATGATGCCGCGACATCTCCTGCTTGTTGCATGCGTGCTGCGCGCAGGGCCAGCGGCGCCGTGCAAGTGAGCGAGGAGGCAAGCACCACGCCCCGAGCGCTGGGTGTCCCTGCCGCCAGCCTGTATGGAGCGGCGCTGCGCCTGCCGCGGCCCGTGCAGCCGGGCAGCCCGCAGGTGCCGCCCCCTGCGCTCGCTCCATCTGCCCCCTCCGTCTTCCTCCAGCACCGTCTCCCATGCAGCCTTCACCAGCGGCAACATTCAAAGCCGCACCGGCATCTCCACCTCAATCATTCGCTCACTTACACGATCCCACCGGCGTCTCCACCTCACTCACTCACTTACACGATCCCACCAACGTCTCCACCTCACTCACTCACTTACACGATCCCACCGGCGTTTCCACCCCACTCACTCACTCAGATTGTAAATGTTGTGGATTTGCTCTCCAACACATCCACAACATTTCGCCAGTAATTGCAACTAGCATCATTAGTTGTAATCACTGGCGAAACGGCATACCGGGATTGTAAATGTTATGGATTTGCTCTCCAACACACCGGTGTGCTGTACGAGTTACGAATTGGCATGTTCTGTTTACGTGACAAGCCTTACTAATTGGTTGTGTCAGGTGGTGGCAGGTTTAACGACACATTTATATTTACGTGATCTAACCCAAAATAAAACAATATTATAGTAGCAGTCACCCAAGGTGTCCTTGAGAATAATTGGGATTAGGCCAATAATACATCCCCATAGCAGTCTCCATGCGAGCGCCACCACAAGGAGCCCGGCGGCGCGTGGCATCTCCTATTCCTGTGCTCCCCACACAGGCCGCGGAGCTCTTCCCCTGGAGGTCATTCCTGAACACAGAGGGGCCCTACCCGGGGATGATCGGCCAGCTGTGGCAGACGCAACACGGCCTGCAGGTCAGTGACGCTCGACGGGCACGGGCCGGAGGAAACCACCGCCGTCAAATCTCTTTTGACTCCAGAGTCCGTTTCATGTGCCCCTTTGTCCGTTTGTCTTCACGTCCAGCTGCGTCTTTGCGGACTGACGGTTAGCGGGCGTCGGGCCCTCAACGGTGAGATTCTTGGCGTCTCGCTGCTTCTGGAGGACGTCCTGCAGAGAGCGGCCGCCGGTGGGGCCGCGTTTGTCGTGGCCCCGCTGGCAGAACGCGCTCCTCACGGCAGCGGTGATGACGACGACAACGACGGGGGGGGGACGCTGCTGGCCCCACCCCTCCCTGGCGCGCCGCGGGCCGACCCGCTGTCGACCCTTGCACTGCTCGAAGCGTTCCTGCTGCTGTGCAAGCGGCTGGAGCTGCTCAAGGTGGAGTGGGGGCACCAGCGGCCAGGAGTGAGCGATGCTGCCGGGCTTAGCAAGACGTACAGGTGAGACGCGCCGACGTGCCACGGTCCACCGGTTGCGGTCGTTCTCGCGGGGGGAATCGCGCCATCAATCATGCCACTCGCTGCTGGATATCCGCTACGCGCTCAGTAACAGCCAAGCAGCGTCACGTCCAGGTGGTTCGTGAGCCAGGCGGTTGCGTCGGGCGTGGCACAGTGGTGAATCATCGCTGTGGTGATGTCCCCTCCTTCATGTTTGTGAATTTGGCGTCGGCGTTGCACGTCCCATGGTTCTGTTCTGGGTAGTGACCACAGTCTCCGCACACTGCCTGAGGGTTTTTAATTTCCCTTTTGTGCATTATCATCAACATCAAGTATCCACATGTACAATTTGAGGTTTTTTGCTCTTCATCAACATCAGCCATATGAAGAAGCAAATAAATAATCACACAGAGTGGAATTCATAGCACATGCGTCGTATAATTCCGTGTCGTTTACACCTTGCACAAATTACAAGCATCAAGGAGTAGCCGAGTGAGTCTTAAACTTCGTCTTGATCACGTCTTGTGCACAGTATGCATTGTCACATATCAAAGAATCACCCCGTTCAGACACTCTGAACCCCCTTCTATCCCTGCTTTTACTCATCCTTTCTGGAGTTTTCCATGACTCTCCACCAATCCCATGCATTTCTCCTAATGGTCTTCCAACCGACCCCTCGTTTCCATTCAGTTTTCAATTTGAATGATCTCCACCTTCAAGTCCGATTGGGCGTGTGCCCAACATCGTCAGCTATGATAGCATCTCGCCAATGAGAGTTGGGCTCGTTATTAGAACTCGCGAGGTGCCGTTATACCCGGCGAAGGCATATTTATTTATTTATTTATTTTCCTGATAGGGTTCCTCTCTCGGCATTCCTTACAAAAGCAAACAAATATGGCGCCGTTGGCTGCGGTCTGAGCGCTGAAGTGCTGACGAGCGTGCGGTCGCTGCCGCCAGGGTGGAGATCCTGGCCCCGGCGCTGAAGGCCCTCGCGTGCCGCATGGGACTAGACGCGCCGGCGGAGGCTCGGCTGGAGGAGGCCACGGCGGTCCCAGCGGGGGCCTCCGAGGTGGACGTCCGCATGGCGCAGGTGAGGGCCTCCACGCTCACCGCACTCCACACTCACCGCACCCCACTCTCACCGCACCTCACTCTCACCGCACTCTACACTCACCGCACTCCACACTCACCGCACTCCACGCTCACCGCACCCCACTCTCACCGCACCCCACACTCACCGCACACTCACCGCACCCCACTCTCACTGCACTCTTCACTCACCGCACCCCACCCTCATCGCACCCCACCCTCACCGCACCCCACACTCACCACACCCACCCTCACCGCATCCCACACTCACCGCACCCACCCTCACCGCACCCCAAGCTCACCGCACCAAACGCTCACCACACCCCATGCTCACCGCACCCCACTCTCACCGCACCCCACGCTCACCGCACCCCACGCTCACCGCACCCCACGCTCACGGCACCCCACGCTCACCGCACCCCAAGCTCACCGCACCTCACGCTCACCGCACCCCACGCTTACAACACTCGGTTATACACAAGGCCTTGAATTGACGTTTTTTCTCTCAGCTGGAGAAGCTGATTGACAGTTTGGAGTGCACGATGATTCAAGAGACACACAGGAAGATCAGCGCAGAGCTGGCGCTGGCTGTGTCCGAGAGGGCACGGGAGGAGGCTGCACTCCCTACAGGTACACTTGCACCTCACCAGGACTCTCACACTTCACCGATACACTCCCGCCTCACCGGTACATTAACCACAACTCTCCAACACTCTCAGAGCCCGTACTCACGGTGCCTGTGTCATGCTTCCCGTCTGCTCTGTGCTCGAGGAGACCTGTGGAGGCACCCCCTGATGAGTGAAAACCTCACCAATGAGCGGCCCGCCATCGTGGAGGACTTTGTCCATCATCTCCTGGAGCACGCACAGCTCTCAGAGACTGAAGTGAGAGCTCCACAGCCCCTAACTCCGAGCACACGTTAGTGTAGTGTGTGTGTCCGTGTCGTGTGTGTGTCCATGGCGTGTGTGTGTGTCTGTTAGTGTGTGTTTCTATTTTGTACCATCGGACACTCCACCCCCACAACTCCCAATCGGTGGTGGGGCAGTTGTGGAGAGAGTGGAGAGTTTCCCATACCTGGGCTGTGTGCTTATGACCGGCTCCAGTTTAACAGCAGAGGTCTCACTCCGAATCAGTTGAGCGGCAATATCTTTTCATCGGTTGCGTAACGATGTGTGGAAGCTACCTGGTCTGTCGCTCTGCACTAAGCTTCAGGTCTTCTCGGCCACGGTCATTCCCTCCCTTCTCTACGCTTGAAAAACGTGGACCCCCCTAATGGAACATCTTCGCCGGTTAGAAACATTTAGGCTAGCCTGATCCATCCTGGGTTTAACCAGACTGGATTATGTGAGGAGCTCATAAATCCTTGAAAGATCTGGGCAAGATCTCATCGGTGAGCTCCTCCGGCAGGCAAGGCTGCGTTGGGTGGGTCATGTAGCCCGCATGCCCAGCTTTTGTTCGGCCCGATCGAGGGGGCTAAACGGGCGTGGCACGGGCTAGAGAAGAGATGGAGTGATGTGGTACAGGAGGACGTGGAGCTGAGTGGACTTGCCGATGACTGGTACCAGCGGTGTCAAGAACGGCCTCTGTGGAGGAGGCTCGTGAAGGACGCTACTGGGCAGTTGGTGGTAGTCGCCCTCCAACAACAACGGAGGGCGGAGGAGCGACGCTCACAACAACGAGCGGAGCGCCGGGTGGCTAAAACACAGCAGGTTGGCACAGTAGGGAGCACAGGTGGTGCATCAGTCAGCCATCTCCTCCTGCCAGCGGGCGTTCGACACTTCACGTGGCCTCAAGGTGCACATGGCCTGGCACAAGCGTCTTGGTGACGTCACCGCCACTTAGTGGCGAATGGCGGTTGTTGTTGTGTATCTGTGTCGTCTGTGTGTCTATGTCATGTGTGTGCTGTTCATGGGGAGCAGTAGTGTAGCGGTTAGTGCAGTGCGCTACGAATGCAGCGACCCGAGTTCGGTTCCTGCTCACGGCTGACATCTATGACGAATTTCTGAACCAATCCTGGGCCTCCCCGAAGTTAACTCGGCCTCAAATGAGCACCTGGTGCGGTGTGTAAACATTGGCACTAGGGAGACAAAGGCGGCCGGGCGTGGTGCTGGCTTCCCACCTCCTCATGTCCCCTCAATAGTTGCTCACTCACAGCACTTGCCAAAAAGCTATGTTAAAGGCTATACAGGAGATCTTTGTCTTTGCTTGTTAGTGTAAGTGATGTATGTAATTGTGAGTATTATTTATCTGTGTGTGCACTGTGAGTAATGATAATAATCATTTGTGTTTGACATGGCGCCCTATACGCTGGGGCACAAAGTGACTCGGCACCTGGGCCTGCCGGCGGGCATTCGTCTGCCACTAGGGGGGTGATGATTGCTGCTGTGCATAATCCCAGTCGCGCAATCTCAATTGAAAACCAGTGGCATATTTGTCTCTGTGTAAGGGTCGCCAACGGCGTACCCTGCATGTCATGGAAAGCGGTTCGAAGTCGGGCTACCCATCGCTGGGTGGTCAACTGTCAGCTGGGGTGGAGCGAAGCGTTCCACTCGCGCCATTGGCTGACCGCCGACCGCGCATGATTCGATGAAAAACCCAAGGCGAGTCGGCGATCGGCAGGGAAGTCTGAACTGAGGAAAGCTCGTGAACAGCTTGGACCGCTGGAGACAAGGGGGTTGGGGGGGGGCGAGTGGTAAAGAGTGGGGGTGGTGATAAGGAAGGTTTGAAAAACAAGTCGGGAGAGGGCGTTTGAGGCACTTCTAGGGAATCCCTCCCGACCTGTGTATGACCGAGTTTTACTGGACTTTGAGTGAACAAACACCCTTCCATCTGCGTGCTGTGCGGTGTGTTCATGTGGTGTGTTGGTGCATCGGTGCGTTGCATTGGTGCAGCTGCTGAAGAAGCTCTGCTATGGCATGCCCGCTGTGTGGCCACAGGTGCGGCTGGACAAAGTGCACCTCTCGCGCAGCCTGGCGACCCTCGCCTCACACGTCATGCAGAGGGAGCGGAGCAACTTCCAGGCCTTCTCAATGTTCTACGAGCACCTGCTGCGCCACCAGCAGCGCTTGTTGCAGCAGCGCGAGCAGGCACGTGCCCCCCCACCTCCCCCACAACCACCTTGCTTTGCCTTGTGCAGTGTTGGTGGCGCCAAGGTAACTCGCACGACCGAGACTCCAACCTTGTTCTCTTGAGTTCTCCCCCCTCGCACGTGTGCGCCGGGGTTCTTGTCCATCCGCTGCTGGGTGAGGCCGTGTCCACACTGTGCGGATCTTGGGGATTACTGATCATACTTCATAGCGCCGGTCGATGCTGGGTTTGGTGGAGACGGGCTGCGTAGACTTTCGAGCGTGGCAGAGTACAGCCGTGGGATTTTGCCGCTCGTTCCCGGTAGCTCCTATAACAGTCCGTGCACTGGTCGCCTCTGCGGCGTTGAGAAGCAAGAGCAAAGCTGGCAGTGCAACCTGCAGATTGCGATAAAAAAACATTTTATTTTAGCAGGTCAAGGCCCACTGAGCTTCACAAGCGACGTAGCTATCACAAATGATAGATCGAAGAAGTGGCTTATCACGTGGAAAATATCAGCCAAGTACTCTAATTGCATGTTTCTAAATGTGGAGGGAAAAATCAGAGGACCCGGAGAAAATACGCGCGACCACGGGGAGAGAGATGCACAAACTCCAAATATACAGCAGGCGTCAGGATCGGGATCGAACCCATGACCTGTATACCAGGCGAGGTAGTTAACACCTCGCCACAACGGGTCGTACTCCGGTTCACTGGTGCGGTGATCTCCGTCTTCTGCAGGAAGTCGCCGCTCTGCAGGAGGTGGCCCAACCCACGGAGCAGCTCGACGTGCAGGTGGGACAGAAGCCGCAGCCGCTGTCTCTCGGCGCTCGCACCCACACGGCCGTGACTGGGGACTCGCCACGGTGGCTAGGAGATGTTAAACCACCTCGTCTGGTATTCAGGAGGTCGTGGGTTCGATCCCGACCCTGATACCTGATATATATTTAGGGTTTGCGTGTCTCTTTCCCCCGTGGTTGCGTGGGCCTTGGTTTAGGTGTGCTATGTCTTTGTATTGTTTTTTGCTGTTGTCTTGTACAGCATTGTCAGATGCAGTTTTGCATGAACGACGTGATATAAACTTTGATTATTATTATTATTATTATCCGTGCTCGCGTTGTACGAATTGATTTGCATTGGGGTCTGGTAGCAGTATTGTGTTGAGCTTTATTCCAGTGAACGGCACAGTTCTGCTCATAGACCTAATGCTGACTGAGAAATGTGTCCGGATTGGCTGCACAGCGGTAAATGTGGCAGCCCAAGTTGCATTCTCACACACAAGCGGTGATTTTTTACTTCCATTGAAGCTTTTGTTTGACACTTTACGAGCCCGTTACAGCCAGTCACATAATCCGTTCGGAGTGTATCCCGTCATACAGAACTCACCTGACATGACAGAGAGGGGGGGGAGGGCAAAGGAGAGGGGTGAGGGAGTGGGGACCCGCTTCCCCAGAAGGTGGGGCTGTTAATACGGTGGGGTAACACGCGGTGAATTTACCATCCAAGAGATCTCATTACAAGTATAAACTTTTCTCCTCGAGGTGTTGACCTGCACATGTGATGCCCGCGTGTGCTGTGTGCTCTCTCCGTGTGCTCTCTGCGTGTGCTGCCCGCGTGTGCTGCCCATGTGTGCTGCCCCCGTCTGATGCCCGTGTGTGCTGCACACGTGTGCTGCCCGTGTGTGCTACCCGCGTGTGATGCCCGCGTGTGATGCCCGCGTGTGATGCCCACGTGTGATGCCCGCGTGTGATGCCCACGTGTGCTCCCTGCGTGTGCTTTCCGCGACAGCGCGAGCTCGGCGAGGGGACGCTGCGGCTGCTGGTCGAGGTGACATCTCTGCGCTCGCAGCTCGCGGAGGCGCGCGGCGCCGAGGAGCGAGCACGGCAGCAGGCGCGCGACGAGGAGCGTGCCGAGTACGACGCGCTCATGCGCAGCCTCTGCTCCGACCTCTTCGCCGTCATGGTGAGATGACGTCGTATTAGTCATCTTAGTCACAGGGCTCCGCGCTGTCCGGCGGCATTCCTGTAGATGCGAAGGTCGCCTTCTGGTTTACGTAAACACCGGCGTTCCTTCAACTCCTTCCTTCAATGCGTTCATTCAACTTGTTCCTTCAACACATTCCGTCAACTCATTCCTTCAACTCATTCCGTCAACTCGTTCCTTCAACTCATTCCATCAACATAAGCCAGCCCAACACCTCCCCACACCACACCCTTGCTGAACCGCACAACGTTCACTCGTGGTGGAGATGTGGCCTGTAAACGTCGGTCTGCCACGCCGGTGCTTCTCACTGCACCAGACACGCTGGAATGCTATTGCCAATAAACTGCAACTTGAATCACTACCTATGAGATCTTCACTCAAAACTGTTCTAGAGGAGTTGTACAACCCTAGCTGCCACTGCTATTCAGTGGCCTAAATTATGGCCCTAGATTTTGGTGTTATAATTTTTTTACGTAGTTTATTGCTAAAAATTCGGTCACAGTCCCTATGATCACTGTTACATTGCATTTATGGCTTTTATTTTGGTGATTTCGAAAAGTTTTTTTGGTTTTGGCCATGTTTTTGTTTATTGTAGTACGGAGTTAGACTGATGGCCTTAATCTTAGTTGTCTTGTGGTTGTTGTTATTTGACTTGCATCCCACTGGGATTTTTGCACACAGCGTTGGTGTACGGTGCTATTTCAGGAATATTTTGATATTTTTTTCCTGTATTTTCTGTTTGCACAGTCACATAATCACTTTAAGATGTTTTCTTGTTCATGTTTTGTGTTTGTTGCGGTTGCACCCGATTCAAGAGCCGAATGGCTCACAGGGCTATACCAAATAAATGAACTATGAACTATGACTGCCGGGAAGGGCGTTGAGTGAGAGAGTGAGCATAGCGGTATGGGACGAGGGAGCATGTCTGCAGCAGGGCATTGGGATGGGGTGCGTGTCTGCTGCAGGGTGTTGGGATGGGACGAGGGTGCGTGTCTGTGCCGCAGGGCGCGCTGGACGAGTTCAGGACGGAGCTGCACCAGGAGGCACTCGACTCGGTCGCGCTCGTGCGCAGGGAGGGGGTCGAGAGTATCCGGCTCCTCCGCAGGAAGAGCGGAGTGAGCAGGGAGGACTATTCCCTGCAGAGGAACCTGAAGAAGGTGAGGAAGCTCCATCCAGCTGGCACGTGGCCCAGGGGAGGCTCGCGTTTTCCGTTGTCACGGTTGTTTCTCTTGAGTCGCTCGTGGCCGACAAAGTAAGAGGATCGTTTGACGTAAATTTTGTCTTGATTTTTTACAAAGCTAAAATTGAGAATTGCGTTGGAGCTGTTAAACGAATGGTGTTCTTCGTTCGGTGTTTCATATTTTGATTCAATCCCACGATCTTTGTGACTGCGAAACCTTTGATTTGATTTTGTTTCCCATTTATATTTTTATTGTTCATCGGAGTATTTTTTTTCTTTTGGCTATTTCAGTGACTCTGGTCACTCTTGCAAATGTGACTCCTCTATTCCCGCTCTCTTGAATTTCCACTCCGGTGGCAGAAAGCGAACTTTAAACCTTGAAACTCTCCCACAGATACCGCTGAGAGGTAGCAGTGCTTGTGGTGTGTGTCCAGCCGGGGGCTCCCTTGCGCAGCGGCTACTGACACCGTGCAGACAACAGAAGTTGTCGCTCTGTGATAAACACTGCAGGGTTTTTTTATGTATTTAGTTTTTCATCCCCCCCCCGCCTCCCCAGCAGTGGGGTAACTGAGCAGCGCGTCGTGAGTGATCACTCTGAGCGCGTTCGTTCCGAGCACGTTGGCCCCGAGCGCGTTCACACTCCGAGATCCCCCGTAGCATGCGCAACAGCTGATACTATGCGCAACCCTCCTCCACTTCTCACCTACCCCCCCCCCCCCCCCCCCAGTTTTAAAAAATGCAAAAACAGACGTCAATGCGTATAGTTGTTTGCATCTGTCCAAGACTCGAGGTGAAGGGTTACTGTGTTATGCCGAAGCGCGTGGGGGAGATGAACGTAGCTCTAGACAATTTATCTGATTAATGTCACGTCCTTGTGAACACTGGAGGTAGCTGTACGAGTGCCGTAAGCATTTTAGTGGGATACAAAAAAATACATTAAAATTTCAAAGCTAAGCGTATCGATTTTGCAAGTAGATAATATCTATATTGATGTATAATCTGCGTTTCTTTATGTGACTGTGTGTAGTTGATATGAAAACCGGTGGCGCTAAGAACCTGGTGACCTGAGTTAGATTTCCACTCGTGGCCAACACCAGTGACGAATATCTGAACCAGTCGTGGGACTCCTCTAGGTCGCCACATTGGTGATATGTTAACTACCTCACCTGGTATACAGGAGGTCGTGGGTTCGATCCCAACCCTGGCGCCTGTATATTTGGAGTTTGAGTGTTTCTCTCCACGTAGTCGCGTGGATTTTTCTCCCGGGTTCTTCCTCCACATTTAGAAACATGCATTTAGAGTATTTGGCTGCTGTAAATTTCCACATGATAAGCCACTACGTTGAGCCAGATCGCTTATGAAAAATAGATAGTTTTAGCTCAGTGGGCCTCACCTGGTAAAATACAAAATTTAATAATAGGGTTTTTCCCCTTTTTTCTGGCAACAAAACTGAAACCTTTTTACAAGGAATCACGTGTGCATTGACCACAATACTTGTGGTCAAAATGCAAAAAAAACACACTCTGATAATATATACATTGTCCTTGAAACTGATTGGTCCAAACTAGAGACGGCTTTCTTTTGAGCCTCGACTCAATTGGTGCTAGACCAGAGGACGCCAAAATGCGTACAGCTCAAAGACAATGCACTATCAAAGTAATGAGGGCTTGGGGTAAGCATCTACATCATTAGACCTCCTTTGCCAGTACCAAAATATAATAATATGGTTTTTCCCCTTTTTTCTGGCAACAAAACTCAAACCTTTTTACAAGAAAACATGTGTGCATTAACCACAATACTTGTGGTCAAAATACAAACAAAAAACACACTCGACACAGCCAACTAGTAAGGATTGTCATGCAAATAGAACATGCCAATTCGTCACTAGTACAGCACACCGGTGTGTTGGAGAACCAAGCCACAACATTTACAATCTGAGTACAACGTTTCGCCAGTAATTACAACTAGCTTCATCAGGCGACAGCCAGATTTGTGGAGATGTCCACCTGTTTCGTTCCTTACAGTGAGGGAAAAAAGTATTTGATCCCCTGCTGATTTTGTACGTTTGCCCACTGACAAAGAAATAAAAGCAGAGGGTTTTAGTGTGCTTGAAGCTATTGCTTTTATTTCAAAATCTTCCATTTGTAGTGAATCACTCGGAGATACTAACAGTAGAAGGCACTATATGTATTATAGCCTTCACAGGTACAAGAGGTAACTATGCTAGGCTCAGGACAGCTAACAGGCTGCCTGACCAACAACGCCGACGAGGTGAAGACGGTGACGAGGACTCCAGCAGCACGTCGGTTCCACTCCAAACAACAGCTCCGAACCCTCACTCGGGGTCTTTCCTTCATACACCCAGTAGGCTTTACCACACGTACCCCCTCTGCCCCCGTTGCCTCACGTCCCTCTCTCTGGCTCATCACATCCTACTGGCAGACAGGGCTACTCCACCTCCGATCCACTTCTGTGACAGCAACCAGCGCTATGCACCACAGTGACCCATTCCATGTCACTACACATGTACAAATTTGCTATCACAGAAGACAAGGAGAGCCCATTGCTGCTCCTTCCTTTTGTTTATCGAAGTCACCTTGCCACAAGAAGTAGGTGTTCTTTAGACAGTGTTTAGCTAGTCTTGGGATATCTGTGACTAAACCGTTGTTTGTTACCAGTGTCGAGTAATTTAATTGACTTTGACCAGAACCCTCGTGAACAGAGAAGTCACATCAAAACTTAGGAGAATATCATTAGGGCCAAGCTTAATATATCTAATTACATTTACGAGATGTTCAGAGTTTTTGATGAACGAAGAGGTCCTACCGATGCAGGGCTGTATTTGTTTAGTTACGTATTGTGCTAATTTGTATGTGGCAGAACCTATTGTACTATGGGTCTTAACGGGACATCAGGTTTGTAAATTTTCGGTAGCCCATAAAGTCTTGGCGGCTTTGATGCCCTTGGTTTGTCTTTGGAGTTTGTATGTTCTTTGCCTGTCCTGCACGGGTTTCCTCTGGATTCTCTGGTTTCCTCCATATTGTTAAATATATATCTCAATGTCATTGGTATTGGAATAAAACATCCAAATGCTGAAAAAATTTACCTGCAAATGACCTAAATTTGGATCACACAGCAGCAGCATCGCCTCACTGCTTTGAAAACTTGGCAAGACCCTCCCTCTTGAGAGACTTCTCTCTCTCTACTTCTTCCCCTCGCACTGCTCCACTTTGGAATTCCCTCCCAAAATCGTCTCTCTCTCTCATTAGCGTGGTTTGGCTACGTGCGGTGCGAAAGTTAATTCAACGTACGTACGTGCATAATAATAATTTACATTTATTTGTAAGGTGCCTTCCACTAATGTCTCAAGAAGCGTGTTACAACTCTCATCTAATACACATCTTTGACAGTGCTGTTGAAGGCCGCTTGACGTTTTGTGCCTCACGGGGTCTTCGCCCACCCAAAACCTCCCCTGCCTGTGCCTGAGCGGCGTGTTCAGCACGAGGAGGTGCAGAGGCTGCGAGAGGACAAGAGCCACCTGGAGACGCTGGTGAGCAAGATGAGGGTGCTGAGCTACTGGAGACAAAGCAGCCTGAGGAGGAGCCACTCCAAATCAACTGCAGAGCTACAGCAAGTGAGCAGTCGCCTCGCTGCATGCCCCTCGCTCACTCGCACACAAAGACGCCCAGTATAGCCTATAACAGACTGATGGGGCAAGTGCTCTGAGCAAGCACCTATTCAGGCCCGGCAACGGCACACGAGGGGGTGGGCGGCCAGCATCACGCCTGGCCGCCTTTGTTTCCTTTGTGGTGATGTTTACACACTGGCACTTATTTTAGGCTAATTCGACCTAGGGGAGGCCCAGATATCGTCACTGGTGTTGGCCGTGAGTAGGAATCGAACTCGGGTCGCCGGTTTTGCAGCTCAAGCTTGAGCCGCACAGTGCCTCCCACGAGCAGCGCAGCCGTCTCTGAGTGCTGCTCGGCGCGTGGGAGTCGTGAGCGCGGCTGCGGGACCACGGTGCCTACGCTGCTGCAATGTAACTGCCTGCGATCTGGCACGATGGGGACAGCGGCGGCGAGGGTTGCTGGATCACACGCAGATGTTGCGAAACTCCCTTCCCCGTGCACTGCGATGAGCGCGGTTACTACGTACGGTGTGAAAGAAGTTCACCGTATATACATTGCCCCATGGGCGTTGGCGAGGTGTCCGTACCCTGGCTCGCCAGGAGAAGGCGGTTGAGCAAAAATGTGGACTCCACCTGTTCCGTCTGTATGGAATAGAGCATTGTTCCCTTGCATGCTTGGGTTTTCTCCAGATGCTCCTTTTTCTTCTCACATATAAACCATTCATTAATTGGCCGATAACACCTTCATATACAGAGGACCGCAGAGCTTGGGCAATTACTGGCGCTGGCTCATCGTGAGCCATGTGACCAGGAGTACGGGCCAAAGTCCATGGACCAAGACCCAATATGTAACTTGTCGGTACCACCTGAGATGGCAACATAGTAATCTTGTCTCATAGGCGCGTGATCACACAGTCCACTTGCATTCGCCATGTATGGGACACTGCTCTCACTGAATGCCCCAAGCACTGGCCGTGGGGCCAGCGGCCACGGTCCGTCCTGCACACAGCACTGCTTTCGCCCTTTCTTTCCCAAAGCAGGTGAACGTCCTTTCTTATCCCCCCCCTGCTCCTCCCCAGCCATACCCCCTCACTCATCTATACACAGCTCTTACCAAAGTCAAAGACAAAGATCATCCATAATAGCATGAACAGACTGCTGGGGCAAGTGCTGTTCGCTAGCGCCTATGAAGGCTGGCATGGCACGCGAGGGGGTGGGTGGCCAACACCACGCCCGGCCGCCTTTGTCTCCCTAGTGGCGATGTTTGCACACCACACTCGGTACTCATTTGATGCTGAGTCTACCTAGGGGAGGCCCAGGACCGGTTCAGATAATCGTCACTGATGTTGGCCGTGAGCTGGAATCAAACTCGGGTCACCGGGTTTGTAACGTAGCGTGCTAACCGCTACCCTCCTACTCTCCTCCGCCACCAGCCACACTTCCTCACTCATCCACACACAGCTCTTACCTCCACCGCAGTCACACACACTCACTCGTGAATTTCGCCACCCGCTCGCACTTCTCTCACCACAGCAGCTCCATGTGCTCGCTAAACATTACTCATAATCCCACTCGACGTTCTGGTCCTTTGACGACTTCCTGTGCTCAGCAACTGTCTTGTTAAAAAAAAACTAAAACCAAAGAGCTGTGAATGTTTCAGAGCACATCACACGACCAGCAAGCCGTGCTGTCTCACTCGCGAGCCACGCGGTCTGATATGCGAACCACGCAGTCTGACTCACAAGCCGCGCTGTCTGACTCGCGAGCCACGCGGTCTGACACGCGAGCCACGCCGTCTCACTCGCGAGCCATACCGTCTCACTCCTGAGTCGCAGAAAATCGCTCCCCACAGACAGTTTCAGTTAAAATTGTGCCGATTCGGCAGACTTTGCACACATTTGGACTGCATTCGCCCCATATTTGGGGAGATTTTGCCTTTCTGCCAACACTGAATTCGGGGCCATAAATCGTTTGATCGATGCAGTTGCGAACTCCGGTTTGACGCCGGTGGGTGGTGTTGGTGTGGGAGGAGAGGCGGTGCAGTGGTTAGCGCACTGCGCTACAAACCCAGCAACTCGAGTTCGATGCCCAACCACGACCAATAACAGTGACAGCGAATATTTAAACAGTTCTTCGACACCCTTAGGTCGACTCGGCCTGAAATGCGTACCTGGTGCAGTGCACGGTGTAAATGAGTACCTGGTCCTGGCCACGCACCCCCCTCGTGTGCCGTGTTGGTCAACAGAGGTGCTACTCACTAGCAGCACTTGCCCCGATGGTCTTTCGCGACGCCATCCGTGGGGATGGCTCACACTTGCTTGGGGTGAACTCTCCTCCAATTCGCCCCATTGTTGCATCGCTCTACGATAAACACTGCATGGTTTTTTCTGTGTTTAGTTTTTTTGCCTCCCCCAAACCCTACCTCCCTAACTCCACCTCTCCGGCAGTGGGGTAACCGAGCAGCACGTCGAGTGCGTTCGCTCCGAGCGCGTTCGCTCTGAGCACATTCGCTCCGAGCGTGATCGCTCCGAGCACGATCGCTCCGAGCTCGTTCCCTCCGAGCCCATTTGCTCCGAGCGGCCGCGCTCGGAGTCTGAATGGGCCCTCCTCACGGCATCCTCTGCAGCCCTTGGCTGCTCGCCACATCAAACTGTGCTCGGGTCGAACATTCCGAGAGCGTGCGCATGTTTGGAAGCATTTCTTAAAACCAGTCAGTCAACGCACGGTTGGGACCCTTTTTTTACAGCATTCGATCAATATTAAAGGGATAATATAAAAAGGGTTTTACCCTTTCTGGCATAACTACAGGTGTTACAAATTACGTTTGTTACAAGGCATCAAGTATGCATTAACCACGCATACTTGTGGCAAAACATGCCAACAAAATATGCTTTGATGATGAATGCGCATGCCCTTGAAACTGATTGGCCTACATCAGGTAATATTGACAACACTCACGAGTCACTGCGAGTAGTAAAGCAAGGAGAAAACAAGAAGAATCTTGCAGCACGAATCGTTGTTGCAAAAGAGGCCAACAGATGGACTCCGCAAACAGGGATGGAATTATGGCCGAGGGAGGGAACGCTTCCAGGCTCTCGGCTCACACTGGGGAGCATTAAGAAGAAGCCTCTTAGCCAGTCCTGGCTGGGAGCCAATTTCGCCGGAGTCGGCTTCACTTCACATTCATATATCTGTGGGGCGGGGGGAAGTACCCCATTCAATGGTCAATGCTGTACCTCCTATGCTGCCGAACGCCTGCTATTGTCTACACTTGGCTTGTGTGACTGTCTAAAGCTGGCTTCATTTCTCTGTGGCTGGTGCTGTGTGAAGAGTGCTGTGCTTGTGTTGTGTGGTCGGTGCTCTATACACAGTGCTGTGCGTGTGTGGCTGGTGGTGTGTGAGCTGTGTGGTGGTTAACAGCAGAGGTCTCACTCCGAATCAGTCGAGCGGCAATATCTTTTCATCGGTTGTGTAACGCTGTGTGGAAGCTACCTGGTCTGTCGCTCTACACTAAGCTTCAGGTCTTCTCGGCCACGGTCATTCCCTCCCTTCTCTACGCTTGTGAAACGTGGACCCCCTTAATGGAGCATCTTCGCCGGTTGGAAACATTTAGGCTGGCCTGCCTATGATCCATCTTGGATTTAACCAGGCTGGATTGTGTGAGGAGCTCAAAAATCCTTGAAAGATCTGGGCAAGGTCCCATCGGTGAGCTCCTCCGGCAGGCAAGGCTGCGTTGGCTGGGTCATGTAGCCCGCATGCCCAGCCACCGCATGCCGAAACAGCTTTTGTTCGGCTGGATCGAGGGGGCTAAACGGGCGCGGCACGGGCTAGAGAAGAGATGGAGTGATGTGGTACGGGAGGACGTGGAGCTGAGTGGACTTGCCGATGACTGGTACCAGCGGTGTCAAGATCGGCCTCTGTGGAGGAGGCTCGTAAAGGACGCTATTGGGCAGTTGGAGGCAGTCGCCCTCCAACAACAACGGAGGGCGGAGGAGCGACGCTCACAACAACGACCGGAGCGCCGGGTGGCTAAAGCACAACAGGTTGGCACAGTAGGGAGCACAGGTGGTGCACCAGCCAGTCATCTCAGTCAGTCGACCCGTGGCACCTGGGTCTGCCCCGTGACCTCCTGCCCACGGGCGTTCGACACTTCACGTGGCCTCATGGTGCACATGGCCTGGCACAAGCGTCGTGGTGACGTCACCACCACTTAGTGGCGAATGGCGGTTGTTGTTGTGTGAACTGTGAGGTGGTTGTGTAACTGGTGGTGTGTGAGCTGTGTGGTGGTTGTGTGACTGGTGGTGTGTGAGCTGTGTGGTGGTTGTGTGACTGGTGGTGTGTGAGTTGTGAGGTGGTTGTGTGACTGGTGGTGTGTGAGCTGTGTGGTGGTTGTGTGACTGGTGGTGTGCGGTGCTGTGTGAGTTATGCGACTGGTGGTGTGCGGTGCTGCGTGAGCTTGTGTGGTGGTTGTGTGGCTGGTGCTGTGTGAGCTGTGTGGTGGTTGTGTGGCTGGTTGTGTGTTCCGTAGGATTGGAAGGATGCCCTGGTGGTCCTCCTCTTTAAGAAGGGGGACCGCACAGACTGTAACAACTACAGGGGCATCTCCCTCCTCAGTGTACCGGGAAAGGACCTGACAGGCAGGCTGAACGAGGCTTGCGGAGCCCCAATGTGGTTTCAGGAAAGGGCGGTCCTGCACAGATGCCACATTTTCTGTCCATCTGTTACAGCAGAGGTGTAGGGAATTCCCACAGAACTTACATCTCTGCTGTATTGACCTGGTCAAGGCCTATGATACCATCAGTAGGCCTGGGCTCTGGGTTGTTCTTCGTGCTTTCGGAGTCCCTGACTCTCTGATCACAATCAGATAGACCTTCATGATGGTGAGCAGGCCCGGGTAAAACTACATGGCCGGGAGTCGGAGTCATTCTCTGTTCACCTTGGGGTGCAACAGGGATGTCTTCTGGCTCCCACATTATTTAACATCTGTTTTGACTACGTAGTTCGTGAAGCCTTTGATGGCTGTACCGGAGGAATTTCCAGATGCAATGGGAGGCTAATCGATGCCCGGATGCACTCAAGGGATGGCTTCCTTTTGGTCAACCATGTTATGTATGCCGATGATCTGGTGATTGCTGCTCATTCAGTGGAGGAGTTGGAGGTGCTGCTGCTGAACCTGAAGCGTGCCACTAAGAAGTAGGGCTTACCATCAACCCCACCAAAACTAAGCACCTGCCTGGGTATTTTATTCTATCAAATACTCCACCCCCACTCCCAATTGGTAATGGGGCAGTTGTGGAGAGAGTGGCGAGTATTACCAGCTCTGTTTTTACAGCAGAGGTCTCACTCTGAATCAGCCGAGCGGCATTATCTTTTTATCAGCTGCGTAACACTGTTTGGAAGCTACCTGGTCTATTGCTCAACATGAAGCTTCGGGTCTTCTCGGCCATGGTCATGCCCTCCCTTCTCTATGCTTGCGAAACGTGGACCCCCCTAATGGAACATCTTCACCATTTAGGCTGGCCTGCCTACGTTCCATCCTGGGTTTAACCAGCGTGGATTATGTGAGGAGCTCACAAATCCTTGAAAGATCTGGACAAAGTCCCATCGGTGAGCTCCTTTGGCAGGCAAGGCTGTGTTGGCTGGGCCATGTAGCCGACATGCCCAGCCACCGCATGGCTAACCAGCTGTTGTTCGGCCGAATAGAAGGGGCTAAACGGGTGCGGGACAGGCTAGAGAAGAGATGGAGTTATCTGATACAGGAGGACGTAGAGCTCAGTGGACTTGCGGATGACTGGTACCAGCGGTGTCGAGATCGGTCTCTGTGGAGGAGGCTCGTGAAGGACGCTTCTGGGCAGTTGGAGGCAGTCGCCCTCCAGCAAGGAGGGCAGAGAAGCGACGCTCACAACAACGAGTGGAACACCGGGTGGCTAAAACACAGCAAGTTGGCAAGTAGGGGGCACAGGTGGTGCTTGGGCCAGTCATCTCAGTGAGTCGAACCATGGCACCTGGATCTGTGCCATGACCTCCTGCCAGTGGGCGTTCGACACTTCACGTAGCCTTAACGTGCACATAGCCTGGCACAAGTGCCATGGTGACATCACTATCACTTAGTGGCGAATGGCGGTTGTTTTTGTTGTGCGGTGTTTTGTGAGCTGTGCAGTGGTTGTGGCTGGTGCTGTGTGAGCTGTGCGGTGGTTGTGTGATCGTGTTACGGGCAGGCCCTGGCGCGTCTACGCTCGGAGCAAGCATGCGTGCGGGCCGAGGCTAGCGCCGAGACGACGTCGCTGCGTGCCCGCACTCAGGCCCTCCAACAGGCTCTGACCTGGGCCCAGGCCGAAGGGCAGGAAGCTCGTGCACAGCTCCAGCACGAGGTGCAGCCCCTGTCACATCAAGCGGTCGCAACCGCTACAAATCTCACCATTGCTTCCCTCCATCTACATATCCCACGCCTGTTCGCGAGCTTGGCACCTAACCTTCGAGGTCTCCTCTTACAGTCTCATCACCCTCCTCTTGGCTTGGGCTTCTCCCCATGGTCACTGACCCACACACGCATACCCCACCCACCGACCCACACACGCATTCCCCACCCACCGACCCACACATGCATTCCCCACCCACCGACCCACACACGCATTCCCCACCCACCGACCCACACACGCATTCCCCACCCACCGACCCACACACGCATTCCCCACCCACTGACCCACACACCCATTCCCCACCCACCGACCCACATACGCATTCCCCACCCACTGACCCACACACGCATTCCCCACCCACCGACCCACACACGCATTCCCCACCCACCGACCCACACACGCATTCCCCACCCACTGACCCACACACCCATTCCCCACCCACCGACCCACATACGCATTCCCCACCCACCGACCCACACACGCATTCCCCACCCACCGACCCACACACCCATTCCCCACCCACCGACCCACACACGCATTCCCCACCCACTGACCCACACACCCATTCCCCACCCACTGACCCACACACGCATTCCCCACCCACCGACCCACACATGCATTCCCCACCCACCGACCCACACACCCATTCCCCACCCACCGACCCACACACCCATTCCCCACCCACCGACCCACACATGCATTCCCCACCCACCGACCCACACACCCATTCCCCACCAACCGACCCACACCCATTCCCTACCCACCGAGCGACACACGCATTCGCCACCCACCGACCCACACACTCATTCCCCACCCACACATCCATTCCCCACGCAACGACCCAAACACGCATTCCCCACCCACCGACCCATACACTCATTCCCCACCCACCCACACACCCATTCCCCACCATCCAACCCACACACGCATTCCCCACCCACCCACCCACACACCCATTCCCCACCCACCCACCCACACACCCATTCCCCACCCACCGACCCACACACCCATTCCCCACCCACCGACCCACACACTCATTCCCCACCCACCCACACACCCATTCCCCACCAACCGACCCACACACGTATTCCCCACCCACCCACACACCAATTCCCCACCCACTCACCCATTCTCCACCCACCGACCCACACACGCATTCCCCACAGCCATCTCATCCTAATTTACACCTCCAACATGCTCCCGCCATCTTAAACCCTCGGGATACACATCCACCACCAGCTGCAGCAGCTAGAGAAGTTGCTCATGTGCTTTAATGTTATACATTGGCCAGGAATCAAACTCGGGTGACTGGGTTCATAGGAGTGCCTTGTGCTTACCACTGGGCCATGGCTCCACCCACCTCTATGTAGCTTTGTTTATTGAATCGTTGTGACTCCGATGCTGGGCCAGTGTACAATGTTTTAACTTATTTCTGTGCCCTACCGCAGCTGGCAGCCTACTTTGCTGTGCTCGCGTCAAACCCGCTGCCCCTTCCGTAAGACGACGGCGTTGAGTAAAATCCCGCGTCGCGTGTCCGTGTCGTCCGTGTCATCCATGTCATCCATGTCATCCGTGTCCGTGTCGTTCGTGTCCGTGTCATTCGTGCCGCTCGCCGTGCCCGTGCCACGCATCCGCAGCGCGAGCAGCAGCTGGAGAAGTCGCATCGCGAGCAGCAGGAGCGGCAGGTATGGCGCGCGCGTGAGGAGGCCCACGCAAGCTCGGCGGCGCGGCTCTCCCTGCAGCTGTCGCAGAACGAGCGGCAGCTGGGCACCCTGTCGGTGGAGCTGGAGAAGAGCGAGCGTGTGGCGCAGCTCCAGCACAAGCGGCTGGGTGTGGAGAGCAGACAGGTGCTCAGCTACTTCGCTCACCTGCGTCGCTCACCTGCGTCGCTCAACCTGCGTCGCTCACCTACATCGCTCATCTACGTTGCTCACCTAAGTCACTCACCTAAGTCACTCACCTAAGTCACTCACCTACATAACTCACCGACGTCACTCACCTACATCACTAACACAGGGCAGACAGGTGCTTACCCACATTGCCTACATCACTCACCTCCATTACCCAATGCGCAAATCCAAGCCCTGGGTAACTTCCATGAATTCTACATCAAACCCCATCGATAATGGGTTTAAATCTATTTGATTAACAATACCAATTGTATAACACAAGGTTAAGGGTCACAAGGACACACGTTCTGTGCGATTAGCGGTCAAAGCCAAGACAAAATTGTAAAGGAGGTTTAGCATAGTTTAGGTGTCGTGTAAACTCCCCCCCCCCTCACCACCTCCAACAGCCTGCGCTGACCACGGTGGTGAAGCAGGGTCCCACACGACCCTTAGGGTGTGGCAATGGCCCTCATTCTGGGGTCCCAAATTAACCAAATTTGAAAATGACCCGCAAAGTACTTGGCTGAGATTACACAGCAGCGGCGGCAATCATTGCCCGCCTGCTTTCAGAAGGAATGTCCGTTTTTCAAGCTGGGTCGCCGAGTCGCCTTGTGAGATGAGGTGAGAGACGTAAAGCGTTGCGAGACGCCCCGGCGAATAGGAGGGGCGCTATATCAAAAAACAATCGCTAATGTACACGTACGTGCGTACGTTGAACTTCTTTCGCGCTGTACGTAGCCAACCGTTCTAATTGGAGGCGCAGTTATTAGCCAGCAGTGGGTTGCCAAAAGTGCTGCACGTGTACGATGAGTGTGTCACGGTGCTGAGCTCTTGGTGGCACCTGCAGATGCGCAGCCAGCTGGAGCAAGAGCGCGGACTCAAGCTGGATGCTTTCCAGCTCGTAGACGAGCTGCAGGGGCAGCTCAACGGCTCCCAGCCCCTCTCACTCTCCGCAGGTGCCGGTCCACAGCGCGCACCGCGGGGGGACATGTCGCACATCGTATACACGCCACACACCGTGTACACGCACCATGTACACGCCACACACCGTGTACACGCACCATGTACACGCCACACACCGTGTACACGCACCATGTACACGCCACACACCGTGTACACGCACCATGTACACGCCACACACCATGTACACGCCACGCACCGTGTACAAGCACCATGTACACGCCACGCACCGTGTACACGCACCATGTACACGCCACACACCGTGTACACGCACCATGTACACGCCACACACCGTGTACATGCCACGCACCGTGTACAAGCACCATGTAGACGCCACGCACCGTGTACACGCCACGCAACGAGTACACGCCACGCACTGTGTACACGCCACGTGCACACATCGCACACACCGAGCAGGGAGCGTCCAACAGTTACACGCACGCACTCCACATGCATGCACACCGGAATGTCATCGTGGTAATCCACTCTGCAGTTGCTTGCAGTGTTGATGGGTAATACCAAGCTCGGTCACTTTAAAGCACGAACCACAGCGAGTCACTTGAAACACTTTCTGTCAATGATGAGAAACTCATCAGACAAAAAAGTTAATGCCGGCTGGAAACAAATACTCGTAGTAATAATGATGATAATAGTAATGCACACACAAGGTGAATTATAGAGGTGCAATTGTGACCATAGTTTCATCCCATTTTCCAAACCTGTACAACAACACGATCCCACGCCTTGTGGAGAACTCTTTTCTATAGCACTAATCCCACACGTCAGCTGTGCCGGTACGGTGGTGGAGGTATACCTCTCGTGTGGTGTGTCGTGCGTTGTCGACGTTTGTGAGGAAACCACTGCCGCCAAATACCATGCCATGCCAGCTGTCGTTCAAAGCCGTCGGGCTAACAAATTCAACGTCAAAACAGTTTCTTTAACAATTAGACCTCCTTTGTTAGCTACTAAGTTTTCGCGGGTTCCGTGCCTTGTTTTGCAGCCTCACACAGTCGATCTTCATTGTCACAGCTACAGGGCTACAGCAGGAGCAGCAGCAGCAGCATGCGTAAGTGATGGTCCCTCACGAGAAACGATACCAAGCGTCGCAGTGGCACAGACAACAGCCTTGTGGAACGCGCGCACACCGCGGGTAACAAACAGGGTTGCTGCCACCTGTCTGGGTTTGACCCGGGCAGTCCTGGAACTGGCATTTTTGTTGGTGGGGCAACATTGCTTTAGAACTGTTTAGTTTGTTGTCGTTCCCCCACACCTCCGATTAGCACGGTTGGCTATGTAGGATGCGAAAGACGTTCAACGTATATACATACGTCCAACAGGAATCGATTTTTACTAAAAACCTGGTCGCGGTATTGTTGTGTTGACTTTTATTGCAGTAAACTGCACCTTTCTCATAGTAGACCTCGGGCTGACTGACAAAATATGCCCGGGTTAAACACACAAGCTCTCGACTGGTTTCAACTTTCAGGGCCTCGTCAGCAGAGTCAAGCCAGGTAAACGGTTAACTACTATGTTTATTTTACCAGGTAAGGCCCACTGAGCTTTATAGCTGTTTTTAGAAGCTACCTGGCCATAAATGACAGCTCAACGAAGTGACTTATCATGTTGGAATTTATAGCAGCTAAATACTCTAAACGCGTGTTCATTTTAACTGTGGAGGGAAATACTGGAGGACCCAGAGAAAAATCCACGCGACCACAGGGAGAGAGACACGCAAACTCCAAATATACAGGCGTCAGGGTTGGGATCGAACCCATGACCTCCTGTATACCAGTGCCCCAGTTGCTGCTTGGATGGCAGCCGTTAAGGGCGAGGGCACTCCGTCATTTTAGCCCATCAACCTACAGGGTCTCCAGACCAATATTAGCCATCAGCATTTATTTTAACAAGCAAACTCTGGAGCAGTGAAGTTCTTTTACAACTACGCATTCCCCACCCACCGAGAATCTGCAGCTAAGGAACACTGAATAATAATGTTCAACTTGTAACGTGCCTCTGTCGCATAGTAATCGCTCACTTTCATACTCGCGAAGAGGAATCACAGACAACCAGGAAGGCAGCAGCAATGCGGTAAGCCGGTGCCAACAATTGCCCAAGCTCTGCTGTCCTCTATTTACGAAGGTGTTATCGGCCAACTAATGAGTGTTTACATTTGCGAGGAAGCCGGAGTACGTGGACAAAACCCACGCATGTGCGAGGTGGAAACACTCTATTCCATGTTGATGGAACAGGTGGAGTCCATATCTTTCTGTACTGCCTTCTCCTGGCGAGCCAGCTGGACACCTCCTTTACACCTCCTTGACACCCATGGGATTACAGACTGCCATGTGCCCAGCCACGACTGCTGGATTACAGGCTGCCACGTGCCTAGCCACGACTGCTGGATTACAGGCTGCCACGTGCCTATCCACGACTGCTTGATTACAGGCTGCCACATGCGTAGCCATGACTGCCTAGCTAAAATGTGACACACGAGTCACACGCGGAGGACATTGGGCCGCTGTGTGATCAATGACACAAATAGAAGCATGCGAGCACTAAGAAGCGTTGGCACGTGCCGAGTGTGAATTTTAAAACGCTGAATAAAAAGCACGTGCTTCACTTTACATGCAGCACTTTCACCAATACTTTGACTTGAAATAACTAATTGTGGAACTTCGATTGACAACTCCATCCGCTCTCTTACGAGTGACGGATTTAGAAGGGTGCCGACAAATGGGGGTAAAAATCAGTCATGGACATGGCAGCCAAGGGAGGAAATGTGATCAAGATGTTGGTGGCCATTGCAGGAGAGCGCACCACAATCTGAACATGTGCGAGGGGGGAGATGAATTGCAGCGGAATGGATGAGGCAGTGGCACCACTGAGGGGGGAGGGAAGTCTTACTTCATTCGTCAAGTTCAGGATTATGCATCGAGTGTTTTTTGTTTGTTTTGTTATCATGGAAGGAACACTGAATAATAATAATGTTCAACTTGTAACGCGCCTCTGTCGCATAGTAATCACTCACTCTCGTACTCGCAAAGAAGAATCACATGGAAGGATGATAATATACTTCCATTTTTATCATGGAAGAAGAATAATAAGATGAATGGGTGCTGGGAGCTCATGTTGTGAGCTCACGTGTCCTGCCGTGCACGCAGGCACCTGACTACAGGTAGGCCTAAGCATTGCACAGAGCAAGCCACGGCTTGACAACACCTCAATATGATGAAAATAAGAATAAGCTTTTACCCTTTCTGGCAATTACACAGGAGGTTTTAAGCTGTTCGGACATCAATTAGACACCTATTGCAAGGCATCAAGTCTGCATTAACCACGCATGTTTGGTGGTAAAATATGCAAACAAAACTTATTCTGATAATTCACTATGTAACACGATTTTGTTCGTGGGTAGTAAGTGTTATTTTCTAATTGCTTATACCTCAAAAGTATAGAAAATGGCTATTATTCCCGACAAAGGGGCCGTCAATAAATGACGTCACACACTTAGGGGGGAGTAGGGGGATCAGACATTTGTGACGATGTGTGACGAGGGGGGGAGGGGGGGGGTTGAGAAATGTGACGTCACATAAAAATGCGCAACTTTATGACAATTTTAAGAATATAATTGTTATAACAACACTAATTTTGATTAATTTTCATTATTAACTATTTGATTATTTAAATTTACTAAGGTCACATTTTATTTAGTCCATGAAGGAGCATTTTGCTTCTCCATGGGGGAATGGAGAAGCATACATTTTGTAATTTTTTTGAATGATTGTTATTAAACATTGAGATTCTAATGATTCTACCAGGGCTTTTCATTCTGTGAAATGAATGTGATTATCATAATTGTACTCTCCATTTTTCTTCGTTCTACTACAAAGTTTCAAGTATTTTTTATAGTTATAATTACTTTTTAATATTTTATAATTATAAGATAATTTCAATATAATATTCTGAACATCTGCAGTTTTAGTTAGACGTTGAATATTTTCAAGTGAGTTGTATGCTAAATTTCAGCTTTCCAACGCCTCCTACAACATCAGAGTGCAGCGCCACATTAAATACGCACTACAATGACAATAGTTTAAAGTGATTTGAAGCATGTTATATTTTCAAAATGGAAATATGGTTGGGGGGGGGCAGAGCTTTGTGACGTCATATTTGAGGGGGGTCTGACTTTTTGTGACGCCGTGTGACGAGGGGGGGAAGAGGGGGTAAAAAATCGGCCAAAATCGCGTGACATAATTTATGGACGGCCCCAAACTTTGCTTTTGTGGCCAGGACTTTACGTGAAGGAATGACACATGCACACGTTTTATCATTGAAAATAGGTAAATATCAAAATATCACTGTCCTGGTCACAAAAGAAAAGTTAGTGGGGAATAATAGCCATTTTCTGTACTTTTGAGGCATAAGCAATTCGAAAATAACACTTACTACCCAGGAACATCTTTTTTTGTTTTGTTACACAGTGTTATAATGTAGCTATTGTCTTTTTTATCACCAAGCATGTGTGGGTTAATGCAGAATCGACGCCTTGCAGTAGGTGTCTATTTGGTGTTCAAACATCTTAACACCTCCCGTATTAATGCTGGATTAGGGTAAAGCAAATTTTTTCTTCTCATAATTTTGATGTTGGCAAACGGGTCCCCTAGACAGCACTCTCTGTTCGCACGCTCTTGGAGAGAGAGAGGGAGGGAGATAGATTCGGAGGAGCGGGAAACCACAGACAAGTGGGAAGACGGCTGGAACTGGTGCCAGTAATTGTTGCAAGCTCTGCAGTCCTACCCCATTGACGAGTGTTTATCCGGAGTCACTGGACGAAAACCCCTGCGTGCAAATGGTGGGGGTTAGCACTCAATCCCCGTAAATATGGAATACAAATGGAAATTAAGAATAAACTATTGCATGTATATGATGATTTCTTAAATGCCAAAGGAACTCAAAGTGTCTTACGTCTCATCTCATCCGTAGGGCACCGTTAGTGGCAGCTGTCCCTGTGCAGCACTCGGTGACTTTGCACCGGACTGCCAGTGGGCATCAGTCTGCCAGTAGGGGGCATTGTTTTCTGTGTAATCCTAATTGGGTAATTTGTCAGTATATATTTTTTTACCCAATGGCCTGCTCAATCTACTTGCTGTGCTGCCATCATATCCTGGAGATGGCGACCTCAATACCACGGGTTAGTGAGGGGGTTTCACTGATGTGTGTGTGACCACCAACCCTCCCTACCTCCACAGTTCTGGGTTGCAGGTCGTCATTTGCAGCAGAGCTGCTGGCCATGTACATCGTGAAGTTGTGCATCTCTTTGTTGTGCATCTGCGACTGGCGTGTGTGTGTGCATGCGCCAGGCAGTGTCGCAGTTAGTGCACTGTACTTTAAACCTGGCGACCCACCGAGTTTGAATCCCGTTCACGGCCAACGTCAGTGACGATTATCTGAACCGGTCCTGGGCCTCCCCTAAGTCAATTCAGCCTCAAAGGAGCACCCGGTGCGGTGTATTAATAACATAGTCACTGGCAGAGACAAAAGGCGGCCGGGCGTGTTGCTGACCACCCACCCACCCCCTCGTGCTGGCCTTCACGGGTGCTACGCGTGGGGTTCTCTGCCTTTGATCACCAGGTAAGGTCGTGCAACTGCCCTTGGCGCCCAGGTCGGCCGCGGTGGTCCGCCAAGCCCAGAACGCGCTCACACCGGGCCCGTCCTCGCCGAGTCCACCGCCTCCATGCGCCGCCCTGCGCCGACCAAAAACCGTGAGTCGCCAGCAGCAACAGCCGCAGTCGGCGGGCGCAGCCATTTCAAGAGGACCATGGGTCCATGAGTCCTCTGTAAAGAAGCAGAAGGCTCGTTGTCTTGCTGGTTATCTTTAGAAATGAATATGTGGCTGTAGGAACCATCCTGTAGCAAACATTCTGACAACCGAATTTGTTCAGCTTTTAGAAAATAGTGTGATGCTGTTTGTCGACTGGATGATATCCCCCCCGTAGATAGTAAGTCTGAACGTTTGTTATCGCGCACTCGTATGAGTTCAGCCCATCATGAATGCGCCAAGCTGATCACACAAAGTAGGCTCTTTGTAATAACGACACTGTTTTAAGTATGTTGCGAAACTGACTTAGACTCGGGAATAGACCCCGAACATCAGCCACCGGGAGCTCGTTCCAGGAGCCGGAGACCCCCAATCTGCGCTGGGGTCATAGCACGCGAGGTCTGTTCGCAGGTCCAGCAGATCACCGTGTGCCACGGATCGTAGATGCCGTCTACGATGCGAGCGAGACTGCTACAGAATTTTTATCAACCAGGTGGCCGGGCATGGTTTTAGCCACCCATCCTCTTGTGTGCCGTGCCGGATTTCATAGGTGCTCGTTTAACAACATTTGCCACAACAGTCAAAGGTTATACAGGAGATCTTTGTCTTTTGCAGGCTTCAGCGAGATTGAGGGGAAGAAGAGATCCTCTGGTGAAAGATCTCGACCACACACTTTCCTTACCTTAACTCACTCTTAGAACATCACATCCACAGATCATCATAACATGCATTGTGTCTTTAGAACATCCCGGGACACGATGTAGGTGTGTATCAATTAAATAACAGATGCTTATATTGTATGGGTTGCTTCTTCAACTTTAGAGTGTTTGGCTGCTATACATTTCCACGTGATAAGCCACTTCGTTGAGCTATCATTTGAGGCCAGGTCGCTTCTGAAAAAGAGCTAAATAGCTCAGTGAGCCTTATCTGGTAAAATAAAAAAATAGTTTTAAATAGTTTATAGTTGTAACTAATGGGTGAATTACTTAGAGATTTATATTTTAATATAAAGTGGTATGCTCAGTGTTTGGGCTTGTTCTGCATGTTGTTTGATGTCATGGACATGTGCCATAGTTACGCCTTGCAAGCACAATTATTTTGCCATAAATGATATGCACTGTACTGTACTCAAGGCAATATATGATTACTCTCATGTGTCAGTTGTACAGTTATGGAATTGGCCTTGTGTTATTTAACATTTAACACGTTTAAGAATTTAAAACATTTAACAAATTCATAATGTACGTGGCATCATGATTATTATTCACTTGACATGTAATAAGCATCGGCTGTTTTAAGTGGTATTTCAAATCGGGGTTTTACGGTGTCTGTCTTAAGCAGTAGAATTATGTTGGATTTTTGTTCTCACTTGGAGTCTTATCTCAGGTCGCCACCTTCTCCACTGTAGACCAAACCCAGACATACCTCGGAGTCAGCACTAGGTCTGTTATCTAAATTGTGTAGCTTACCATAATAAAGTTCAACACAATATCGGTACCAGATCTTGGAACAAATAATTCCTGCCACCTGAACACAGATCGTGCCATCCACAACCGATGGGAATTCTGAGAAAATATTGGGGCAATTTAATGACGTTGTGGCTAAACTTGCCATGGACTAATTTTAATATCGGAATTGTACTATATCTCTCAATGTTAAGAGTGTATCCTGATGACGAGCTCTTGTGTTGCGATCGAAACGTCGTCGTTTTTTGTTATTTTCTTTGAACCTATCTACGTGACTTTACCGAAAGACACAAAGAATAGTGTATGTGTTCACATACCATTGATGCTATGAGGTTTGTGGTGCCTTTTGAATACGTAACGTAACGAAAAGCAACATGTGAATGTGTATCGATAAAAAAATATCTAGTGTCCAGGTATATTACCAGCTGGGCGTGGATCAGTCGTGGAAATTCCACATTCATATGGCAAGGACGAAGATATCAAAAATAGTTCACACACCTTTGCGGCTAAGTGCAAGTGCATTAATAAAAGAATAACCTCTGGTATATGCCTGCAAGTGTATTTTGCTCGACCCCTCTACTGTACACCCATGATATTTTTAGCTCGGGAAAAAAATAGAGCAATCGGGTTTCGGTTTCTGTGAAATTAAACTCATGCCAGCAAGCCCTGCATGGCTAGAGGGCAGGGCCTCAATGTGAGCCCCTCAGTTCAACACACGTGCTCAGCACATGGCCCGAGCTGGCAAGTGGCATCCACCACCAACCTCCTCATCCCAGGGCCGTGTTATTCAATAGGCCAGAGTAGACACTGTGCCTAGGGCGTACGAAAACTAAAGGGCCTACGAAAAAAAAGCGTTGACCATGTTATTTTGTTGTTTATATGATAAAAAAAATACATAACAAAGATATGTTCTTGAATATATTGCCATAGAAAAGATAGGCAAAGTGTAGATGCAAAGAGGCCGTCATGTCAATGTTTTTTCATAAGATGAGAGAAAACACCGGAGATGAACTTTTTCGAGATTTTTTTATGGCAAAATTAGCAACATCTTCAAATGGTGGTGTTTGCACAATCTCATTCTCAATAGAAAGTAGCAAGGGAAGACAAGGCGGCGTTGGTGTGCTATGGACGAAGTACGCGTGGATCAAGCGGAGTGAGAGTGGTGGTAGTAGTAACACGGGCAGCAGCAGTACCATCTAGAGTTATCACTGAAGGCCTACGAAAGTACCTAGGGCCTCCAAGACACATTCATCCGGCCCTGACTCATCCCCCCTCTGTTGGGGATCACCAGCCGGATCCTGTGACCCTTGCACTCCTCTCTCCAAAGAACAACAGTGGTCTCTTGGAAATCATCAAGAGAGTTATTGCAGGAACTATAAGGAACACATGATTAAGGTGGCTTTTCCCCCGTAATCTGTCCACACACAAAAAGTAAAAGTACGTTTACACATTTCATCAGCGACACGGCCCAAATTAGACGACAATACGCCTCCATGTCCGTTTCTCGACGTAAAAAAATGTTTGACATCGCATCAGCCACACGGCCTTCTGGGACTGCAGAATTTCACTTCAGCGCAAGAAAAAACTCTGGACTAGTTTCAACACTCAGTGTCCCCATCAGCAGCGTCAGGCTGGCTTGAACCAATGCTGGTGAACGACCAGATGGATGTTGTTGATGATGAAGTGAATATGGAAACCGGTCCATAGTTTTAATTTCCGCGTTACTGAGTCAATGCTCAGTAACGATCTGCCACACAGCCCAGAAGGAAGCCGCGTGTGTGGCTGAGGGAATGTGTAAAAAAAAACTTGTATATATAGATGTCCAGTAAAGGGCACGGAGTCAGAAAAAAACGACGGGAGTGCAAAGTATAGGAAAGGTCAGCAAATAGCTAAAAATAAAAAAAAGTTTATTCGTTCAAATTGCATAAGTACGTCCATTCCCAAGCTTGGCTAAGGCAGAGAGCAAAAAACAGTCAGACGAGGGCTGAACGATTTGGGGAAAATATCTAATTGCGATTTTTCTGACATATTGCGACTTGATTTGTGATTTAAAAAAATTCAGTCAAGCTTCAGTTCAATATTCACTGTGTAATAGATTTAAAACATGTGATGGAGTATTACCACGTGATACCATAAAAATATGAACTGCTATATATTCTAATGCAAGGATGAGGACTTAAAAGATCTTAATTGCTTCCAACATGTATTTATTAAAATATTTTAATTGAAATGGAACAATCAAACATAGAACAATTGTTAGGTTAAATAAAGTTATAGTAATACAAATAAAACAATTCCAATAGGAAAGCAATCGAATAGAACCAAAGAGTAAGCAATCGAACTTTTAAAATCGAAAAAATAGCTGCCTTTGCGATTATCAAATCGCATTGTTTCAAATTGCGATTTCGACTTGAAATCGATTAATCGTTCAGCCCTATCTCAGACCACACCAATGCAGCACCACAGTCCCTCAATAAACTTGTACACTTGTACAGTACATTAACTTTGAACTTGTGGATGCGCGGGTGTTTAAACGATCGATAGAGCTGCTTGAAGCGTGCGAGCATCGTCATTGTCTCCTCGGTTCCACTCGAATCCCGCCTCCCTTTGCCCATGTGTGGCCATTCCACGCCCACCCTCCCCCATCTCCTCCTCCCGTTTGCCGAGGCTGCCGCCGTGTGAGCCGACTCGCTCTCCCCTGTGCGCTCCGTCTCCTCGCTCACCCCGAGTCCTCCTCTCGCTCTCCCCTCGCTCTCCCCTCGCCATCCCCTTGCACTCCACGATGCCTGCCTCGCGGTCCCTGCCCGCGTGGGGCCCGCGCCCCCTGCTGCTGCTGCTGCCCTTGCTGCTGCTGAGCCCGTGGGTGTCGCGGCCCGCCTGGTGCTACTTCTCGGAGGAGCGGCTCGCGGACGAGGGCCCCGCGCGGAGCCCCACGCTCACCGTGGCGCTGCTGGCGCGCAACGCGGCCCACTCGCTGCCGTACGCGCTCCTTGGCATCGAGAGGATGGCGCACCCGCGGGACCGCACGGCGCTCTGGTGGGAGCCCCCCTGACCCACTCTCATTCACTCTCACACTCACCTACTCTCACCCACTCTCACATGCACTCTCATCCACACTCGGACTCTCCATTCACCCTGACTCTCAGTGACCTCTCACATCCTCACTAATTTCTGGTGACATTCTGCCCACGCAAGGCTCACAACCTGTTTCATCACTTGGCTGACATCACCACAATCATCACCACCGTTAACCACCACCCTCATCACCACCACCACCCTCATCACCACCATTAACCACGACCCATATCACCACCACCCTAATCACCACCACCCCCCTTATCACCAGCACCACCACACGATCTGCTGCCATTATCTGCTGAACACTCCCCGCGATGCTTCGACCTGCCCACTCTCTCGACTCTTTAACCCCGTGAGCAGCGAGGACTGCTGACATCACTCATAGTGACGAGCTAACGCACTTTGTTAAGCTTTGAAAGACGAGTCCCTTAAAACGCAAGGTAATTAAAACAAAATACTGTAATTATAAATTAACCAACCCGCATATAAAACAGTGCAGTCAGAGCGAACGGGATTTCCTGCTTCTGTAATGAGCATTCCGGCATTGCTGCCCATCTCCCGTTTTCAGTCCTGAGTCCGTGGTGTAAATTCCACATTCCTAGACGAGTGGGGGCGAGTCTCGCTGCAGGACAACCACTGGTGGCTTCCCCAACAGAGCGGTACATATTTTATCGACCCCCCGGAGGCATGATGGGCTGAGTCAACACCCTCCACCCCAGTGAGGACTCGAACTTGCGAGCCGCTCGCACTACCGCCGGGGCACAACGTAGCCGTCTCCAAGAGCAGCCCATTCAAGAGCTCCGTCACACTTGTAATTAACAAACCCTCCCTCTCTTATTGCGTGACCTACACGAAGCAGAACGCAGCTCACTCACTGCTTCCGAGTCATGGACGAGAGAGGAGGATGCACTCTTAGATAAAGGGGAGAGGCGACCTCCCCTGTGCGCTGGTGCTGAACAATCACCCGCTGTGCCACCCGCCTCTTCTTGCCACTTTGACATCAACTCCCAACTCTGCCAATACCTTAAGCCCAGTGTTCTTCACTCATTTTCAGGGTGGGGGGTGGGCACTTTTGCTGAAAAGACATCGTTAGTGTGTGAGGGCCGTCACACACGTGAAACCATTGTGTTTGAAAGCAGCACAATGATGATGATTATGGGGGATGTTTTCACTATTTGTGTATTTTTTTTTATTTAAAGCTTTCGTGACTGCAGGGATTCATAGCCTTGGTTATTTAGGTAAAGTCACGTAGAAGGGAAACAATAAAATAATAAAAATATAAAACAATAAAATTGTCACGACGTTTTGACTGCAACACAAGCAATCAGTAACAGTTCTATTTCCGATGGTCTGAAATCCGTTTTAGCTAAAGGGCTAAACTTTGTCACACCTAAACACATACCAGTTAATGATATCATTGCCCAAGTAGACGTGGCTCTCAAGGGCCTGGGTCACATCGCTGCAGACGTAGCAAGAGCTGAAATCGCTGCAACCCTTAAAAACGCTAAGATGCCAGCTAGCAACCTCAACAAAGATGAGCGTTTTGAATTATATAAATTAAAAAAGAGGGATGACGTCATCCTCTCAGCCGACAAGGGCAATGCCACTGTCATCATGGATAAAATAGAATATAACAACAAAATTCAAGAATTACTCAACGATGGCAGCTATACAAAAATAAAAAGAGATCCCACCAACAGCCTCGTCATGAAAACCAACAAAATCATTTCTGATTCAACCGCATTAATTGATCAAACCAAACAGTTCTCGTTGAAACCTTCTGCTGCCAGGCCACCAAGATAATACGGCTTACCAAAAATACATAAAGTAGATACACCCCTTTGTCCCATCGTCTCTACTATCAACTCCCCCACCTACAAACTGGCTTGATTTCTGTCTGAAATCCTGCGGCCTTTCACTGGAAAAACCACCTCTGCAGTACAAAATTCTACTCACCTGGTATCGACAATCAAGGGTATTTCCCTGTCCCCAGACGACCTGCTTGTCAGTTTTGATGTAGTTTCCTTATTCACCAAAGTTCCTGTACCTGACACCATCGCAATCATTGAAGACTTGCTTCATCAAGGACTAAACACTGAGGTACCCCCCCTGGTAAGACACTGCTTAACCAATACATACTTCACTTGGAATGGAACTTTCTACAAACAAACTGAGGGCACCCCAATGGGCTCCCCCCTATCTCCGGTTGTAGCCAACATTTTCATGGAGAAATTTGAGACTGACGCCATCCAGACTGCCACTCTGCGCCCAACCTTATGGAAGAGGTACGTGGGTGACACTTTTGTCATCTGGCCACATGGCCGGCCTGCTCTAGACCAATTCTTAGACCACATCAATTCCATACACCCAGCCATCAGATTTACCATGGAAATCGAAAAAGATGGCCAGCTACATTTCGATTTAAAGCTTTCGTGACTGCAATGATTCATCTTCTTTATTATTATTT